CTTTGGGCTCTTTACAATTAATTAATGTTTTTTAGAATTGACGATCTGTGCACCGGTGCGCAACTGCATCCCAGAGAATCGTGAACTTGGAGCCCGTAAAAGTTGTTTTGGGGGATGTCTTCTTCTGACGATGAAAGGGCTGTTCTGAATTTATTCCGTATATAAGCTTAGATGCCCCTCGAAAATCTACAAAAAAAGTTCAAAACATCTTTTTTTGCTGGGCATTCTCTGCTCCAACCCACCTGGAGGAGAATTTCCGCCATCGGCGCGAGCGGCTCGTGGGCAGTTTCAGGAGTGCCCGGTGTTTTTTTTTGAGTGTGGGATGCCCAACAACAACTGCCAAGAAACAGAATTTGGATGAAAATTGGTGAATTGAAAATGGAAAACTGCCAAGAACAATCAGGTACCGACAAAAGAATGTGTTTCACCACCATAGATCAGACTTGTGAGCAATCATAGAAGCAACAACACTATGCACATCCAAGGGTCCTGAAAAGAGGGTATCAATGATGCAACGCTTCTGGGAATCATCTGGGTGATTATCTACCTATGGATAGTATGATTTAAACCGCTCATGGGACCACTTGAAGTTCACCGACCTGTGGGGAGAATGGTCACATTGAGCGCACGAGAACGGCATAAGATAACTGGCCTGTGACTGGCTTCGGCTGCAGACGTATCATATGTATTATATATCGGTGATATATATATATATATACACATATTATACATATACATGTATCCATACTACTAAGTGGCTGTTCAAATGGCATGAAGCTGTTTGCATCTCTGCCAATTCAAGCACAATGGCTGCAGCATCGTTGATCAAGGTGCCAATTTGGCGGCAAATGTAGAAACAAGCAGTCACGCGAAGGTGTGAATGGGGAACAACCTTTCTAAGCCAAACAGCAAAGTTCTGTTCCCAAGATGTTCAATGAGACAGGGGCACGGCAGGAACCACCCCAAAGAAAAATAGAAAAAAAAGTGCTTTGTGTTTCAAAGCACTAACATGACTGGCCATCTCGTGGCCGTTGCTGTCGCCTCCCGTCCTCTGAACACTAGAAACCCTGCAAAAAAAAGAGCCAGAGCATGGTGCCCCGTTCACAGCCAAAAAGAGATTACACGCGCAAAATTAAAATGGAACCATTAAAAAGTGCAATATCATGCAATATCCAAGTAGAAATCACCTTGCAGACCTTATACACTTTTTGAGGGTTCGGTATTAGATTTGGAGGTGTAACATGGTGTAACCCATCAATCGCCCTTCACCAAGGTGTACCTAGCGAACTCAGCCAATTTTAAGGGCCTGTATGGGCCCACAAAGGTGGCCCGTTGATGGATAAACGCACCCAATTTTGGAGAGAATTAAAGAGTTGACCCCCACAAAAAGTATAATTACCCAACATTAGCCATTATCCTCCATTATCAAGAGAAAAAACATGATAGGGTCAATTGTACTGAGTCAATTTCTATGAGTCTTGACTTCGGCTCCAAACCCTACGGTATCACATGGTAAGCTCCGCACGGCTCATTGGAGCCCGCCTTCTGCCAATAGATCTCACCTGAGGCAGCTCTAGTGACTGACATGGCTGCGACGACGCGCCCAGTTAGCCAAGCAACGAAGCAAGGAGAAGCACTCCTGGGAGGATGACGAGTGATGGATTACCTTTCAGCTTTCACCTTCTCCAATCTGCAGGTTATATTGATATATGGATATTGCATGATATTGCAATAAAATTAAATATTATGCTATTGATCTATGGGTTGTCTGAAAATCAGGTCCGCCCAAATCCCATGGATTAGCACCTCATTTTCCCAATTGTTCACAAACTGAAGGTAAGCAACAATTTTCATGCACACACACACACACTAGACAAAATTGGATCTTCTAAGTGATCCATCAGGAACTGAGTCCTTTCATATGCAAATTAGACGGGAAACGCAGTAACCTAAGTAGTATCATTCGAATAATGGAAGGTACTCCGAAATGACCATCGTGACCAGAAACGCCATCAAATAAGTTCCAAAAAAACGAAGAATAATCGCCATAGGGTTCTCGGCTTAGCCCTTGGCCATGACTGTAAAACTACCGTGCAAATAACGTTGAAAAGAAGTCGATGAAAATCTCAGATTGCGACAACCGTGTAAAACCAAAAATTCTGTTGTCGCGGTTCTCGGCTTAGCCCCTAGCCATACGAAAATGAATGCAGGTACAGGAATGTGCGTCCACATTCCCTTCCGGCTGAATCCCATAGCTTCGTTGGCATGGCTAGGAAACAGCTGCCATGCCCCCTGCAAACTGGAAAATGAAAATACTGAAATGTAAAACGGAGTCAACGCAGAAGTTTTACATCTGTTCAGATGGTACACACACACACATCTATTTGTCATGCCGTTGCCTATATATCCTCTCTCTCTCTCTCTGCTTATTTTTCTCCCATTGTGGGTGGTTGACATCCCAACGAGTGGTTCTTTTCTTTTGCACTGTCAAGCACAAAAAGTTGCCCGACCCACTTGATCGATGATCCACGTATGGTGATGCTGTCGATCATCCCTTCGCCCTTTTTTTTACCCAGCCAATCCCCCAGTCTTCCATGAAATCCCCATGAAAAACCACCAGTAAGTCCCATGAAATCCCGATGATTCAGGGAACTTCATCTATTTTTCATACGACCAGCAGCTTCCAGGGATCTGCAGCGTCCTGATACCGAGCCAGTGACCCGGCCACGAAGAGTGCCTCGGGGTCCTCTTTGAGGATGCCGGGCATGGGACAATCATGGTGATTTCATGTGATTTAACGAGTTGAAATGTTACTGGGATGAATAGTGATTTAATGGGATGAATAGTGATCAGCAATAAGTGATATCATACAAGTGATCATCATAATATAGAGATATTTCTGGAGATTTATACACTTTTCATGGGATTTGATGGAGATACTCTACTGTTCGTAAATGTAATAATATATAAACCACCCATATGTATCCATCTGTCGGTTAATGGCTGGAATCCCAGCCATGTTACCATTGGATTGATCAATCGCCCATCAAGGAAGCCATCGCCGGAGGTAACACCTTTAAAAGCGAGGGAGGGGTTTATTAATGCAATGGCTACATTAGGGAATTCGGCTGAGTTCGGCAATGAATAACGATGAATAACGGATATATGCAAATGTGCGAGAATCGCGTATATAATGTGTAAACAATATTCGTTGTATATCGCATGTATCTATATGGGTAAACTGCCAAACAAATGATATGTGGCGATGGTTGTGGTTATTATGCTGTGATAGATCTTGGGATTGTTTAGGTCATAATACGCGGTTTGTCCAAAGATGGGGGCGAGCAGCCTCATTTCTAGCAATTTCAATGGGGAGAATAGTGATAAGTATTGAAGGAGTTACCCAAGTTTGCGACTATTGTCATTATGGGCGATAATCCTTCCAAACAGGCGTGCAAACACATAATGGTTTATTTGAGACATCGTACTGCGTCTTCTTGGACGTTTGGGATTTGAGACCACTTCGCAAACCACAGTAAACCCATTAAGTCCCAAGTTTTAACCCCCATTAAACCCCATGAAATCCCATTGAATCCCACTAAGTCCCCCATGAAAATTGAGACATCACTGCTTCATCGCTTCCACTGGGTGCAGTCCTGCTGAACGAGGTATGCCTGCACCAACTTCTGGCACTCCTGCGCGTCATATTTTGACCCATTCCGTCCTCTTCCCATGTTGGATTTCTGAAGAGCAACCAACCAACAATCAGCCCTCACAGTCTTGTATCTCTAATAAGTGTAGTTGGTTAGGTGGTAAATTGGAATAGCTTATTCAGTTGCCAACGTCAATGGCCAACCTTCTTGTCATCCTCATTCAAGTCCTCAGCCTTGCACGCATGGCCGCTCCAAGCCGCCCTCATGGCTTTCTCACACACTATGCTCCTTGCGTGTCCTCAAGCCCTCTCTGTTGAATGCAATCAACTCACATCAAAATATACCCAGCCTGCAGTAGATGGAATATCCATCAATGTCAATATCTACATATATCATCATATATCACTCTATCAACATGATTTCCTGCCTTGGGGATGTACCATCTTTTATCAAAAAATATATATTTCATCAATATACATGGGGATGCAACACTGCACTCTATTTTATATTGTTCTGAATCAACAAGATACTGACTTTTCTATATACGATAGTAGGGATATGCATCGTTTCATCAAACAAACAGCCACCGCCCATCTGAGTCCAAAGCGTCATCGCCGTTAAGGAGCTTCAGCTCGTCCTTACGTCATGGGCCACAAGAAATACCCTAAAAATGAGATGATCACCCTCTGGCAATTCAAATATGTCAAGATATTAAATATGTGTTGCTATTGTACAAATATACACACACATATATATACATATATATATATATATTATATATATTGTGTGTGTGCGTGCCCGCCAGTAATTCGATATAGATATTGAAAAAGGCCCGTTTATAGATGATCTATCATGATTCACCTGAAAAAAACATGGTGATGTTCCATAGCTGTTAAATTTCCAAAGGGTAAATCCTTGAAAAAAAAGAAAGCGCATGAAACCGCCAAAAAAGAAAAGCTGTCAGATCCCAAAACAAACATGAATCCAAATAAACAGGGGCAAATCACTCCAGGGCCTAAACAGCGCCCAATGCGAGTGTGACGTTTCGAGGAGCCAATCGTAGGGGGCACCCCATCTCTGGTGTATTTCATTGAATGTATTGCACGCCGCCCCAATTTGTATAATTATACACAAAATTACACAAACAGTTGCTATATTCCCAACTATAACTAGGCTCCAACCATGGTCATCATACTTGGAAGGTTGCTGGTTGGTGGCTCTAACCCAACCGAACCCATCCCAAAAATATTAGTCATCTCAATAAATGAACCCAAGTTTTGTTGAAAAAACGATACATAATATTTGAAAACCACCAGCCAGGTTAAGATCACCATTCCAAGGATTCAATCATGTTCAATCCATAGTACTCAAGGAATGCATATTTCAGCCGCTGGATTCACCTGGCTGGTGGGTTCCAACTCTGGAAAATAATAGTCGGAGATCATCATCGGAATTTTGCCGGACTTTCAACTTGCATACCTTGCTTCGGCATGCTTCGGCTGGGTCTTGAAGCACCAACCAACCAGTAGCCGTTCCATTGCCCCCCACTAATCTGAATCCCCAACCCATCATTCATGAGTTATATTCCCATCTATTCCCAAGATACTCCCAGTACCCCTTTTATTGCGGGCTGGTTGAATCGCCATGATATTGTGATTGGTTATAACTTATAATACCCCATTATATCCCATCGCATCCAGACAATACCGGCATGTTTGTTGGTGAAATCACAAATTTTGATGGTTAAACTGTTGAACCCATAATTTTAGTGAAGTTCTCCATTCTTTCCCCATGTTTGGTTGCTAAAACACAAGTTTCCCTCTTTTAAACTAACATGGCTATGGACAAGCGCCGCTTACTGTGGACAAGCGCCGCTTTCTATAGGTAAACTATCTATAAATGAGCCATTTTCCAGAGCAAACTGCTAGTTTACTGGAGGGTATATAACCACTATTAAGATCTATAAAGTAAATGTTTTTCCCATGGCATCCTCCATTTTTTTGCTCGGAAAAACATCTATAAATGGAGGATGTTCCGCGCCTTCAGCTCGGCGGCCTCCTTCTTCAGACGTCGGATCAGCAGCGCGGGGTCCAGCTCCTCGTTTCCAGGTCATCAGAGTTGAAACATGCGAAAAATTGCCAGCAAAAATTGACATTTTGCCAGCAAAAATGGACATGTTGCTAGCATAAATGAACATTTTGCCAGCAAAAATTGGAAAAAAATGACATTTTGCCAGCAAAAATTGAGATTTTTGCTGTGCTAGTAGAAAGATTGGGATTTAATTTTCAATCAATGGGCTGATTTGAGAGCCGAAAACCATGGTTTTTGGATGCGTGGTGCCATGGGAAGTCCTGCAAATTTGTGAGATGATTCTCTAGCATCATTTACGGTGAGGTCATTGCGAGGTCAACACAGATCAATCTTAGGGATTTTTCGGGATTTCATCTACAGAAGTGACAAGGTGTAAACCTTCATAAGCCAAGGGGGTCAGACTCGAGTGGGGAAGTCTGAAGAATCTAAGGCGTTGGGAGAATGATACGCAACTATATTCCAAAACTGAGAAAAACATCTGGAAATCATCAGGAAATCATCCACTAGGAAAATCACTTGGTTTTTCGGAAGATTTCATCCACTGGGGCGGAAGGCAAAAAAACAACAACGATCAGGATTAGCATCATTTCCAACAAATGAAGCATCGTAGTAGATGTAGTAGTATGAGTGTGCGTCCTTTTCGTCCTGGTACGCGCACCCTATATCTTCCAAAAAGAATGGACTGCTGACTGCTCCTTAGGACATCACCCGATCCACTAAGTCTTGACCTACAGCCTCAAAAGTTGAGAATATAAGCTGTATATAATAAGTGTGCACTTGGATGTGCATCCCAAATACTGACTTGCTGACTTGCTTATCACTTAAGAACCCATCCATTATATTATCCATATATAAGTCATGTATAACTGGGGTATACTATGGGAGATTACCCACTTACTGACTGGGATTCCCAAGCAAAGTTAGTCCAGATGACAGGCATGCCTCTGAGCTCACATGTTTTTTTTGCGCTTGCATATGCCCTCTAAACATAGCAATGCCACAAACAAATGGGAAAAATCTGAAAACTTGGGATTATTCCCCATTAAATCCGGACAAACCCATCTACTCACAGCATTTCTTGCGATGCCTCATTGATCGTGGCGTTGTTCTTGATGGCAGCTACCCGCTGCGCGAAGCGGCACGTCGACATGGACCTCACGAATCTGCGAATCTGTCAAGTATTGGGCTGGGTAAATGACCCAATATTTCACCAACCTGAAAAGTTCGGCTGCATTCCAGTGAGCTCACAGTGAGGGCATGAAAAAAAATCCCGGATTTGGGTACTTGTTGGGGCATACAGTTGTAGCTGGTGATTTTGAGGATCTGAAGCCATCTTTTGGGCTATTAATTCTGACCCGTTCCCAATTTGGGTGTTAAGGCCCTCTGGAAATCACCAAGACCGTCCACTTCACTGACTCTGATGGACTTAGCTTTGAAGATGTGAGAGATTGTGCGGTATACCCTCTGGTTATTTAACATAGCCATGGAAAATGGCCCATAGAAATAGATGGTTTACCTGTGAAAAATGGTGATTTTCCATGGCTATGTTAGTCATAACCAGATGGTATAATTTGAAGAAGCCCAGAACAAGGGTGCCAATGGGCCAATGGGAGTCAAATGGGTATCCTGAATGTTGAGCCATCCTGAGCTCAAAACTCTTCAAGATGCCGGTCTTCAATCGCTGCAGTGCCCACCATGACAGTCTTACAATTTCCACCTTCGCGGTCAGGGTAACTGACATATGGTATATAACAAGATCCAACACGACATATTTGATGCAATACATGCTGCAACTCTTCAATTACCCTTACTTGCAGTCGATGCAAGTCAAAATGAATTGAATAATCCTGCAAAAACTAAAATTCAACTAAAAGTCAAAAACTAAAATTGAATAATTATATACATAATCCTGCAAATCCTGCCTTTGTGAATCAGTTTTGCTCCTGACTGCTTGGATATGCTTGGATGGAAGATGCAGCAGCATTTGAATGCATTTGGGGCCACGACCGAGAGAATCCCGCAGAACAGAAGTCATCATCGAGTTCCTAGCATGATTTTCGCCAACACTTGCTCCCCGATTGGTATGGCCATTCAGGCATCCAATCTTGGGCCAACCATGTTGAGCCACGATCTATAGCATCTTCACAAATGTGATGATCAACCGCCTCTGAATTCTGAAGCTGGCTATGGTTGCATTTCAAACAGGCCAATTTGAGGCCCAGCCCCCAACATATCACATGGGCTGTGTTTGATGTTCAGAATTTGCCTTTTCTGCTGGGTAAATGAGTTACGATCTGGTAATCAAACGCAACAATGGAAAATCCACCACTTATAGATGACTTTCCACAAAAACACTGCATTTATAGTTTTCAATGGATTGGTTTAAGGGAAAATCTACAGGAAACCATAGATTTTCCCATTAAATATGGGGCTTTCCTGTAAATTTTCCCTTAAAGCAATCCAGTGAAGTTTGAGTCACCAGGTCTGACTGATTTTCCCATGGATTTTCCCACAGAAACCCTCCATATTTCTAGGGGATTTCCCAGCCATGTGTGATTACCACGATTTCTTTCACCATTAATCACCATTATGAACAATCATCAACCATTATTTATTAACCGTTATTGACTATTATTGACATTTATTGACCATTTAGAATCATCCATATGAAGGTTTTAATGGGTTTTAATGGGTATCTCGGTATCTCCCCATGATTTTTCCATGTTTTTTAAGCGTTGATCATTGGCCCTAGAGATTTCGGCGTCCTGTAAGGCACATGATTTCGCCCTCCGGTGGTGCGCTCGTGCAACGCAACGATGACTTGCTCCAGATAGTGCCTTGGTTGGGAGAGATTTCCACCAGCCATGACAGAACTCGGGAGACTTGACCCGTGAACAAAACATAGGATATCATGAGGACAACACATGGGATAATGGATGTTTAAGCATGACAATAACTGGGATAACTATGGATAACTGGGATTCACCATCGAAAATTTTTGGGATTTATCAGAAAAATGGTTGAATAATTGGGATACAATGGGATATCAAATTTATTACAATAATTTGCACTCCTGCCATGGTCAAAACAATGGGTTGTTTTTTGGTCACAGCGTGATTTTCGGAATCGTAGTTTCTGAATCGTGTATAGTTTCTGAATCGGAAAATGATCGGTTGTTTATAGCTCAATTGGTCCAAATACCCTCGAATTGACAATCTACTCCGGCGATATCTACTATTCACAAGCAGTTTCCTACACCAATTTTGGTTTACCGTTGCCAGGTTACCTTAGGTTACCAGAGGGTGGTGACATGTGGTGACAATAAAATTCTGTGAGATAGCTTGTCCCCATTCCTTTTCACATTGATGTGCTTGTATCACTTGTATCTATCGTATATTTCGCAGGATATGTCACAACATAATTGCCCTTTGGCTAAGCCTTGGCGACGAGTCTGCGATGGCAGTGCCGGTGGACTAGGACGACTTACGTATAGTCCACTGTTCCTTTGACTGGCGGTGCCCAACAAAATTTCTGTAAGCTTTGGTACCCTCTGGTAATTTAACATAGCTATTGAAAATGGCTATTTATAGTGAGTTTTCCCATTAAAAATGGTGATTTTCCATAGCTACGTTAAATTACCAGAGGGTAAGCAAACGTGGCAATAGGAAATGCCAAGCTTCGATAGGAGATCCATTTACCTGTGGAATTGGTTCATCGTCATCTCAAATGACAAGAAGCACAGGGATGATCCAATCGACCCTGACCTAATCGAACCTAATCTATGGATCAAAGCCCTGGCATTCCGTGAACACCAAAAAAAAGCTGGTGCTCAGGGGCGTTCATAATTTCAACCCCCCAAAAGAACCTTTGTGGTTCTGGCCTTTGCTTTGATGGATATACCGATATACCAGCATACCTCAATGGTGGATAGGCACATCCCTATTTTCATAGGTTTTGATCCATCCCCACCTCCAACTTTTTGGAGATATTATTGGATCATGTAAACCTCATCTTTGGGAATCGCTCAGCCACCGGCAAGGACAAGTTGATGTAGCGAGCTTCTTTTTGAAGCTGACCCTCAACCTACCGGTCGCTGCAGGCGCCCACGGGCATGAGCCCAGCATGGGATGAATTCTCCTGACCTCTCCTGACTAAGCCGTGGCAATACGCCGAAAAAGACAACTAGGTTTGAGCGAAACATGATTGTGTTCCTCCTAAAAACCCAACCTACCAGGAACTCTTCTACCATTTTTGGTTGTATCCCGTATTTTCGTGTATTTTCATAGGTGGGTCAGCCCATTTCCTATATTTCCATCTTTCCGCCACCCCGATCTGCCCAGCGCGTGCCCCGGATTTGGAGATTCGCTCGCTGCCAGCCTTGGAGATTCGGTCGGGCAGTGAAACGCTCGCGTTTCTGATGGGTCAATGGGTCATACTTCGGAGTTGCCAGACTTACCTGGTTGATCCTGGTTGGTGACTGGGGTCATTTTCCAAGGATTCCAGTTATGGGATGTTATGGGTCAAAAAAGCCTGCTGTCGAAGCACGAAGGGCCATCTGTGGCAGCGTCTAGTGACTGGAAATGACCGGAATGTGGTGGGCCCATTTGTGCCTCAATTCTTGGTCCCCTAAATATCCTCCACTGTAGGATGATGAAAGAGTTGAATTCCATTGAATTCCTGCCTTTGAAGGCTAAAAATCCAAAATGCTGTGGTCAAGCCATGCCCGTTGGCCAAGCCATGCCGAACTGAGACTCTCCGGGCCCAGCACGGCCCAGCATTGGCCATTCACCCCATGCAGTGTTCAAAGACTGAGGTCCCCACAAGATCAACCAAGTGCAATTTGGCTCTCCTAACCTCAGCAAAAAGAGTGTAGCATGCCCACAATGCGACGCGATGTGACCGAACGTCATTCCTTAAGAGATCCTCTTAGAGAAAGGGGCGAACCCGGTTGGAACAGCAAGGAAGCCGATCCAATTAGTGCAGTTCTTTGAGTCTGGTATCATGTGAACATATTATTGTGATTTATTGTGAGGGTCATCATCCCTAATAGGAGTCCTTTTTTGACCCATCAACCAGTCATGCGCCCAAAAACAGCGCAGACCTGATTGCACCCTCACGGCAGTTCCTGCATGTGCGAATCCAACTGACGACGGGGCCGTGTCGCTGTCGGGTTTCGTCGACTCAACCCACATGATAAACCTCAGAAAATGAATCGAAGCTTAGTTTTAGAGGGAAAAACATATTTCTGCAGGAAAAGCGCGTACCAATTTCGTTATCAAACATGGCACACTGGGAATCCCCAGGTTTGAAAGGAGAATCATCGAAAGATTGTGGATTCGTTATTGCCAGGTCTGATTACCATGGGACAGAGCGGAGAACGTGCATGAACGTGCACACAGAATAATGCTAAACAAGAGGAAACACATGTAAATACAGAAAATCTAAAGAAAGACATATATTAAAGAAAACAGTCTTATCCTTGTTGACCATCCTTTGCCTAAGCGTGAGTCCAGCAAAGCCTCCCCAGCTGCAAAACGTGCGTTGCATTAGGCTGATTCTCTGTGGTAATAACTCACATGGCTATGGAATATCATTGTTAATCGGCAAATGAAAATGCATATGTAATCAAAATATATGAGCAATTTTCTCCTAGCTATGTCAAATTACCAGAGGGTACATGCTCAAATTAAAAATGCTCAAGTTTGCAGTATGTGCTAGTTCTGTTCTATGAAGTTTGGGTCCAAACCCATTCTGCTAAAGGAAGATTTGAAGATGCAGAACAGAAAACACAACCAAATGGTATATGACAACCTATCTGGCTCATTCGTTCCGCAGTTACTTGGACAAATATCAATGAAACGTGACATCCATGACATGTGCAGAAATATATGAGATGTATACATTCTCCATCATTCTCCGCAACCGGCTCGGTCTGGCTTCATCTGTGATTTCAAGCTGTGCCAATGGGCATCAATGGGCTGGCCGCCCTAACCTGAGCGCCCCTGCATGCAATGGCTTCCTCAGCATCCGGGGGGATTCCACCAGGGAGAACTGTCCAGAAATTGCTTGAAATTGGTGGAATGTTAGGGCTATCTTAGTATCTTCTTAAATAACTGGATAATACTGGATATTGATTTCCTAGAAAATTGCTCATTCCCGGGTTTGTCCCTTGTAATCAGTGGCTTTTGAGTCCCAACCATGGAGCGTCGACCTACTTTCCATCCACAATTGAACTTACTAAGGGCGGGCATTTCTTTGCAGATTTTGCACAAGAAAACGACAGTGATGAGGTCAACCAATGATTTACCACCAAATATGTCCAAATACTACTTAGTACTTTAACTCCCAATGATCCCACATATACATATATAATACATGTATATATATATATACATATGTGTGTGTGCGTTAAATATATATATATATATATTCACCATTAATCACCCACAAATATCAAATACACCCTCAGAAACCTGGTTTCGTAGTTGGATCTATTGACGTGGGATCTCTTAAACCCTTATTTTGTGGTATTTAATTGTTAGATAACCTCCATTGTCTTCCCAGAATATCACCATTATATCGCAGTACACAACCATTGGTGATGCTTAAATCCCATTCAGTGCACCCATGACTTTCTGCAGAGTTTCGCGTAGAGACATCGTTCATTGGCGTCTCTGCGACCACGCGGTTCGTGTCCCCCAGGAAGAGCAAGTTTAGCCTATCACAAGGCAAGTGACTGGGCCAAAGGAGCGCATTTCCAAGGTCACAAATGTGTGGTAAGTCCATTCATCAACGCCCAATGATTGTCGTGTGGGATGTTTTCTGGGCCTTTTATATTCTAAGCCCCTATATGCTGCACAGCGTCATTTTTCATAAACCTGTGCGGATTATGTTGTTCTGCAAGTTTGGAGGTTGTTATTGGGTTCACTTTACTGACTGCCCCAGCAAAGCGCAAATACAGAGCTCCAGGTTTCCCTCCCTATCATGGTCACAAGAACCCTACAAGAACCGCCCACTTTGAAGAGTTTCGATCTGAGCCCTATAGAGTCTAGTCTCTTTTGAACTAGCAGTTCTGAAACTATTTGTCAACAGTTTGATGAAATTATATATAGGGAAAACCTACTGGAAGCATGTTTTCTACGTCAAAAGATATGGTATTTTCCAGTGTCGATTTGCCAACCAGTGCTCTCACTCAGCGCTCTAGGGACTCTACCAGTAGGGCCCTGGCGCATCCTCTTCCTTCTGTGCCATGTTCACAGAGAGGTTGCGCAAATGAATGTTTCCCTCCTGGGCTGACTTCTTTCAATATTTCACGCAATGGTCAACAATTTCATATGAAAAAATGATGAACATTGCCCATTTAGTTTGATGACATCGATCCACCTCTTGAAAATTATGGTTGTTCAATAATCCACAATAATTATAAATAATAACTAATAATAACATATAATAACCACCTACCTGTAGCAATCAATCAATAGTCCACTGGTGGTTTGTGGTTTGGAATTGTGGGGACACGCCATTGATTGGTGATAATCCCCCGACTCCAAATCACCCAAACCATTAGGTAATCATTGATTGAAATATTACAGTAATCCTCATAACTAATTGGTGGTTTCAACCCATCTGAAAAATTAAAAATATGAAAGTCAGTTGGGGTTATTATTACCAATATATGGAAAAATAAAATATGTTCCAAACCACCAACCAGCCATCATAATATTGTTGTAAATTGTAAATATATTGTATATAAATACCTCCGTCGACGTCCTGCTATTGCATCTAATGTGGTAAACCAATTAAGAGACCGACCAATTGGGGATGAGAGTTACAGTACCACCATGCCCATTTGTGGTGATATTTGGGATGCTGTTTTCGGTTTACCACATTGTTCTGGTATGATTTTCTGGTCCCACATTCGGGGGCACCCATTGATCTAATCAAACATAGCTAGAAAATCCACCATTTTTCATGTAAGTTTCCAATTACCCTCTGGTAAACTAACATAACTATGGAAAATCACCATTTTGTAGCTGGGAAAATCCACTATAAATAACCATTTTCAATAGCTAACTGTTGACATAACCAGAGGGTAAAACCTTCATGGTATGGCAATGGGCCGAATGGGGATTTGAATGGGGGATTTCCCAGCCATGGAGCTGATGACATTGGATATTTGCTTCTGCAAGAATCACCATTTCAGTTCCCCCCCCAAAAAATGCAGAGAAGGTTCAATCACCACTAGTTTAGTAGGAGTTTACTCTTCTATACTCTTCTATCTTTGTTGGGGTTGATGTATAGCTGGATGATACAATCAATGCTTTCCCATGAGTCAACCGATTAAACCTAACAGCTGGGCAATGATGGCTGAAACGCACTTGTAAATTGGATTCGTTGCATCATCAATCAGTTTGAGAAAACCTCGGCTCCTAAACTTGATTATCAGGCCTTACCCCAAAAACAGGCCTTACGTGTCCTTAAAAACCTCCGATGTTCAGCATTTTACCCCAGCCACAGCATTGCACCTCATCTTCACGCAGTTGCACTTTTGGAAGGTCCTGCAGTTTTGATCCAACTTTTGGGCTACCCAGGTTTGACGAAGCATACCGTCGAGTCGATGCATGATGTATGTGTGTGTGTGTGCATGTGGTCTATGTCTCTCTCCCTCTCTCCCCCCTCTCCCTCTCTCGAGATATACATATATATATATATGCATATAGACATATAGATAAGACAAGATTAGATTAAGATTGAGATTGAGATTAAGATTAAGATTAGATTAGATTAAGAAAAAAATAAGATAAGGTATATAGATAGATGGATGCATATATACGGAAGCATCATCATTGGATCATCTCGGATTATGTTTTGATATGTTTTGATATGTTTCAATATGTTCAAACCATTTCAAACCCGTATATAGGCCCCAAGGCCCCAAGAAACAGCACACCCAAACTGCTCCCGCACCGGTCGCAGCTTTTCTCGCGGAGCACATATCCCGTCGAGCCATGAGCACTGCTTGGCAGTCACAGCACAACTGAAAGCCGCGGGGCGCTCACAACAGTTGAAATAGCAACTCTTCTAGGCTCCAGCACCACTTCAATAGCAACTTTGTGAACAAGCTGTTGAAATCTTTTGTAATATATAATGTGGATTTCACAGAAATCATGCACATATGTAACATATAGATATATATTAGAGAGAGAGAGAGAGTGAGAGAGGTAGGTACGCCGGTACGCTAGCTATCTGGAAAAATGGATACCAATCCGTGCACGCAGAAATGTCATAATAATCCGCAAGAATTCTGTGGAGAAAATCGATGAAAAGTCTTCAACATCGTTCGGGAGCTGGACATTTTAAAACACCATGCATGCTATACATCGCCTCTCAGGTCTCTAGCGCGTTGGACTCGCTAGACGGTCCCTGTTTCGGGGGCTTGATGTTGAAAACCTTGGCGGCACATGGTTCATTTCATGACGAAGATATGCTAAGATATGCTAAGGTTATGTAGATTGTAGATAAACAATGATAAACATGGTCCTCAAGCCATTCGGTGCACCAAAATGGGATGGAGCTGTCTGAAAATGCCCAAGTTAAGCTACGATAATATCTGCACTTACTGCCCGTGAATCCATGTCTTTCAGTCTTCCGATTGATGACCAAGGGAAAACCCACATCACCAGGGGACGGCATTGCTAGCTTCCTGGAAGCCTTGCTGTCGAGCTTGTTCCACAGCTTTCTCCACCACGCCGTGCCGCTTCGCAAGTTCGAACCTTGGAAGTGGCACTCCTGTGGGGGAGTAGTGAGTAGAGCAATGGTGAATCACGCAACTAAGTATAACTTGTGTATTTGCAGTAGTCAAGAGTCGTTTGTACAGCTTGAAAGGGCATGGTGTTCTACGAACTCGTCTGCTGCACATAGGGAAACAAAAACCAACATGTCATATATATCATATGTCATGCCTGACGCTTGGCATCCCACCCCCCAAAACAACTTGTCTTCAGCTGGTTACTAGACAGTTTGTCCCTGTATTTGTGGCCAAAAACCATGGCCAGCAACCTGCCATTCACCAAGGTGTACCCATGTTCACCCAGCATCTGACAATATATCCATATATCCTCTGGCAATTTCACATAGCTATGGAAGCCATGCCCCATGTTCAACTGATTCACCCTTGAAGGTCTGGCTGTCTGGCAGAATCTGCTGCCCCAACTTTTGGATTTAACAGTGCTATCTCCAATCTCCAATATACTTCATTGTGTTCCCTGCACCTTTGCAAAAGTGGGTTGATTGTTGGGAACCTCATCTCCCCAAAAGTTGGGGAGATATTGATTGAACCTAACATATATTCAGAGGAACACCACCGTTTGTAATACATCTATAAATTATTATAAATGGGCTATTTGCCATAGCACGATGTCATTAAATTGCCAAAGGGTACTTCGATTTGCTTAAGATTGGAAGACGAAGGAAGAAATACTATTCCTCAGATTTCTCAAACGATACTATATATTAACCAACGAGGAAATAGCTTATAAGTCACCTTCGAAGAATATATGCACCATCCTCAATATCTCCAGAAATGGGTTGCACTCCAGCTCTCCAAACTTGCAGGTTTATTGTTGGGTTTATCCCACATTTATCCAAATTATATCATGGAGAGTGCGGTGCATTCAGTTTTAATTTGATTTGTATAACCACAGTTACTGCAATTACAGTTACAGATGTTACCCTCTGGTTATTTAACATAGCCATGGAAAATTGCCAATTTATAGATGATTTTCCCATTAAAACCTCCATTTCTAAGGGATTTTCCATGGCTATGTTATATCTGATATATACCAACTTATGGAGGTGAACTCACCATGGTTCTACCAGCATCCAAGGAACTTCCGTAGCAACGCCTGGAGATGTGCCATCGGATCTACCGATGGTCTGGCAACCTCGGTGGTTGTTGGTTGCACCTGAGATGATGATATGATCTGGGATGTGCTGTTAGCTTTTTTGCAGTAGAAGAGGTACTAAAAAGATGATCTACACCGGGCAATAAGAGGTACTTATATAAAAGCCCTCTTTGATCATCTCAGATCATTCTGATGCACGCGAAAAACCAGGCCTTTGCAGCACAAAGAGCGGACTTGAAGTCCAAATTGCAGAGCCTGGAGGATTTTAAGGCTGATTTGACCAGGAATTTCATGCTTTGAGCGCCATTTCAGAACGGGATTTATTTGCAACCCATATGGGTAAGGTTCAACTATGTTCAAGGTGGGGTATCGATGGGCCCACAACTAAAAAAACATTTTGACCCATAGCCTCTTGAATTTGTGGAACACGATCTCTGCCACAATCTGCCCATCCTTCACCTCTCAGAATCAATGCCAAGTTCTACTCAAAAACCTTAAGAAACCTGGATGGCCAGGTTTACCCATAGGATTCCAGTAGCCTCTGGTAATCAAACATGGCAATCGACAATCCACGAGACTCCCCCCGATGGCAAATGATTTGCCGGTTGCAAGTTCTGGTAATGGAAAATCCCGCGGGTGTAGAGGACTGAAGTCTTGGAGGGCTACCTCTTTCCCTAAGATTGAATGCCTCCTTAGTAACCCTTCTTTTGTACTATTTACTAGGCTTGAATCTATTGAATATAAGTGCACATCCTTGGAGGTATTCAATCGGTATATATATAATATGAGAGAGAGAGAGAGTGGTGTCAACCCCTTGAGGAAAAAAAATGGTCGGTTATGATCATCCCTAACAAGCTTGATATATTATTATCGTCCCAAGTAGTGTTTTTTTATTGATTTCAAGCCGCCAACCAGTTGCGTATTGGTAATATCCCGAGTGTATATATACAGATAGTGTTGTCTCACCCCGATTTGTGTATTTCCATTTTACCAGAAATCATCCAGACAAGTATCAAACATGTACAAGTACTGTATCTGGCTGAAGATTATTCATTCATCAACCTGAAAATAGCTGAACTAAAGACATGATCCCCCTAATCTAACCATCATTCCAGTGACGTCACACTGAGGTCATTATGACTCGTCCAAGAATATGATATCACCAACCACTACTATTAGGATCTATTAGGCAGAAAAAATATAAAAAATGCAGCTCCAGTGATCAAATCTCCAACCAAGTTGCTCCATGAGACCTGCCACGCCGGCAGTACCCGCACGGTGGCAACCTGACGACTTGTCCCAGTCGGAAGTTCTGGGAGATGCCGGGAACTGACAGCGGAAAACTCAGCCACTGTTCGGGTCCCAAAAAAAGATGCCGAAACGTTGTGTTTCCAGGATGGAAACGTGAACGATGCCGTTTTCCCCATCATTTCCAGATTAACCCGTAACTTGCACCGAACTTCGGGGTTTTGTATCAGGTCTTTAGGTTTTGTTCATAGTTTGTTTGAAGCACTTGCCAGTGCTGAAACCTCAGACTGGGCGCTCATTCAACATTAATTGGATTTATTGGTGGCTGATCATCCCAGGCATGGAATGAAATGGGAATAAGAACAAAAAACTATATTTGACAGCAGCACTACCCAAAAAAAATCACGCACTCAGTGATCCTGAAGGTAGTTGGGTGATCCATTTGTGGCTTCCCCTGCAAGATAGAAAAGGTTCAAATTACCAACAGAGTTCAGATGAATTGGATGTTACCATCAACTCTCTACTTGAGGACTTCTAAACATCGAGCAATGACCATATCCGTGAACCCCGCAAGAAGATAGAGAACAGGTTCAATGCACCACCACCACATTTTAGAATTGGATTTTACCTGTATATATATAATGTATCCTTTTTTGGGTATATTAAACTCGTCTAGTTCAACATTGGCTATAGAAGCTCTCTCCACCAAATTTGGGTTGCAAGAGCAGGAACAAGAGTGCTGAAAATGGGAAAAGTTTGACCATATTACCACGAGTTTGATGTGTTTGGTGCTGAAATCACCAGGTTTCATGGTCACATCTGGGATTTGACCCACGCCACAGCCCTGGCACCCCTGGTGACCTGCTAAACCTCAGGTTCTCGTGGGGGATGGCAGGGTCGTGCTATTTTTATATGCTTATCATGGTTAGTAAAATAGTATTATATGGGTATAACTATGGTATGATAAGTATTCTTTATAGCTATAGTTTTTGTATGCTTGTCATGGGTATAACAACAGCTTATAATATAGTATGACTATGGTTGTTCATGGTTATTCACTATGGTGTCAACTGCACTTATAGCCCAGGTTATGGCTTATTGAGTGGTAGTATCCATCATGTAACACAACGATGAATGATATGTTTTACATGCTGTGATTTTACATAGAGATCATTATATGATTGATATCATTTGATAGTTATATTGTTTTACATGCGGTGGTTTTACACGTGTACTACAAACATGGTTATGAAATAGAGTTATCGTTGTAGCATATGCTCATTGTTTGATAATTGTTTTGTAATATGCGTATAATGTAACATAGATATACATTCAAAAAATGTGTTATGTTGGTTATCATATGTTATCATATGGTTATGATATGGCACGATATTCGTGGTTATTTGGAATATTTGCCAATATTAAAGCCCAAGAATGACCCCAATACTGCAGAACATTCCATCGAACATATGGGAATATTGTGATATTGTGATGGCATTATGATTAGACTATTATATGAACATCATGATAATGGTACCATCATCTATGGTTATGCTACCATTATATGGATGTCGGTTGGGGAGATATAAGTACCATATATCATAACCATATTACTGTATGGTACCATCTCCGTAATTAAAAGGTCGACCTTGAGAACTCGCAAGTGTGTTGGAAAGTAGTCTTCTCGCCTATCTGGCTCGATGTGACTGGGAAGGATGGTAATATCATTAGATCTATCACATGGACACAACAAATAGATAATAGATCTATCTGGTCATACATGATCTATGCCATTATGGTAATTTATTATCTGATCGTAACATTATTATGGTTACAACACGAATGGATGTTCATACATATAAATATCATTGTAATGACCAGCATTAAATCAGTGCAATAATTCCAATCAACCTGATTAATTTTGGATACGACCTGGCATCCGATCTGGTGTTGATCAATAATGGACAAGAAAAGGGTACCAGTAATGAGAATGCCTCCCTCAACAACTTTGAATGTCAATGGACACCACTGAATTGGTCATGTGTGGTATCAATTCATCCAATTTTGTGGAAAAACATTGAGCCATACCCATATGTCATGTGTAAATATGTATGCCAAAACCAAGTGCATTTGAAATTTGGCCAGCTTTTCTGGAAAGTTCGTTGTGTGCCACAGCCGGGAAAACAGTGGATGGTTTAAATACATATAAATACAACATATGCCCTTTGAAATTCCAGAAAGTACTGGAGTCCCAAACCTCCGAAAAAACATTCCGACCTGAGTAAAATTGCAACCCTAGGATCTAGGGTAATTAAACTAACATAGATGTGGAAAATTTATGATGAAACCCTAGGAAAAACATCTACAAATAATGGATGTTCAAAAAAAAAATCCACATCTAAACCTTTACCCAAGGGATCACAAGGGATCCCAGTAGCAAAATGATTAAAACCGCCAAGGGGCAATGAATCATGACGCTGCCGCCCTTTTCGAGATTGTCTCTGACAAATCCCAGCAGCGGCGCCAGTACTCGAGCCACACCTTTTTAACGATGCCACGCGGGAGTCCAAGCCGCCAACCCAACAAGATACGAACAATAGGTCGGCCCCCCTATATAGCTAAGTTATGCTAAGTTATGGTTTATAGTTTGATGAAATTTTATGGTCTATAGTAGATGTAACTGTAGTTAATGGAGTTTCTAGGAAAAACAAACATACCTGGGGGGGCTATCTTGTAGGAACTGCTAAAAAACTGTGTCTTTAGGGGATGTGGCCCGAATAGTCCCATCCAAGGCATCGAATGACATCCGGAGCTGGTTTCCGTCATTGTAATCATTCCCTTACTGTTAGATGGGCCCCTATGTAATGATGTAGTTTTAACCTGTCCAACGGTCGTACATAACCAAAGTTGGAGGCATTTGGGTTTGTCTCAAGATATGCTACCCCACAATCCACTTGTAAATCATCGATGGTCCCTGTTAAAATTACAAGTATATGGGCTTCAGACACGCCAAGATATCACATCAAGTTAACTAGTTATATCAATTATATCCCATTTAAGCCCCCATTAGTAGTTCTATATATTTCTATTATATCCCAATTTGATGGTCATACAGTCATACCCTATTATCAGACACACGCCTTGAAAGGCAATCCCTTGGCCCGGCTTGGCTCCATCCATTCCTGGGTCGCTCCAAGTCACTCTTGGGCGATCTGTCCGATGCAGCTTCCCGCCAGTAAGCCACTGGATAGTACAGGTAGCGCACGTCCGGATCCTGGCCGTGCATTTCCGTGGGATCCAGGCTCCAGAGAGATGCCGGAGAACGTCTCTTCCAGAACGTGCCATGGAAAAGGGACTTTCCATGCTGGAATATGAATGATTGTTGCAGCCAAAGGTAACCTATAGACAACCAGTGTTCGCAACAGTTTCAACAGGGGCAACAGGGAGATCAGTCAGCGGCAGTCTCGATACGTAGCCAGGCAATAGATCGCATCAAAATTTGGATATCTGGGTAGCTCTGATGCGGTTGGTCTAAACTCTACAGGTCGGACAGTTTACATGTTCCTTAGTCCAGCATTGTAACATGTTCACTCACACGCAGCTATGTGCGTATGTGTATATATATATATAGTGCCGGACACTCACTTAGAACATCGTTTGGAAAACGCTTCTTGTTTTTCACCGAAAAAGATGTTATGGAACAGCCGGAAACTCTCACAGTTAGAACATCCCAAGACATTACAACATATATGTTGTTATTTTTGTTTTATCATGATCTATTGACATAACTATATTTATATGAACACAAAGTTATCAATCAGCTGTGGAGACCCCCACACTTAGAACATCCCAAGACATTACAACATGTATATATATATAAGGTCCTTCACCCACATAGAATATGAAATTGAAATGTTGGCTTCCCCGGGCATCCCAGGAATTGAACTTGAAAAACGATACTTAGAATATCTTACAATACAGTTGACGTCAAAAAACCTATACTTAGAATACTGTTGGACCATATAAATTCTTTCACTTTTCCAGACGAATTCATCATGTTTCCATATATTTTTCATTTTTCTTTAAAGATCCTTCACATTTCCATATAATTATTCAATTTTCCATATTTTTGCCATATAAATTCTTTCACTATCTCAGTCAAAGTCCTATTTGTTCCATATTTGTTTTCATATTTCTTTAAAAATCCTTCACATTTCCATACAATTTCTTCACTTTTCCATATTTTTGCCATATAAATTCTTTTACTTTTTCAGTCAAATTCATATTTTTTCTATATATTTTTCATTTTTCTTTAAAAATGCTTCACATTTCCATACAATTTCTTCACTTTTCCATAGTTTTTCCGTATAAATTCTTTCATGTTTCCAGACAAATAGATAGGTATGTTTTTCACAAGGTGTTTGGTGACAAAAATCAAAAACTGGCAGGGTCCCCAAATTAACCGATTTCTTATTACTTTGTGCACTAAAAAGTACATTTTTTTCGCCGCCGCATAGAGATGTACAAAGGCTTCGAGAGCAAAGGCCACATGGGGAGAAAAAAATCAACATGAAATGAAATGGGGAAATATTCTAAGTACATTTTCGGCAAATTTGCCTGTGCCATTGAAAAATGCATATTCTATGTAAGCGGAGAAGATTGTATTTCTACAATGATCTATTGACATAACTACATTTACAGGGCAGAGTATATGAACACAAAGTTATCAATCAGCTGTGGAGACCCCCACACTTAGAACATCCCAAGACATTACAACACACACATGTATATATATATACATATATTTTTAATGATCTATTGACATAACTCATTTTTATGAACACAAAGTTATCAATCAGGTGGAGACTTCCACACTTAGAACATCCCAAGACGTGGCACACATATATATGTTTTATAACGAGCTATTGACATAACTATATTTATATGAACACAAAGTTATTAATCAACTGTGGAGACCCCCACACTTAGAACATCCCAAAACATTACAACACACACACACATATATATATATATTTCTAAAATGATCTATTGACATAACTATATTTATTTGAACATAAAGTTATCAATCAGCTGTGGGGACCCCCACACTTGGAACATCCCGAGACATTACAACATATATATTTAAAATGATCTATTGACATAATTGTTTTCAAAATGATCTATTGACAGAAATAATAACTTGAACGAGCTATTGTTTGTGATGTTATGTGTGGGGAGCCAGGGTTAGTTGCAAGGGGCCTCACACTTAGAACATCCATCAACCTACATATAGGATGTTCTAACTGATTTTGCCCCTGGATGTTCTAAGTGTGGGGTTTTCTGGATGTTCTAAGTGTGGGAGTCAAAAATTTTGGAAAAAATGAAGTTCTAAGCGACTGTCCGTCACTATATATATGTGTGTGTATGTATGTATGTATGTATGTATGTATGTATGTATGTATGCATGCATGCATGCATGCATGTATGTATGTATGTGTGTGTGTCTGTATGTATGTATGTATGTATGTATGTATGTCTGTCTGTCTGTCTGTCTGTCTGTCTGTCTGTCTGTCTGTCTGTCTGTCTGTCTGTCTGTACGTATGTATGTATGTATGTATGTACCGTACGTATGGTAATGTACAGTAATGTAATGTAAGGTAAGGTAAGGTAAGGTAAGGTTATGTATGTATGTATGTAATCTAATCCAATCTCATCTAATCTAATGCAATGCAACGCAGTGCCATGGAATGTTATGTTATGTTATGAATGTAATTGAATGTAATTGAAAGTGTGTAACATATATATATATAATTATATTATATAATATATGTATGTATATGTGCATGTGTCTGTATCCGCGTATATTACATACATTCATGCATATATACATTACATTACATTACATTACATTACGTCACGTCACGTCACGTCACGTTACGTTACGTTTCGGTACATTACATTACGTTAGGTTACGTTACATTACATACATACATACATTACAACATATGCAATGTTAAAATACACATACGTATGTATACGTATAGCACATGTACTGCATCTGGACATTACATATTTCACGTCATGCACTGAGGTGGACACACACTTAAGAATATCTGGGTAAATTATAATATTTCACTAACCTGAATTAAGGCCCATTTGGGGATGATTTCCCTTATTAACTATGATTCCAGTGAGGTCGCAGTGAGGTCGTTATAATTTACCCAGGAATATGATTTTAGAACACTAACTTTTAACATATTCCAAGGCTTGGAAGCCATTATTGAAACTCACAAAGCCTAGAATATGTTCGTATTCCAAGTGTATTGGGAAAAGGCAACACTTAGACTTAGAATATAAAATCATTTATATAATTGAATACATGGTATTTAACAGTTTTTGCTACATGTTCCTTGACAAACGCCGGCGAACTATGAGAGTGTATGTGCATTACATATGACATATGAACTTTTTACATATGTGTTTCATATGTTGTTGTCTAAAAAAGACTGAAAACGAATCAGTACACTGTGAGAGTAATACAGGGACATGAATTTATGGCACGTTTTTTCCACAATTGATCTGGCGCAACTGTGTAATCGTGCTGAGTAGATGTAGGTTGATATAGTGATGTGCCAAGGCACATCGTGGAAAGGCGCAGGCGTCCCCAGGTAGTCAAGGCAGTTCACCTTGACTACCCCAGGTTGTCATGGTGATGATTCAAGCAATACCCTCTGGTTATGTCAAAATAGCTATGGAAAATCACCATTTTCAATGGGTAAATCCACTATAAATGGCCATTTTCAATAGCTATGTTAAATTACCAGAGGGTAAATCTGTGGATAAAAAAATGGAAAACCGGGGGATCTAGCCAGGAATGAGGATGAACATAGGATGAACTGATGATATTGAGGAACATAGTGAAAATCCTTGAGTTGAATGACAGCACATCTCAAGAGTTTGTGTTTCTATGCTTCGGATTTGATTATATATATTCATCCAGGATGACGGAACCCCAAAAGCGGCAATTGGAACAAGAAAAACAGCTGGGGCTCATTCCAGCCGTGACAATTCCAGGACACCCAGTCGTCAGATCATCATAATTTAAGCCAAATAATCATCATTGATGATCCTTGATCATTGATCATCACTGGTTGGTGGTTTCAACCCCTCTCAAAAATATGAAAGTCAGTTGGGGTTATTATTCCCAATATATGGAAAATAAAAAAAAAATGTTCCAAACCACCAATTGATCATCATAAGCTGTTTGCTGATCAACATTCGTCCGGGACGCTATGAAGCCAACTTTGTGCTCCTGCAAAACATCTTTTGAAGTGGCAGAAGCCTGGTTGGCAATAAAGAGCTGCCCACCTGGCTGGGATGGGGGAAAACCTGCCCCAACCTTCGGGGCACCTGAAAGATGTCATTTTCAACAGGAATGGCTGGGTAGAAATCACAGAGTTCTATTAGAAAACAAGCTTCCAAAAGGGTGCTGAAATAAGCTCATGTTCAGGCTACTATACGCCCCAATCATTGACAAGACTCGTGTTTTGCAGCATGTGATTTTATTTTTTAGTAATAGGCAATCCTAAGAAACCCAGTTTTGTATTGAAACTGTGTTACGCATCTGAGTGGAGGAAAGGATTATGTTCTCTACATTGGGAAGATGTTTTCTCCCTGTTTGACCCCATGCTTGTAGGTTAGACAGTCATACACATCTTCGCACATTTTGGTTGATAACAGCCCCCCTATTATGATGAGGCCCATGTGGCTGAATTACACAGTGTTACCATAATTACTTTTCATAGCCTTTCACCTTCAACAAAAAGCCCCTCCGCCCCGCCCAGAAGGACCCAGTGACCCAGTCAGACTTAAGATGAATGAAACCATTTTCGAAAGACATTTCGCCGCACTAAGCATCTCATCTTGGATCATTTTGGCATATCGTCATAGTTCGCTCGAAACCTACCCCGCTCCGGCCTGAGGTTGGATGCGTCCAGATGGCACTGCAGGGTTTGTAGTTTGCCTTCTCGCTCCTGAGATGAACGGGAGTCACCTACTTGCGGCCCCCAAGAATGGGATGGTTTCATCACCAAAAGTTGGGTTAAAACCAACAAAAGTCATCAAGCAGAGGAAACTGTTGCGCGTGCATAATATATATATATATATATAATATAATATATGTATGTATATGTATATATATATACATATATATATATACATGAGTGGCGGACAAAATTATTTGTTCCTCGCAATTGCCACGGGCGAAACTGGATCGTCCCCTATCGGTTGTGAAGATTTTCGCTCTTTGATAACATCCAGTAGCAAGCGCTGCTCGTTGTACAGCCCTGCTTGTAGCCGCTGCTGTAGAAATAAACGCCCTCCAGATTATTATTGTGGGAACGTGTTGGAATCTAGGGGTATGGTGCTGGGTCGTCCCCTATCGGTTGTGAAGGTTTCGTGAAGGCGAGCAAAGTTCAAGGCAGCTCTCTACTACTTTCAAATGCTAATAATTTTGTCCGATACTCATATGTAGATAGCATCAGTATATGTTATAAATTGTATATATATATATATACACATAGATGTGCGTCTAGTTTACATATCAATTCCATTTTATATCGCTTGAATGGTGGTATAATGGTGGCTTTAACCTGTTAATCATCAAAAATTGTGTTTAATGAATATCTAACCAGCAAAAATCGTGGGTATATACTATCACAAACTGGTGATATAATGGAATATGATTGACATACTAATCTGTATTAATGGAATATTGGTGTTGGTGGATTTACCCCAACATACCCCAACTTAAGAGTTTGCTCTGGAGAGTTAAATCATCTGGGAATTTTCCACAGCTCCGGCAAATTACCGGAGAGTTATTAGATTGTTATTGGCTATAAAAAATGACCAAACATGCCGTCTCAATGACAGTCCAATCGATCCCTTCATCCCTTCAGCTGCAGCCAAAGATCTCTAGGATCTCCTGCAACAGCCTCTCCCCGACAACAGAGAAATCACATTCGGTTTCTTCCAAAACGTCTGTTCTGGTTGCCACGATCTGATCTTTGACACCTCATGACACGAAGGGAATAGCTTTCCCGTACGTCCAACATAGGGTGGGAGTGGGTTCCTTGGAGATGTCCCCGTTTTAAACATGAACTTTGTGGGGATGTTTCACTGCCATTTGACATCCAACCACGAAAAAGATAAAAGATCCAAAAGGGATGTGTAAAGCATTGTAAAACCCTCAAAACATCTCAAAACATTCAAAACTGTGAAATAAAGTGTGTTTTTCTTTCCCGAAATTTTGCTACTGAAAAGAAATCCCACGGTTGAGAATACCAAAAAACAATGCACAGTAAACATGGCCATATATTTGGGGGCACACCATGTTTCTGGACAAACCCCAACAGCCGAGGCTCTTCTAGGGGTCTGTGGGGAGGCATAAACCTTGGCCAATCGGATGAGGATCCATCCGGTAAGCGGCTTGTGATGGTTATAACGAAAGACTATCCAATAGTTCAATAGTTATCTCCATTAAATAGCTCAATCCAACACTAATTCAGCACTTATATATAATTTTAAAATCGTCATTGCTATAATGATATGCTATAAGATGGTTTGTATTTGCTTATGCGCTCCATGTCCAACAAGCATGTGTTCCCATTTTTCATAAGTCATGTTGCCGTTTCCACCCACTCCTGCCATATCCTGCCATTCTAAATAATGCTTTCCAACCAGGCGTCGCCCCTGGCGTCATGGGGATGTCCCATTGCCACTTTCCATCATGATGGTCCGATTGGAGGAACAACATGATCCAACTACAAGATCTACAAGCTTTTGCTGTTGCTGTTTACTGGTAGTTTTTTCACTTTCTGGTAGTTTTCGTTTACTTTCGGCAAAACTTGCTGTTCGTCTACCGGGCTTTTTTTGTGGTAAGGACCCCCCCCCTGGTTGAACGCCCAGGTGCTGCTGCTACTTGGTCCTTTTCGGGTCGGAAGTGACTGGAGGTGAATGGGTCTTCCCCCCATGTTACCAAGATTTGAATAAAAAGTATAATGTTATTTTATGTTATTTTATGGGATCTGTATACAGTAGGTATACAATCAACCTGATACAACATGATACAACCATCTCATATTTGATTGCCATGCCATTCACTGGAGGGCATACAGATGTATACTGTACTGCTTCTGTTCCTCTTCCCCCACCCCCAATCACATTGAAGAAATGTTTTGGACGACTGCATATAAATTTTATAAATGCATCAAGAATAGGGGAATCAAGGAAAACCACCTACCACATAAACAACTTCCCGTCCTGAGTCAAACCACGTAGATCTGCGTTGCCCAGCCCTGGCAAAACCTGCGCTGAAGAAGGGAAGCCCATGAAATGCTTCAAGCAGCAGAAATGGGATGAAATGGGATGATTTAAGCAATAAACTCAACAAACATGGAGATATCATGCATACAACTCCAAAAATGGGATGGTTTGCACCATTTTTGCCAGTTAAACCACCATTCCTCAAATCAAACTGTGTGGGTCTCAAACTCTTGACCCATTGTGGCCTCAGGAACCTGTGGAGCACATGCTCCACATAGCCTCTGTGTTGAAACCACCAGAACAAATGGTGAGATCATGCGATATCCCCGCGAGAAAGGTTGCTCTACCATGTTCCACCCCATTTTTTTGCGAGGGGGGGATGATGATACTATATAAAAGTACCATATAATACTGCATAATACTATATCACATTGCACCATACTGTATTATAATACTATGTTAATTACACATATAATGCAGGCACGCCGCATGCTGTGCCAGGGTTCCGGACGAAAAAGCAAACTGTGATCCACCCAACACCTCGCTGGGCCTTACTGGATGATGCACCACACCCCATGCGGAGATTCCCGTGCCGCTACCTAGCTATGAACCCAGAAGTCCCAGTGTTAGCCGGGGCTATGTCGGCTATGTGTTTGCTGAAGTGATGCATGAGATAAAGCCGCTGTTTGCTGCATCACTTGAAGATTTCAACGTCAGCAACTGGGCTTCCCATTGAGCCAAAGAGACTCCAGTCGGCACAGGGTGGGTGAAGTCCACATCTTTGGTGGGGTACCAAAATGCTACCTCACCCCAAATGGCCCTACGATCAATAGCCTAGAGTCTTGGAGCTTCACTACACTGACCCCAGCGGCTCCTCCAATTTGGAAGTTGTTTCCTCTCGACTCAGCAGATCATAACCTGACGCCCGGTTGGACCCGCAGTCAAAAAGGCCTCCACAACCAAGGTGTGATTTGGATCCGGACCATCATTGTTGTAGATCTCCAGGTAGGAGATAAACATGCCTACAAGGAGCACAATATGCAATGATGCAACGGCAAAATGCTTGGCAACCGCCGGTTCCGTACTTGATGGGGATACAGCCAGCTCCTGCTGTTGCAACCTTTTTTACCAGCTGGGAGCCAGGCGGTATGATGCGTCTTTCCGCTTTTTGAACTCCTAACCATGCACGGATGGCGACCGTGTGCCGCAGTGACCGGTAGAATGACTGCAGTTTGTAAGTGTCTTGGCAGTTGAGCGCAGCTCATTCCACCAAAGTTATGGAGTTGATTGGCGCCCGAATCATTGCATATGTTGGAAACAACCAGCCAACCAACCAATTAACATCAATTAACCAACCAAATAACCAACCAACCAACCAACCAGTGGAGGAATAACTCGCTGGCTGAATCATTCAACGTATGCGGGGCCCAGGGAGCACCCATTCACATCACCGAGTGGGGACCTGAAAAATCAGCAGCACAACTAACCACAAAAGAATGTAACATGATGTAAGTATCGTGTTTAAAACCTCAAGATCCAAAACATCAAAAAATTAGGGTGCTTGAATCCCTAGTCTTGATGCTGAATATTTTAGATTGTTGTTTTTTTTTACATTTCAAACATCTCGAAACTTGAAACCAACCAATCAATCCAAGACCAACCCGGCCTCAAAGATGTAGGCAATGGTGCGTGGAATCAGTCCTCTGTCTTCATACCTTTCGGCACCTGGAGGCTTTAAAGGCCCTTTGGGAGATGTGGATGTGGCCAGGGCCACCTGGGGACCTCCCAAAATATGTAAGGTGGGATCATGATCGGAAAATGACATGGAAAATCGACCATGGAAAATATTGGAAAGTGAAAGTGGGATGAATCATGATGAATCGGATATTCTTGGTCAATTCTGATCACAATCGAAGGATGGAAGATCCTTGACGGATATTGACAGCAGTTTTTAGAATTTGAAACCACCAACCAATGTATACTGCAGAAATCGCTGCACACGCCACAGGACACACTTTTTTCCCCCTGCGAGTCCTGTGAGCAGATTGTGCTGAGACCGCGGTTGGAAAAACCGGATCTACCCATATATCAGTGGGTGGGTCCAAAAGGGAACACGAATCGTTTCCCCTATTTTCCAATAATGTTTTCATACGAAAATATATTGGAGCTGGTTTCAACGTTAAAAAATGGTCAACTTGTAGAAACCCCGACAACAACAACGATAGAAATTCGGTCCAAGACCCGCTATTTCTCACTAAAATCATGGTGGAAACATACTTGTTCGCCACTTTTTCATACTTTTTCTATCTATAGACAGGGCATGATAGGGCCAACTGGTGCCCCACCTTTCAGACCTCCCCACGGCACGGCTCGCCCTCAGCGTCGCCGGGATCGTGAGCGGCGCTGGGACCGCGAGCGTTTCCGTTCGCGCGACCTGCGGGGGCTCCTCCGCGGGCTCTTCCTGGCGGCCGGCTGATGGGTCAACCAGCAAAACATGGGATGACAAAAAAACAACGCAAGAATGGGGAAATGGTGATTTAAGCAACTAAATTGGAAATATATAGTATCAAAAATAAGAAGAATATATTATATATATATATATATATATCAGATTCAAATCAGGTATATAAATCGGGTATATGTGATTTAACCAACACACTGGTTAAATTGGGATATGATGGGGATTAAACCATCAAAATTGGAATTGGCATGAATTAACCACAAAAATGGGAATATATTGGGAGTGGATGGAAATAGAACCTATCAATGATGGGTTGGGGATGATTCAGACTTTTCGGAAATGATGGTGATTCTTGGGAATTAATGGGATATAATGAGGGATATTGGGTGGTACTGGAATGATTATATATATATATTGGCTGGATAAGGGGAAAAAACAACCAAACACAGATGTTTAACCAACAAGATATGGTAACTAGAGGTAAACCAACCGGTGATGGATAGCTTAATGCTTTATAGCAACCCCCATATTTCAAATAGAAAAGTTGGAAACCTGAGAAATGACGGGATAATATAGTTCACATCCGGAAAGAAAAAATATATATGTTTGATTATTTTTGGGGGTTGCTGTAAATCAAATAATCAAATCGAGTATCTAACTCAGATTAACATCAGGTATACAAATAATGTTTCCAATGAACTATATCAAATTCGGATATGTACATATATATGTGCCCATATATGTAGGTATAATTTTTAATCCCATATATATATACCTATTAAACTGTTTATATGTGTAAATAATGTTCCCAATGAACTAATATATATATATTAATCAGGTGTATATATATATATATCTATCTATCTATCTATCTATCTATCTATCTATCTATCTATCTATCTATCTATCTGTGTGTGATTTAAAGAATGGTTAGTATGTTCCCAATGATTATTCCCATGTCTGACTCCCCTGGATTCACCAATCAGTGAATCACAAATTCTTCCGAAACGAAAAAGTCACCTGATTCGCCAAGCAAAACAAACTTCCTTAGCTATAGTCAAAGCGTGAAATGCTGGTGAATTCATGCTAACTCTCCATTTTTGCTGGGTAGAATCCCAAGTTTCCATCATTTCCTGATGGTTTAATTAGTTTCATCCCCATTTTTATGGGAAAAATCCAATTTTGTTTCCCATTGAAACCCAGGCGTTTCAACCTCGGACTCTTCCGCTCGTTGCCCTTCTCATCTCGTGGGGGTCGACCACTGCACGTGGGCTCGCCCCGGGCCGCCCGCTGGGCATTGTCCAAGTAGCTCCCAGGAGCAGCTGGGCCAGGTTTGCCCAGAGATTGACCCTCGCCCAACTTGCGAAGGAGCAACATGGCCTTGGACATTGAAAGTGGAGAATCATCACTTAGACATAAAGAAACAAACAGAGATTTCAGACAAAAACACAGAGTGAAACATGATGAGTTTGTAACATAAGAAGTTGAACTGATTTTTTGGAAGAAATACATATTAAGAATAAGGATACAATAAGTTGATATAAATATAACATAATATAGCCCACCAGAACCACACTAAGAAATAGTGTTAACATACATAATGTAACTTCATTTAAGTCTGTGTAGTCTTAGTTGGTCTGCTGATCCTTGGCCAAAAATTCACCAGCCATTTGTGGTTCCATTGATGCCAATGCTAGAAGAAGAACATCAGATTGCTGGCCAATCTCCGCAAAAAAAATGCAGTAAAAACCAGCCCCACTATGTTCGATAACTAAAAAAAAACTTTTTGCAGGTCAAATCTTCATTTTTGGCTAAACACAAAACATACAAAACCCAGTGACCATGGCCGAGGGCCGGTTGGAGACCTCCAAGTGCCTTTCAATCTCGATGAGGTACTCCTTGCGACGGGCATCATCATATCTGGCCAGGATGTCAGCCAGCTTGGATTCTGCCTGCGGCAACTTGGCTGATGTTCATTGATTTTCTGTATATAACTATGATTATGGATCAATACCTATTAATACCATGTTTAATGGGATGAACATCCATTTACCAGCGATTTTGATGTTCACCAGGGGTACAAGGTTTTGACACACTGCCATATAACTATGATAGGGGAAAGATTTCGGGGATCTATTTTTTAGGACCCATCAAAACTGGTGATTTGACATGGCATAAAATGGCAATGGAAATCGAATATCTTGGGGGATGCCGAAAATCCAGTTGGTAACAGTTAGTGGTTTTCATAACCACGATAGAACCCTCTTAGACAAGGTTCCAAGTATATACAGTAATATAGGGCATATAATCCATTTAGGTCATCAAACATGGCTGGGAAATCCCCGCACTAGATGGAGATTCTAATAGCCAAATCCATCCAAATCCTCTATCAAAAATGGCGGTTTTAATGGGGAAATCATCGAAATATCATCGAACTAAATGTGTTTCTTTGGGAAACCATCTGCAAATGGAGCTTCTAATTCTGGAGGATTATCTTTAAATGGAGGTTTGAGTTTCATGGGAAAATCATCGAACTATAGCTGGGGAGTCTTCCAACAAACCATGTTTTATGACCAAGGGGAAATTTACTGTAAGTCCCCTGCTCAAAGTGCCACTTACTTACGCAGCTAAATTCCAAAATTTAGGGAAAAAAAGAGACAACAAATTGTCATTTGCCCGTGGTAAACCTAGCTAAGATCAGTTAGGCCTTACAAAGCCTCAAAAATGGGATGATGAACCCAAACTCGCCATATTTTTCAGAGGTTTCAACCCCTGGAACCCTCCTTTTCTGCACAAAAAGCTTGGCTGAAGACCCGGGCCCCGGCCCCGGGACCTGCTCATCCAACTTATACTTCTTCGAGACCGCTGCCAAGTCCTGGACATATCTTGGTGGGATGGTTACAGTAATGGTTGGTTAATGGTGGTTCATGGTATATGGTTAATTCAAGTGAATGGGATGATTATGATGATTCATTAGTTATTGGCTTCAGCACGTTACCCCCATAATTAATCAAACCTGGAAATGGTAAATCCCCAATTTATAAATGATTTTCCGAGCCATCAGCCTTCATTTAGTGCAGGAATTTTCCAGCCAGCCACCTTTGATGACGCCGGAGGGTAATCGGGACACACAGTTCGTACCCTACGTGCAGCCGTTCGTCTTTGTCATCATTCATTGCGGTATCCACCCGTCAATATCCCAATAGTGGTACACCATATCCATATATGAAATAAAACCTATATCTATATCCCAGAATGGATTATTAGAGAATATCCAATGCTTTAAAACCCGATCCATTAATATCCGGTGTGGTGTATTATTCATCCATTAAATATCCATTAGATATCCCATTTACAATGCACCGTATCCCATTGGTGATAGTGATATATCCATAGCATGATCCGGTGACTTTCCGTAGCTATCCTATGGATTAATCCACCACACCAGATTTTTTTCTGGATCGGGTTTTAAAACATTCTGGATATTCTCTAATACCCTCCGGTAAACTGTTACATAACTATAGAAAGATCCACCATGTTCAATGGGAAATTCCACTATGTCTATGGTCATGTTCAATAGCAAACTGTTAAATTACCAGAGGGTATATCCCATGAATCATCATTAATCACCAATAAATCACAATTAACCATGATTAACCACTATTTACCATTACTGGATATGATGTTCCATGACTAAGGGAACCATTAACCATGATGAACCATCATTCATCACCATTAATCACCAATAAATCACTGGTTAACCACTGGATAATTTATTAACAGTTCATTAATGGAACCTTAATGGTTAGTAACCATTAACCAATCATTAATCACCAATCAATCACCATTAACCATGATTAACCATGATTAACCACTGGATGTTCCATGAAATCATCCAGTCCTTGTCTGCTTTCACCTTGCCCACAAAGGTGCCCTCTTCCATCTCCCGCATCTTCACCACCAACAGGCCCGCGGGCGAATTGGCCCGCTCCAAGACGTCATAGAGCCCTTTTATAACGTGGCGGGCGTAGCAACACAAAAAAAAAAAAAAATGGTTAGAAAATGTTAGATCTGATCAAACCATTGGTAATCTTAGTTGATTTTTGAGTTGATCTTTTAGTTGATTTGGTTCAATCTTATCAATTAAACAGATTGGATTTCACCAAGAAAAATGATGGTATAACATGGTATATAACTATAGATATAAGCCATAAACAAAATGCATGTCAATGACAAAAAATCATGGTATAACGGTATAAATGGATGATAAGATATGATAAGTGGGTGCAGGACCTGACTCCTTTAATGGCTGATAAGCCATTAATCTAACTGGGGTATATCCTATCCTATGTGTCAGTGAATTTATAGCGGCTGTATCCCCATTTTATGGCATCCTTCTAGCTTAAATATGCTTAAATATGCTTCAATCCCAATTTCATCCAATTTCCATAGCAATCATCCCAGTGTTCTGTGGTTGACTATGCGCGCATACTTGTCGGATGTTTGACAACACCAACTCACCAACCACATAAATTTCCCCGGCCAAGAGTCGTTCCAGATCTGGCACAAACGTCTCTTGCCTGTTCTTCATGATCTCATTCAGCCTCCGTGCATGCCGCTCTTCGATGTGGAAATAATCGCAGAGCTCCTCGATGAAAATTGGGCCTATAGGGGGGGAACCATCCATAAGTTGGAAGTTGAAACCCATATAAAAAGTTGATGTCAACCGCTCCTGAACGTCAGGGTCAATCAAATTGCTATCCTCTGGTTCTGCAGCAGCGGCACCCTGGGGGATGGCCGCAGAAGGTTGTGCTGGGTTGGCCAAAGTAGCCAAAATCAGAGGATTCGCCTGCAGAAGTGGATTGGCAAACCTTGGATTTGCGTCAGGGCCATCCAAAAAAAAATACCTTCTGAAAACTGAAGGTTGCTATGGAAAACGGTCCATTTATCCATTTATTATAGATGGTTTACCTGTTAAAAACATGTAGTTCGATGATTTACTGTACCTATTAAACATGGTGATTCTTCCAAAGCTATGTGAGTTTCCTGATGTTTACTGGCGGTTTGCTGCATGATCTTACCAATTTGGGGAGGAAAAAAACTACATGACTCGGAAGTCACAACATCCCAGTGGATTTCCCGGTGGAAACCAGCCATCATCTGGGGCTGGTGGTTGACCTACCCCTCTGGAAAATATGAGTTCGTCATTTGGGATTATGAAATTCCCAACATATGGAAAGTCATAGAATTCCATGGTTCCAAACCACCAGCCAGAATAAGAAACATAAGAAACATCTCAAAAAACTCATAAAACCAGCAGTTTTCTATAGTTTCCTTCTCCAGGACACTGATTTCCCAGTGGATTGTTGGCAAAGATTCCAGCCAAAATTGGATCCACAGGCGGAGCTGGTGGAGGCCCTGGCGGTGGATCTGCGTCCTCCCCACCATGCCGCTTGGCGCGGCCCATGGCCGTGGGCGGAAGTTTACGCAGCTACAAGAAATGTCACGTCCCTTTGGCGAAATCGAGCTTCTCGTCATGACTATATGGTTCTGATATGCTCTGATATGTTCTGATGTTCTGATTCCGATGCCTTGACTAAGAATGTCCTGCTGCTGTGCATCTGCCAGCGCGAAAAAACATGGGTCTTGACTCAACACATCTCGTTTTCAATACACACATCTCGAGCATCATCAAGCATCATCGAGCATTATACCTTTCCGGGAGTGCCTTTCCGATTCCTCCAAGGGGCCGTTTTGACTCCGGGGTATCTGCCATGTCTGCACATCTCTGCACCATTCTCCAGACCCCTGGAGATCCCTGGAGCATCCTGCCTCCGGTAATGGTGAAAGTCTTGCCACTGCCCGTCTGACCTCACAACTGGTTTCCGTGCCCAGATATCAACCCCAAACCCGGATGTTTTCAATCTGCAATGCGGAAAAAATGCGATAAAGATGTTTTTTACTATCCGCAATTGCTGACCAGAAATAGGATGAAATAGGTGGGATTGAAACCATCCCCCCATTTGGGGTTATCACTGAGGTTACCACATTAGAGTTTCATTTCGCGGTTTGTATTCTCCAAAGATTTCAGATTCTGCAAACGTGGTTTCAGGGAAGCTTGCGCACATAGCTGTCGCTATCACAACTCCAGCGGCAGACTATGCGAGCATTTCATGGACTGCCAGGTGGCTTAATTCTTTCAACAGGGTCAAATGGGAATGGAATAGCAATCACTTTACAACTTCCCTCGGTTCAACTCTGACTGGATCCCTGGGATCCCGTATACTGTGCTGTGGGCCATATGCGAAGATGGTGCCATTGATACCTTCCATAACCTCGCCGGAGCTGCGAGGTTCCCCATTGCTGCAACCAGGGAACATCAAACATCACTCACAAACTCATCATTTCTGGTTGGTGGTATACCTACCCCTCTGAAAAATATGAGTTCGTCACTTGGAATGATTCTTCCCAATATATGGAAAAATAAAATTCATGTTCCAAACCACCAACCAGATTTTAAACCAGCAGTTTTCTGCTATGGAAAAATCCGACGTTTCTGGGATTTTCTGGGCATGTTTCTGGTGGCTTCAACCAGCCCCAGAGGCTCCCAGGCCCCCCAACATCTTCAATCACCGGCTTGGCCACGACCTCGAAGACCTCCTCCTTGGACGGTTCCCCATGTTCTTTTTGTTGGAGCATCCTATATATCTGGGGATGGGATTATGTATATATTATATAATATATATATAATTATTTATTTATTTATTCATTTACTTATTTATATGTTATGTATATATATATATATATGCACCATCCAATCCTAAAGACTGGCCCACTTTTCCCCTTGCGATTCACAGACTACCGCTCCAGCGGCTTCCGTGTGCGCTCCTGCGAGATCTTCATGGGAAGTATGCCATCGAAGCGAAACTTATAGTAGGTCCTGCTGTTGTTCACCTCCCCATCCTTGGTCACCGGCGTTCAGCACGGCCAAAATCTGGATTTTAACCCTTACCCTTTGGTAATTTCACATATTGAAAATGTACAATTTATAGTTGATTTACCTATTCAAAATGGTGATTTTCAATAGCAAACTGTTAGTTTACCAGAGGGTAAAATGCTTGGTCAATAGGGATTCCCATGATAACTGTGATGAGATGATCCGCCCAGATTCTTGGGCACCGGCAGGACCTACCGATGACTGAGCCATGAAAAATATCCCGTCCCATGCAAGTACACTCGTTTAATGGGTACCACGGTACCACCGTTATGAATCGTTATGGGTTATAGTTATATAATATAATATATATAATTAAATATATAACTATATATGTATATATATATATGGTTCATAATCCCCAAGCCCATGCTAGCACCCCATCGAAATCAACCATATACTGACCATAATTTATCAATTCTCTACCCCCATGTTTAGTGGTGAAACCAGTTCACAGAGATATTTAATGGGTAAATCCGATATAATCAGACTCTATAACAAACAATCAACAACTCAGGTTAATGTTTGAAATCCCAATAATCCATATCTTATCATTATTCCATATCAATCCCATCAATCCTTATTTTATCATTTGTCCCATTAACCAATTAAGCCATATGAATCCCAATAATCCATATTATTATATCCTTATTATATCCATATTTATATCCATATTTATATCCATATTATATCCATATTATATCCATATTAATAATTGATGGTTCTTATGGTTATTGTACTGCTTATTGGCTCCTTTGAAGCCGCCAAAACCATCCACGGTCAGGTGACCTGCACAGAAAAATCGCGCCTTCTCATGGACAAACTCGATGAGTCTGGCATGGAAAATCTTCGTGCATGGGTCAGGAACAGAGGAACCATGATTCCACAAATAATCATTTTATATAGATAACATGGTATATTATAGTGATAAATAGAGATATTTATAGTGATCCTAGAATACCAGAATGTTATAACAATAAATGCCAATCAATATATATATATATAACTATATATACGTATATATATATATATATTCATTCTCAGTGCATGGTGCTATTATCACTGCCTATATCTTGGAATATTATAGTGATAAATAAGAATATCAATAACAACAACCCACTAGTGATCTGTCAGAATGTGATAACCGAATCTTTTTTTTGAATCTGATCTGGACATTAATATGACAAAAGTCAATAAATTCACCAACCTCAAAAGTTTGGCCATGCGAGGATTCCTCCAATCCTAAGCACAGCCGCCCGTCTGAGTTGCTGGCCCTTCTTCCTGCTTCACTGCCACCGCCTGTCACTGAAGAGGTTGAATCGTTATTAGTTGGGGTTCTTCATAGGACTATTGTATAACCATAAGTTATTACAACCATAACTTATTGGGGTTATATATTCATTGTCATAGGTTATAACCATAATCATGACCCCCATAAGTTGGGATATAACGATGACAATACTAACACCCCTATAACAGTTACCCTCCAGTAAATTAACATAGACCCTGCCAGATAGGGGTTGGAAGACTAGTTTCCACTATAAATAGGTCATGTTCAGGGTCTATGTTAAATTACCAGGGGGTATATATCCACTGGTATGGCAACCACTCCAAAAAATGCCACGAATCCTCGCAGAATGGTGTAAAACTAAAGTTTTCGATCTTTCCCAGCGGTTGCTACAGAACAGTCTGACCAAGTGCATTGCTATTCCTCAACAACCCGAACCATTTCACAATTGCATGTGGAACAGGTGGGACGATATGTCAACCATGGTGCCAATCAGCCAGCCATCAGGATGGTTTCGCCACCATGGGAACAGGTTTTTGGTTCTGATAAGAGCGGTGATCCTTGTTGGCCATGTAGAAAGCGAAAAATCCAAAACGTCTTGTCAAACCGGGGACTTGTATCCAGTATAACGACGTCTTTTTTCTCCGCCAAAGCGAGCATCTGGAGTTGGTCAGCCTGTGAAGATGTCTTGACACTAATCCATATTTATATAACCATATTAAACCATATCAAACCATATTTAATCATATTATATCAAATTAAATCATATGAAACCTACAAACTTCTGCCGTGTTCAACTTCTGCCGTCTGTAGCGGTTACACCGATGCGACTCGTTGCACAAGCGTTTCAGCTGAGCAACTTTCGAAGGTCGGGCGCTGGGACCTCAGCCAAGCCATGGCGACTTGGGAGACCAGGTCCACTTGGAAGTGGATACAGTATATATATATTATATATATAATATATAATATATAATATATATATAATATAATATATATATAATATATATATATGGGATATATGTGGGATATACACATCACATACAAATATATATTATGTATATATATATATATGTGTGTGTGGGTGATAAATGGTTATAATGACATCTAGTGGTATATGAGTGACATATATGTTAATGGTATATTAGTGGATAGCATACCATATAATCAGTAATCACGATTGATCTATATGGCATACCATTCATCATAATGGGATATAACCATTTAATATATGTATATCTTCTAAATGTAACTATATATAAGTGGAATACATTATAAATGGATATAACATGATATGATCTATACGTATAACTATCCTTTAGTTTGATGACTTTTTCCGCTTGAACAGCGAGATGCTGAACACCCAGGCAGGCAGTAAACAAGTGAACAAAAATGCACGTGTTTGCGAAGGGATGATGATTGCCTTTGGGTTGATTCACTTGCTCGAAGTAAATTTATATAGTTCATGTGCACGAACGACAATTGCTGCAGAATACTTCCAGTGTGATTGTTTTTGCATGTTTTTGCTGTTTCGGCGCAAGCATTGTGTGCCAGAGCCAGTAATTTTGTAGTATCATGTAGTATCATGTGGCATTATGTAGCATTATGTAGCATAATTTGTGGGGGGTGTGTGTGTGTATGTACATATGGGATAGTGATATAGCCATTAAGCATTATATACCTACCATATTACACTAACAGCATTACATGCCATAATTATGTGATCTACTTATACTTGGGATGTACCATATTCCGCTTGTAACATTATATAACCATTAAGCATGTTATGCCCCAGTTATATATGGAATATCCGCTAGTTACTAAATGAGATGCGCATCCAAGTATTGGATGGTCTTGGTTTCTGTTGCATAGTTATTTCAGGATTTTCAAACATGTTCAGACGTGTTCAGGCTTCAAGACTCTTCAAGATACGCAGTTTCGATTCTGACAGACCGAAAAAAAAATCGTCGCTTTCCACCGTGGTTTCCGAGAGCCTGACGCACTCGAAAAAAGACTTTGATGTTGCTAGCCTTGTCAGATTGTTGCAAAGGATGGTGCAGAAGAAAATGTGATTATCCACCATATTAAACCATATTAAACCCGCTGAAACAACTGCATTCAACTGCCAAAGAAATCGGGATCATCCACCATTGGGATTATTCCTGGCCGCTAGCCATGGGAATATCATGGGATCTTTCCAAAAACTGGGATGTGATCATTGATCCTATTGGGTCACTGGTGGTATGGTCCATGAAAATGGGAATCCTGATTTCATGGGCATAGAAAAATCCCCATGAAAATGAGGATTGATGAGCAAATTTTCCATGAAATGGATGTAGCCTCCAATTCTTGACTACTTGACTATGGCACAATTAAACATGGCCAGATTAAGCCCAAGCCCTAGGCCCTGAGCAAAGAAATAACCGGCATGAGGATTCAACCAGCATACCGGACATTTACAACCAAGAAAATATAGATTTACCTCGCTGACCAAATGCATTTTTTTAATGGCTAAATCATTTACTTTCACGGGCAAATGTGCTGTTGCCTCCTCTCATATTAATTCGTCTGCCGCAGTGAAGGCGCTTGATTATACAATCATGAATGCAATATCATCCCTCAGTATTCATAGTGTTCTGGAAAATTATATGCATAATGGCATGTGTATATATATATATAGCATATATACCAAATTATATATAAATATAAACTACATACATGGAACATTATTAGTGATGTTATTTCCCCAGCCTCTTCGCAAGCAGCCCTCCCGAGCCCTGCAGGAAGGCTGTTTTACTAATGGTTGGGAAACTGTGTGGGTAGCTCCTTGGCTCCCAATAGGGAATATGAAAAAAATCACCCCTGGCCCTAGTTCCTCAGTTCCCTCCAAACCACTAGACAATGTATCAAACACTGGTCTGGTTGGTGGTTTGAACCCCTCTGAAAAATATGAAAGTCAGTTGGGATTATTATTCCCAATATAATATATATATATGGAAAAATAAAAAATGTTCCAAACCACCAACCAGTGGTTTTCTTGGTGAAAATCATCCATGTTCTGCCCATATGGGTCATCGTCTGAGCGACCCGACGACCATGAGCTCATTATATGGCTGCTGGGTGTTGGTTGGGAGCGGTTGTGCGTGGGCGACAACGCTGCGCCCGAAATATGACTCGTTGAGAATGGTTGGTGTTTGGGGTGGTTTATTCACAATCTCATCTTGGGGTCACGCATTTTTCTGAGAAGAAAACAACAAATCCCAAAGATCCGAGATTGTTGGCTAGCTAGCTTGTGGACCATCTATCTTTGGCTTGTTCCTCCAGTGGGTCTGAATTAGCTGTGATTGTCCTTGCTGCAGACTTGCCAGTTCTTCACCATTGATCATGCCAAATGCTACAGCGTGCCATGCTGCCGAGCAAACAATCACTCAGATATGTGTATATATATATATATATATGTGTGTGTGTATTATGTGCGTATATATATATATGTGTGTGTGTGTGTATGTATTATATATGTACTATATATATGTGTGTGTGCGTGTGTATTATATATATATATAGTAACCCCAAAAAAGGAATCAAAAAGATGAAACAGATTGGAACAGTATGTTCAGGAGGGTACCATGGTAACTTCCACATGTCCAACTGTTCTATCTTTTTGGGGTTGCTATGTACAAATATGTTTCAAAAAGTGTTCGAATAGGTTGAACACATTCGGGCCGTGAACCTTCTTTTTCAACCTGGCGACCATGTGTGCTACAGCCGGCAGGCAATGGCTGCCAGTGCAGCCTGGTCGAACTTGAATTAAGTTTGCAACCTACCGGTCAGTCAAAGTGCTAATCACACTATGTTCTGAAACTGTGTGCACAAAGAACTGGCCGGTTACACCACTGAAGTTAAATCCTTCTACAGAATTGGACATTCTGGTGCCGAATTCGGTCGCCTACCCGTCTGAAAAGCAACATGGAACCCAACAAATTACAACACTCAAATCATCTTGCAAAACCTCGTTGTTGTGTTTAATCCCTGCTTTTCTTGGGTAAATCACCACCTTTTTGGCTGTTCCATATTAATTTTCATCAGGGTCATGGCGAGAATTCCTTTTTTTCCAAGGTGAAACTTACAATCAACAAGTTTGGCATCGGCATGTGCGAAGTTACGCTGAGCCTTGCAGTACGACAAACACGCCAACTGTGAATAGTCAAGGCTGCCAAGCTTGGGCTGCCACCCCCAAAATCTGATGGGGATAGCCCTGTGGGGGTTTGATCCATGGGGGATCTTAGCAATTTTCGCCATTCATGACTCAGAGTTCACCTCTTAACTCTTAGCTCTTAACCTAATGTGGTGACCCCGATAAAATGTCCCGTATTGTGTTTTGTTTCTCTAAGGCAATGCCCAAATTTGGTCAATGGGGTATGGTTTATGATGTTTGTGGTTTTTTAAACCAAATTCTGAGTTGATATGCCCCAGCTATCTCTAAGACTCCATCTTGTACCCCCAAGAATTGATGCCCACGTCCTGACGAATAGGTAAATCAACTCGCATTCACCAATGTTTACCCAGAGTTAAAGGCCAACAAAAATCTCCAGACACCTACTTCCCAGTCCGAAAAAGCTATGACATTTCTAAGTCCCAAATCCCAATATTGTTCTGTGATAGTTCTATGATACTTCTATATGGCAATTTTATTTCTATGATCCCCGCATAGAACTTCAGCATCACCCATTTCACCAGCACACCTCGCGATGCCGTGGGAGATGGTGCCGGTAGATGTGGACCAGGTGGCGTGTGCAACGGCAGCGCCTCGCGAGACGATAACAGACTCACCAAGAACAATGGGAGATGCAATGGGCTTTGGTTACCCTCTGGTTATGTCAAAATAGCTATTGAACATCACCATTTTTCATAGGGAAAATCCACTATTTCTATGGTCATTTTCAATAGCTACGTTAAATTACCAGAGGGTATAATCCCTTCCCCCTATTCTACACCCCCCCCAGAAACATGCATCAACCATGGTTTAGTAGGAGATTTGCACGTCTTTGGCACCATAGAATGGGGGTGGTGCCAAAATTGGCGGGATGGAAGTAACCAACTAAGGAACTAATCTAACTAATCTAACCCAACTCTTGGGGTTACCCTCTGGTAAACTAACATAGCTATTGAAAATGGTTTTATTTATAGTGAGTTTGCCCATTAAAAGCGGTGGATCTTTCCATAGTTATGTTAGTTTACGTTTACCAGAGGGTAAATCCCCATCGTGGCTCCAGGGAATCCCACGACCTGATCATCTGGCCGTGGAATCTGGGACTTTGCCATCCACATCCTCAGGCCGCCAATCGGAACGTTCAGGTGTCCCTAGCGGAAACCAAAGCTTCACGGGTTCAATGGCTATGTAACAAACAGCATAGGTAAATCCAGTATACCGTATATATCCATATATCTAATGCTAGTATCTCATCTATCTATCCATCCATCCATCCATCCATCTATCTACATAGACTCACGGTTGTATCTGAGCCCCCCGCGCCGAGCTCGCGCCAACCGAGCTCACCGGGCCCGGCCCACCAGGGGCACCTGGACCTGCCATGGCGGAAACTCCCCAGTGAATCATAGGGATGTCAGGTCAGTGTCCGGTAAATGCTCCCAAAAACGGCGGTTTTCTATGTTTTCTTATAAGCATTTCATGATTTTCATAGGAACATATCATGAAAATATCATGATATATCATGGAGAACCAAGAAAAATGATGGTATTCTGAGTCAAGTATCATTCACAAGCCCGAAAAGAGATGAAATGTGCGGCCGTTTGGGGATGATCCCCCGCAATTTATAATCATCATTCCAGTGTCACAGTGAAGTCACTATAGTTTATCCATGTTTATCCGAAAGATATCCAAGTCACCAAAAGGAAAACATTGTTTTTTTTTAACCAATGATCAGGGTCTGAAAATTGAGGGGAAAGCCCATTCCATCCACTGGTTCATCAATTTCCTTGTTGGAATTGCCATTTTGGGGGGCATACCCCATTCTCAGACACACCCATAAGAAGGGAAGCATGGTTCAACCAACTCTGAAAATACTGGCATCATACAGAGGATAAAATTGAGATTGAATCACGTCTTGATTGATTTTGACGAACATAAACATCTAAAGGAAAACCACTTAAATTCACCATGAAAACGGGGAGGTACCGGTTTCCATGTCTTCCTTTCGTCCAATGATCTAAGGGACTCTCTAACTGAAACTTTACAGGAAAATGTTGAGAAAAAAATGTTTGTTCTATGGGATGGATGTCGAGGTGCGTTTTGTGGGATACCAGTTTGTTCAGCAAAAAATGCATGACATTACTATATATATATATCTATCTACCTATCTATCTATCTATCGATCCATCTATCTATCTATCTATCTATCTCTCTCTCTCTATCTCTCTATCTATCTATCTATCTATCTATCTATCTATCTATCTATCTATCTAATCTATCTATCTGTCTGTCTGTCTATCTATCTATCTATCTGTCTGTCTATCTATCTATCTATCTATCTATCTCTCTCTCTCTCTCTCCCTCCCTCTCTGTGATGTATAACAGAAATCGGTGGTATAGCTGGATGCAAAACCAAATTACATGGATACAACCAGTAAACAAATGGGTAAATCGACCAAGACTAAGATTAGTACTGGTAATATGGCCGACGTTCAGTAGATGAACAAAAAGTTCACGAAAAGTAACTGTTTGATACTTTTTTGACCCATGGACCGACACCACCAGCAAGGTGAAAAGCAGAAATCTAAGCCCCAAAGACACAAGAGAGGTAAATCTCATTATCTTTTGATTGACATGTTGTCTCCCGATTCTCTCACACCGATATAATATCCGCGTTTTTCACAGGTCTTCTCTATGTGTTTTTCGTGATGTCCAGCCCACACCCAGCTCGCCTCGAGGTGTTCTCGGCGGCGGCACCTCGCCTCGGAAGTAGCACCATGGGAGGCTACTAGCCAATCACCCCCACCATCCCCAAATGGATCCAAATGGTAGGTTTCAAATAGGGAAACCTATATTTTTATGATTTTTTTGGGATTTTATGGTAATATTGCTGTACAATACAAGTACTAAGGAGTTCGTTACTAAGAGCCATTACTGGGGCTTCTGATAGAACTGAGCTGTTTTGGGTGCAATGTCTGTCCATTTTTGGCACTACAGTAAGACATGCAAAGGCCCCCAATGCATCGGAAACAGCTGACTTTTTATGACAAGTAGGAACAAATCCCAAATGCCGACGTTATCTCGTGGGGATATGGGAGGGAAAAACGAAAAGCAGAAACATCGCTTTGTCATACCTTACCAGGGAATAGCTTCAGGTACATATGGACTTGTATAGTACAGAAAGGTACAGCACAAGGATCCTGAAATGTCGATTCATTTTAGCTGAGATCATTTGATGCGCTGAGACCCTCACAGGGCTCGGGCATAGGATATCCATCCTCCGGCCGCTGTGTGGTTCGGAATGTTTCGGGAAACAAACGTTTTGTTTGTTTTTCTTACCACCCAGAACTTACCAAATATGTCGGTTTCGCGTCCTTTCCCTATGCACACACACACACATAACAGGTATCAATGAGTATAAATCTGTATATATGTGTAAATATGTATGTGCGTGTGTGGGCGTGATACAGTATTAATTTAATACCTGAGCCATCCAAGTCTCCCTTAAAGCGATGCCAGGAAACTCTGCGTGGAGACGGGCTGGGGCTTGAAGTAAAACCCATGCTGTCTTGCTGAAAGCCTGGGTAATAGACGACAAATAGACATTGGATAGGCATAGGTGCTGGATCGAACAAGACCAATTCCAAGGACAAGTATGGGGGTTAAACTGGTAAAGAAAGCAAAATTCTGCAAATGTAAAGCCACCAACCTACGGTAGACCGAACTAGCTGATGACATCCCACTACAAACTCAATGGGCATCATCATCATCATCATCAACATCATCATCATCAGCATCATCATCAGCATCATCAGCAGCATCATCATCATCAACATCATCATCATCAGCATCAGCATCATCAGCAGCATCATCATCAGCATCATCAGCATCATCATCAGCATCATCAGCAGCATCATCATCATCAACATCATCATCATCAGCATCATCATCAGCATCATCAGCAGCATCATCATCAGCATCATCAGCATCATCATCAGCATCATCAGCAGCATCATCATCAGCATCATCAGCAGCATCATCATCATCAACATCATCATCATCAGCATCATCATCAGCATCATCAGCAGCATCATCATCAGCATCATCAGCATCATCATCATCATCATCAGCATCATCATCAGCATCATCAGCAGCATCATCAGCATCATCATCAGCATCATCATCAGCATCATCAGCAGCATCATCATCAGCATCATCAGCAGATCTCAGGCCTCAAACAGTGGGGATATGGGGCTCCTTGGGTTCCAACCGAGTGAATCATTTTCCGCAGCTTGAACAGACATGGAATAGATTGGAACTGGAATTTCCAGCATTTTCTTCGATAATTGTTCATTTATAGACAACCTGCACTTAGCACAGGGATTTTCATGGATTTTCCCATCAAACATCTCCATTTTATAAGGAATTTGCGTGGATTTTCCATGATTTTCCCATTACCAACCCGATTTCGCCCCAGTTTGTATCTTCCCCCGGTGTCAGCGAGGCGTCACCGAGATGCTCCGTGGGCTCAGCGATCTCCGCAGCGCTCGGATCCGGTCGCGATGGCACAGTCTTGGGCGGAAGGTGCACTCCTGGAGCTTCGGTAATATACCAATGGGGTTATTGGGTTAATATACCAATTATGTATATATGGGGTTATATATATGGGGTAATATACCAATGGGGTTATGGGGTTATTGGGTTATTGGGGTTATTGGGGTTATTGGTTACTATATGGTAATCTCATGTAATCTCATATTATAGTTACTATACTAGGCACCGTGGGGTTAATATACCAATTACCAAATGATATCTGGTTGGTGGTTGAGCCCTACCCCTCTGAAAAATATGAGTTCGTCAGTTGGGATGATGAAATTCCCAATATATGGAAAAATAAAATTCATGTTCCAAACCACCAACCAGATATTGCATAATGTGGGGAAAAACAATAATAAACCACCCATTTGGGAATGGTTTACACATGTTTACACCACCCATTTATGGTGAATTATTTGGTCCAGGAACAAAAAATGGATGTGGAAAAAAATAGGACATATTCGGATTAGCACACGAAAATGGGACCCTGTGAATTTGGTTATTCACTTTGTCCACCCTTCTTAAATATGCCTCTGGGGAGGCGGCACCCAGGATTCCAATGTCTGGCGAGAAACAGCCAAGCCCGGATGAGTTCTGAATGGGGGGGTTTATCATGTTTTATCCCATGTTTTTTCTGGTTTCTGGCTGATCTGATGCTACTTGGGCGTCCCCTTGTTCTACCTAGCTGGTGGTGAAGGTTAGTTCTTGGGCCATCTTGGGCCAAGTATTGCTAAGGCAATAAGATCACTGTTACAGTGGGGAGTATGCAAATAAAAATGGATCTGTCCAAAATGGAACCTACCCAATAGATCCAAAAGTGGCAGCCATCATACTTTTTCTAGGGAGATATGAGGATCAACCATCAATTCCCCGGATTTCCACCCAAAAAAATCAGACAAAGCCATTGTTTTAATCCATGAATCACTTGGATTCTTCGGCAACACCACACTCATCCCATGCTGAGACGTCTTTCCTGCAGCTCCACCTCTTCCGCCAGCAATCTTCGCCTCAAAGAACGATTTTCAGCGGCAAGTTTCTTATGACATGACGAAAATGACGGTTTTAGCCAACAAATTCCATGATCTTCATGGGGACCTGCTGCCAAATCTGGTGGCTGAACCACCAGGATTGCACCGGCAAAATTGGGGAGCGAGCGAACGAAAAGAATATGTAGAGACGAAATATATATAAATACCCTCTGGTAATTTAACATAGCTATGGAAAATGACCATTTATAGTGAGTTTTCCCATCAAAAATGGTGATTTTCCATAGCTACGTTAAATTACCAGAGGGTATATATATAGAAAAAGTTGTGCAGGTTTGACCGACACAGTGGTGGGGGCATCACCACCAACAATGCCAATTTTCCCAAGTGAAGACTGAAAACAGCAAGACCTAGCTGATGTTCTAATATGTTCTAATCAGTCAGTAGTCAAACATGGCAATGGAAAATTCACATGTATGGATTAAACATCTTCCCACCAAAACCTATTCAACACTGCCGGTAGCATCAGTGTTCTCTGCAAATCTTTCCGTATGGAGCATCCAAGATCATCCAAAGGTCGGAAAGTCGGAAGCTTCTCTATCCGATTCTTACTCCATAGCCACGTGTCAAAGCCCGGGGCCCCCAATCCAGCCCCACGGCACGGAAATGCCCAGAAAACAAAAAGAAATTATTGGGCATGACATTGATTGTCACAAATAGTTCCAATATGTTCCAATTAATCATCTCACCGATGTACATACGAGTATATATATATATATCACACACATGTGTGTGTGTGTGTGTCTGTATGTGTTATATGTATATACATATATGTGTGTATACATATATATATAAATGATTATAAATGTATATATATATATAACTCTCTCTCTCTCTCTCTGTATGGTCTAAAAATGTTTTTGAAAAAGTCGACCGGTTTTTAACCAGCACAGTGGAGTTGTCCCTGGTGGTCTGAGGATTCTGAGGGTGGAGGCTCTTCCATTCGTGCATCTCTCACGTCCCTTTCACCTCATTCCCACCAACGAATTGAGGGTGGCAGGGATGCTACCACTACCCGACCCTCCACTAGTCTAACCTCGCTGTCGGGAAAATTGCCATTGGTGATGTCTCTGTCAAAATTCTTTTCCCCCATCCAAAAGTGAAGGAATTCCTTTGGTTTCTCTAGATTTGAGGGGAGAAGTCCACATAAAACTCCTGGGTTTTGCCATCCACATGTTGTGGGGGGTTGTGTCCATGCTCTTTGCACCCGATTCTGAGAATAAACTGGGGATGTCACCTCAGAAAGGTGGCTTTCAGCTGCATATAGGTAACAACGGACCGTTTGATAGGGAATTGTGTATGATGCAGCAGTGATGGAACGGCATCAAAACTTTGGAGAAAACCTCAATGTGCATGGGATTTCAGTCACTTGGGCCCCCGCGAAAAAGTTGCACATGCAGCGGCACCTCGATTTATGCCGATTTGTTCGGACCAAGCGTGGAAAAACTCAATTTCTTGGGTCCGAAAGACTGATCCATACCCGCCTCAATTTGACTCGGACCCGGATATGGGCTTGCAGCATTTGACTTCTTTTTTGGATCTCCCTATGATTTTCTGAACATGTTCCCTTGGCTCTATTCTGCTGGGACATGTGCTGACCGCAAGAAACACACGATCCCAGGTTTGGCTAAAGGACGAACTCAACAAAACCCCTCGATAAATAACAAATTTGGATAGAAAAGAGTGAAACATAGTTGAACCATCTGGTTCTCTAATTTTCTTAATCTAAAGTTTTGTACTCCATTAATCAATATTAACTATATCCCATTGGATCCATGTATGCTATATATGGTAACATGGATCCCATCAATATACCCCAAATGTCAGCATATATATACCATACATGGATCCTATGGGATATTAACTATATATATATACAATATATATATATATACGATATATAGGAACTCTGTCAAAGTCATAGGTTTCCCGGAGGTCTCCCTCCGAAAACGTCGAGAGACGCTGCGCGAGCGGCGCTTGGATGCCAGCCGAGCACCTGGGGGATCATGGGAATTACGGTGGGATTTACCCAAACATTGCGAGAAAAAACCCACCGAAATGGTAATCTGACCGGGATTCCCAATGGTTATCAAAAAATATCAAAAATCATATTGGAATACGGGAAGATCTCCTTGGGATTTAATGTGATTTCAGATGGATATAGTATGATTTAGCCATGAAACATGGTGATTTACCTATCATACACGGTGTTCAACGTGGGATTAACCCAGCATAAACGATAAGAATGCGGATTTAGGCAGTAACAAACTTGGATGTTACCAGTCAACATTCGGATTGACCTTCAAGCATTGGATGTATTGGATTAGTTTTTTCGGAACAGTTAAAAGGAAACGATGGTTTTCACTCCCAGATATGGCCGACCTGGCCGACCCGTGTAAAAATCGATCTTTTTGGGCAATTCTGGGAATGATTGTAGCCAGTTGTGAATCTAAACAGCAACAATATAGGCAAACATTGGGTGAAACCAGCGCCAAGAAATGGGATCAAGTCCTTAACCGGCAGCAGATCCACCGCGGCTATGCTCATCTCTGGGATGTGAAGCCTATTTTGCAGGTCTCAATTTTGACCCCAACTTACAGTATAGTTATATTATGTTATATGATGTCAAATGATATGAATATTAACAGGTGTCAATATATTGCGATGTGGTATGCCGGTATACCTATATTCATGGTTGTAATAAATACAGTATATGTATATATAACTGGTTGGTGGTTTCAACCCCTCTGAAAAATATTAGTCAATGGGAAGGATGACATCCCATATATTATGGAAAATAAAAAATGTTCCAAACCACCAACCAGATATATATATATATCAAGTTCATATCAATACATGGAGTATACCAAGGTTGCTACGTTTGGCAGGTGATCGCACGCGCTGGAAAAGAGGTGACAGATCGCATCAAACGACCAGGGGAGATCGCAGAAAGGTCACCAGCTGCACTGAGAAACCCAAGACACCCGGAACAAAAAGAATGAGGTAACGGTAAAAGTACCGGCTTTCAATAAAAAAAAGCTAGTATATAATCTATCAATGTATGGGTGAAGCCTGGAGCAAGTTGCTTGAAATATGTTTGGTACTTGAGACATCAAACTGCGCAAGGAAACGCAAGATGATGATGTGGATATGAGTTGAGTAAACAACAAGAGTAATTAGGGGTTTTCGTCAACCATCTATCTATCTATCTATCTATCTATCTATCTATCCCTCTCTGCCTACCTACCTACCTGCCTACCTGCCTATCTATCTATCTATCTATCGATCTATCTATCTGTCTATCTATCTATCTCTCTCTCTCTATCTATCTATCTATCTATCTATCTGTCTATCCATCTGTCTATCTATCTATCTATCTGTCTATCTATCTATCTAATCTACCTATCTACCTATCTACCTATCTATCTATCTATCTATCAATCTATCTAATCAATCTATCTAATCAATCTATCTAATCAATCTATCTAATTAATCTATCTATCTATCTATCTATCTATCTATCTATCTAATCTATCTAATCTATCTAATCTATCTAATCTATCTAATCTATCTAATCGATCTAATCGATCTAATCGATCTAATCGATCTAATCGATCTAATCGATCTAATCGATCTAATCGATCTAATCTATCTAATCGATCTAATCGCTATCTAATCTATCTAATCTATCTAATCTATCTAATCTATCTAATCTATCTAATCTATCTAATCTATCTAATCTATCTAATCTATCTAATCTATCTAATCTATCGAATCTATCTAATCTATCTAATCTATCTAATCTATCTAATCTATCTAATCTATCTAATCTATCTAATCTATCTAATCTATCTATCTAATCTATCTAATCTATCTAATCTATCTAATCTATCTAATCTATCTAATCTATCTAATCTATCTAATCTATCTAATCTATCTAATCTATCTAATCTATCTAATCTATCTAATCTATCTAATCTATCTAATCTATCTAATCTATCTAATCTATCTAATCTATCTAATCTATCTAATCTATCTAATCTATCTAATCTATCTAATCTGTCTAATCTGTCTAATCTATCTAATCTATCTAATCTATCTAATCTATCTAATCTATCTAATCTATCTAATCTATCTAATCTATCTAATCTATCTAATCTATCTATCTAATCTATCTATCTATCTATCTATCTATCTATCTATCTATCTATCTGTCTGTATATATATATGCGTGTATATATCTCTATATATATATGCATACATGATATACAACAATGATTGGTTGGGCTATATGACTGGTTGGTTGCTGAGCGATAAACTGATAAACTCATAATTGAAAGTATATATACAAAAAGAGCGGACTGTGAAGGTACGAGCTGCCAGTGGCAGGGGCACAAACACATATGATTATTACATACATGTATGCACACACATAATAGCAACCAATTGTGGTCATGTGTTTCCGTAGGTCAAACAAAAAATAATTAAAAAAAAAAACACCACACAAATGAGCAGGTGAATAAAATTGGGTCTTGAGTCTTGACTCTTGACCCGAAGGGCCAGGTATCTCAAAGGTCACAACATGACATCACTCCATCAAGCTGCTTGAAACCATCCCACGGATGAAGAACTACAGTGTAACTTACAGTAACTAGGTTGGCTGATACCTAGTTCTTCAGAAATCAACCCCTTTGGCCCAGCAATCACAACGGGATCCCCTGCTGTTCTGATCAATCTTTGGCACAGGCATCTCCGGATTGGCCGCCTCACAGCCAAACTCTGCAGGAAACCCTGATAAAATCCCCCCGTTTCCATAGGGGGCTCCCTGTAGATTTTTCTTCAACCAAGTCTTGGATTGTGGAATGGATGTTGACCCCTCTATCAACCACTGTTGTGATCTGCTTGGTCGTTGCGACATCAGCACCATCAATCTTAGTAAACTTGGTTTGGTCAGCCACGTTGAAGGGATGGAGACTAAAATGGTTTGAAGGCTTGGGTTTGTCTGACATGTCTGAAAATAGGGTACCCCGGAAATCCAGTGGTTTATCATCATGTTCCAATATGTTTCCCGTTTAATTCAATTGCTATATATTGGGGTGCACCCCACTTGTAGACACGCCCAATCTTCAGACTCTTAGTTATATATATATATAAATATGTGTGTGTGCGTATAACGTACGATTAGATCCCATCATATCCGTTCGCACCCCTCCGGTAATCAAACGTAGCAAAGAAGAAAAGAAGAATTCACCATTTATAGATGAATTTCCCATCAAAACCTCCATTTAGTTGGGGGATTTTTACATGTTGTCTATATTTTCCCATGATTTTCCCAGTTGATAGGGGAAATCCATATTATGATATAGTTATATAGCCATGGTGTCACCCCAACAGGCGGCCTTTTCCTTCCAAATCCTGGAGCCCCTCTGCGTGAAAAGATGTGCTGTCGGCATCGCAGCCTCGGGAAAAACGAGGGAATTCATGTGGGTAAAACAATCATAAACCATCCCCCAGTCATCACCATAAAAAACGGAAAATGCCCATTGATTTACCATAGCTATGGAAAATGGCCCAGCTATAGTTGATTTACCTATTAAAGATGGTGATTTTCAACAGTTATATTAGTTTACCGGAGGGTAATTATTGGGATGGTTCATCTCTCCATGCTACCTTACAACCAAAAAAAACATGAACGGGGGACACAACTTGGTTGCGCTCTTCATGCTAGTTTGGCGTCCGACACTCCATTCTCACGTCCTAATTGCATGGCATACCATGGCATACCACTTTCCAATGGCAATCGATACATCTCTTCATTGTCCCAGATTGCATAGTTGAACCTTCCAACCCGGATCAAGTTGTTTCTCCCCAGAATAAACTCCACGCAGATAAGTTGGGCCATCGGCATGATGTTCTCGTCGGTTGGGATCAGCAAACAATGTTCAATTATTGCTTCATCCGCATGTGATGGTCTCTTTCTAACCCAAATCCACGTCATGGGTTGCAATATTCACCCATTCAAATCAAAAAAATTGTATATTATAATTCTAATCCCATTAGATTCCCATTATACTCTAATCCCATTATGTTATAATTAACCACTAATATCCCATTATAATCCCATCATAATCCCATTCGATTCCCCTTCAGTTTCTTGCGTAAAAATCCAGTGAAATCGCTGCACCGATTCACCAAACTGGCCCCCCGTCGTCAGTGATTGGCGCAAACCCAAGAAACGTGTTGGCGCTGGTAGTCCAGGGCAGAGCCTCGGGCTGAACAACATCAAGGATAATCAATGGGAATTTCAGGATCCTAAAATGGAGGTACTGTACCATATTTTTGGCCATATTTTGTGGGGATATTCATTCCCTTACATAGGCCTTATATAGGCCTTATATATGGTAGGTACCTCCAATTTAGGATCCTGAAATTCCCATTGAAATAAGGATTCAACCATTGATTCCCATCACCCTAATATTACCATCTGGTTATTTCTTAACATAGCCATGGTATAGATGACCCATAGAAATAGATGGTTTACCTAGCTATAAAATGGTGATTTTATTTAAACACCATATTATGTGATATATGAATGCTTGAATATGATGTGAAATATTAGGAAATACCATTCATATCCACTAAGAATAGGGAATTCCTAATGTTAAACACCCCATTTCTATGGTCCCAACTATGTGCAAATTCCCTACTAAACCATGGTTTCTAAGGGGGTGTTTAATATAGGGGGAAGGATTGAAAATGTGGATTCGATTCTGAAAAATTGGGATTTAACTATGATTTGACATGACTTATCAAAAATGGTGAGTGCACCATGAAAACAATGGATTTCATGGGCTATTTTTTGAGACATGGGGATATCATATTAACTCATGGTGATATAATGGGGATGTGCTGTAACAGGTAGAAGGTTATATAATAATAAATAAAAATATAAAATAGTGAGAATGTAATATATAGAAATATTACTGTAAAAATAAATGATTAATAGTCCATTAAGCAACAAAAATTGTGCTATAATGGGGCTATCATGGAATATACATAGTATTGAGATGGAATATTGGTGGGACCCAACCCCGATTTACCCGGTATCGATCCCTCTGGTCATTTGATGGCATGTGTAGAAACTAACCTTAGTGGCTGATGGGTATTTATATAATGGGATATAACTATGATTATAACTATGGTTAACTATGTTTATATACTATGTTTTACCTTAGTTCATGGGATATAACTATGACTATAACTCTGAGATTAACGAACCAACTATTCAGAATGATAATCCAATGAATTGATTTTCCTCTGGCAATAACTAACAGTTTGCGATTGAGCATCATATTTCTTACCAGGTAAATCATCCAAATAACCGGACCATGCTCAATAGCAGAGATAAAGTGCCAAATGATAGATGGATAGTTGGAAAGGTGGATGGATGGATATATAGATTGACGGATGGATAGATAGATAATCAGATATATGGATGGACAGATGGATAGATGGATAGAAAGATCGATAGAAAGGTTGATAATTAGAAAGGTTGATAGAAAGATGGATGGATAGATAGATGGACTGGATAGATGGACAAATATGTAAGTAATGATGCCAGTAGATAATGATAGATTTCGGAAGATGTGCGTTTGATTGATGCCCCAACGAAAGAGGTGCCAAATTCTTCTCGCAATTGATGTTAAGCCTTATGGGCCAACACAAGGCCAAGGCGCAGAAGGCTTCAAACTCCATCCGTTGCCCGGTGGATTCCAAGAACGAGACCTCACCCGGTGTCCCAACACCAGGGATTTGTTGATTCCAAAATGAAGGGATACACCATCTACGAGCCTTGATGAGACTGATATCATTGATATCATATGGTGGCCAGTTAGAATCATTTTATTTCGGATTTGTGTTTGAAAAAGAAGGTTCAGCCATGGGATTTTTGGTGTATCGTGGTGCCCTTTTCAGAATCCCAAAGAGTTTCGTTGAGCACTCCAACATAGTCCAACCATTCAAACCCAGAAGGACATTGCCTTTCGCTGCATTCTCCCTCGTTTGTCAGGGTTGCCATTTGCCATCATTCCCATCAGTAGGATACCACCATGAATGCCAGTTTTTCTTGGTTGAATCCTCATGTTACAGTTTGTTGGTTGTTTCTGCGTTTTCTTCCCATTTTCAGCCATTCTTGGAAACCTTCCCTGCAATGTAGAAAACCCACCGATAAGCCATTCCGTTCTGTTCGCATAAATCTTAGATGTTGGGGGCTTAGAAGTGAGCATATCCTTGTTTCTACCACCCTACCCAGCTTTCGCAATTCAAGCAACATTTCGCCCCAAATTTCAACTATATAGACTGTTGCAAACCCAAAACCAGATGCCAGAAACCAACTCAAGTTTACCTGCAGTCGGTGGATTGAAACCAGGGTCTATGGCATTGGGTTTCCTAATCCCTTCCCTCCAAAATTAAATACCCCAGAAATCCGTGGGTTGGTATTCGATCTGTTCAACTTGGGTGCCCAGCGGTATTTGATATCAAGGAGGGGTGGGATTGTCGATCAAAATCACGATTATCACCCATGTTGCCTGGTCGAATGCATAAAATATCCCGAATGTTGTGTCTGAAAAGGAGATACGCTCAGAAATGGCAAGTGTTTATGGAGACATGAGCAGCATCAAAAACCTGGTTGCGAACTCGTTCTAGTGGTTTGTTCATCGCTATTCCAATGATTATTGGCAGATAATTTTTCCAGAAGTTAGCCAAATCTTCAAAATTAACAATTCACATCAATAAACATCAATAAACATCAATAAACATCAATAAACATCAATAAACATCAATAAACATCAATAAACATCAATAAACCATGGTTCATCCTTTTTCCCACCAGCTAAATCCATGTTTAAATCCATCCCTATTCATCCCTATGCTTGCCCAGCTGCCATGGGCTGCAGGAAGCTGCGCAGGTCCGCGTCCAGGCCTCGGCCCGGCGGTGTCCTTTGTGGTGTTTATGGCAAATACAGGGGATAAGTAGGGGATACCCTCTGGTAATTTAACATAACTATGGAAAATCACAATTTTTAATGGGAAAACCATCTATAAATGGGCCATTTTCAATAGCTATGTTAGTTTACCAGAGGATAAGTGACACCCCATAATCATTCATAATAAGTATGGGATAAGTAATGATAGTTATCCCCTGTATACTTATCCCATATTTTATGAATGATAAGTATGGAATGCTTAATGATTATGGGATTTTTAATGATTATGGGGTGTAATGCAGGGGATATTATGGATTATGGGATTCTTAATGGTTCTTAATGATTATGGGAAATAATTAATAAATACACCCCATACCCTCTGGTAAACTAACATAACTATGAAAAATCACCATGTTTAATGGGAAAAATCACTATTTCTATGGCCATTTTCAATAGCTATGTTAAATTACCAGAGGGTAATCATTAAGAATCCCATAATAATGCATAAATACATCCCATAATAGGTGTATTAGTGGAATAATCCCATAATATTACAGTCGTTAATCCCATAATAGTGGTGTATAGTGTATGGATAATCATTGATTATATAAGTATGGGGTAAGTAATTTTATCACATCTCAATTGGCTGGCTACTGATGGGATGAATCAACAATAATCCATAATCATTGATTATAATGATCATAGATCATCATCAATAACCATGGACTTATTTTCTAATCACGTAATCATCATAGTTGATCCATCGCACAAAAAATTAAATGCACCCCATTTTAAAAGGTCCCAACTATGTGGAAATCCCCCACTAAACCATGGTTTCTGGGGGGGTGTTTAATATTAGGGGCAAGGGATTAGTAGCATACATGTTGTCATCAAGAAACTTGTTTCTAAGAGGTCTTTTTTCACATGATTTTAAAATGATTTGAAATAGGGTACAACTTGACTAGCCACCAAAACCATCCAAAGTCAAGAGGATACAGCCACAAAAAAATGCGGATATGTTACTGTTTTAAATTAAAGTAGCACGCATGATAATTTGATATGAGTTGATATCTACAGTAATGATATCTAGAATTCTGGGAATGACGTGATTGAAAGCTTGGGAAATGATTTGGACGAGTTGCCCAAGAAACATCGCCACTTTTTTGGGGGGTCCGTCAGTCCAGAAGAATGAGTCATCCAGGATCCAGGGTAGATGGTTTACCTGACCTATTGAAAATCTATGTGGCTATCAAAACCCTGGCACTCTGCCGAATTATTACAAACATATTCCCCCGGAGATCCCCGAATTCTGATGAATTATGGGCATTTATCCGATTTATCCCTTGAATATTAATATGGAATCTATACTATATTATATATATATATATATCTCTCTCTCTCTCTCTCTACAACCTCTATATCTCTAATATTCTCTAATATCTGTGTATATCTGTATATGACATGTTGAATCGTTTTGACCCATGCCCGTTCGAAAATTAGGTGATGTTCTGCCAGGTTCAGGCTCTGGTCCATGGCCTGGGCTCCTCACCATCTAAGCAAATGCTTTCCGCTTGCAGCTCACCCTGGCAGTATTTGGGGGCGCCTCTCTCTGGTCCAAATCTGGGCTCTTCACGGATCAAACTTCCTGATTCTTCCTGTAAGATGTTCCTTTAAAGAAGAAAAAAAAGCTGGGAGATTCTGGGCCCATTCACCTCTTAGTGTCTAGTGCCTCGGAGGAACCTCTTAGTCTGGCCCGGCCAGAGTTGCAGACCCAATGGTTCCAGAAGAGAAGTTCCCTCAGCTACCCTCTGGTAAACATACAAAAAGCTATTGAAAATGGCCATAGAAATAGTGAGTTTTCCCATGAAAAATGGTGATTTTCCATAGCTATGTTAAATTACCAGAGGGTATCTCAAATTTCCCTTTCAACGGGAGTGAAATCGCCTCTGCGTCTTTGGAGGTCAGCAAATCGAACAGGAGTCTGAAGGTCCGTTGCTTTGTCTCCTGACTAATTTGGCGCATTTCGCCAGATGAATTGGGAAGCGTTGCCAAGCCGAGCAGGGACTGGGGTTACTACCAATTTGAGTCACTTCCACCTAGAGGACACAAACTGCCATACCCTTGAGGGTTTTCAATTAGGGGGACAGGGAACAGGGGACCTGGGGACACAATCTTCTTGGACAACTACGAGTACTTCTGCACAAGTCACGAAAACCTTTTTTTTGAGTCACTTGCGCGCACCTGCAGGGTTTTAAATTACCGGACCTGGGGGGGACATGAGGACACGGGGCAACGGGGCAGGGGATTTGGGGACACGGGGCATGGGGACAGGTGGGAATGGGACATGGGAACAAGTGGTGGGACAGGTCAACATGAATTCAAGATGCATACCAACAACCTTACCATGCGAGCAGGTATCTGATTTGCTGTTAGTTTCCTAGAGATGTCCACAATTTCACACCATCCCAAGAACATGCAAATCTACCAGGTGCACAAGCGAGAAAGAAGACACAGGCAAATTAGGCAGGTGCACAAGCGAGAAAACATCTACTTGCTCTGTTTCCTGCAAATTCCTCACTGGTTGGTGGTTCCAACCCCTCTGAAAAATATGAAAGTCAGTTGGGGTTATTACTCCCAAGATATGGAAAAATAAAATTCATGTTCCAAACCACCAACCAGCTCAGGTTTCATAGCATTCAACATGAAGAGATGCAGCCGGTGCAACTCCTCAAAGAGTTGCCGCGAATTCTCCCCCACCTGGGGAGTCAATGGCCTGGGGCGGTCGCAGAAAAACTGGTCACTTGTTGTGAATACCTGAACCTGGTGGCGCGCAAGCAGCCAGGAATCATGGCCAATGGAATCTGAATTGATTAATGATCATAGATCATCATCAATAGTCATTGACTCAAACTTATCTTTTAATCACATAATTAATTATCATAATTGATCCACCCCACTAATATTAAATACCCTCATTCTATGGTCCCAAATACGTGTCAAATCTCCTACATCCACCATGACGGAAACGAAGGTGATGCTGCAAAAAAACCGAGTGCTGTGCGCTTCCTCTGAAAGTGCCTAGCGACCACCGCTTGGAGCACACATCATCGTGGTCACAGGGCACCCTTTCTGGTGTTTCACTTATGAGATGATGAATCAGATAGATTACCTGCCATTCCTACGATGCTCATCCAAGCAAACCACTAACTACCACTGCTTTAGACAGAAAATGAAAATTGAAAATGATCCTCATTTTGAGACCATGTTGCTGTTGAACAAGGGTGGGTATCCACCAGACTGCACTTGTTTCAAATAGAGTGCTACACCCATTTGGGTGGCTTAGAATCCAAAACCATGCTCATTGGCTCAAAACCCACTCAGTGCTGGTTAAACTCCATGTAGATAGATATAGCGCCAAAAAAAAAATAGAAAAGTTCCAAATCATCACTAATTAGAACTGAACTTTACTAAAATCTCTCTTTTGGGGGATGTTATAGATTATATAGAGATTATGATTCTGCTATTGGTAGAGCAGCACTATATATATATGTGTGTGTGATTATTATATATGTATATTTATATGTATGTTTTTTATATACATGTTCCTTCTGTTTTGCTTACAGTAGAAATCCCTGTTTCTGTTGGTTCCTTCCCCTCCCCTTTGTCGCCTGCGGTGTCGCCGATCCTCTCCTGCCCAGGCCGAAGAGGAAGTCGCCAATGGGCAGGCCATCCTTGTTGCGCTCCTTGGATGCGCTCCAAGTTATTTGACATCAGCCAGTATCAATGGATTGGGAGGGAAAACTTACAGGAAACCCCTCCAATTTTATGGTCAAAAGATGTCAAAAGCATTCAAAAGCATGGTTTCCGGTTTCGATTTTCCCGTATAAACCAATCCATTGACAGTATCTATCTGAATTATGGGATGTTATTGCTGGATATTGCTGGATTATGGGGCCAAATGGGCGAACTTCTTAGTGGAATGGCTGAATGATGAGGTTTTTGTTGACAAATATCCTCAAGAAAATGCGACCCAAGCGGATTATTGACGATATATACAGGATGTGAACCGCTACAGCACAGTCATGCGGCACACGTTGAGCTTCTCACTATGAATGGGCCTCGACCAGTTCTGGGATGAAACCTCAGAGATCTCAGAGGCGAGCCAGAGTCAATTGACCGAGTGGATCAGCAGCAGCATCCGAGTTGGTTCCTTCCCGACACAGTCTCTTCAAGTCTCTTCCTTCCGAATCATCACGAACATAAAGAGATGTATGGTCTCTTCATGTCTTCTGAGAATCTGGGCCACAAGAATCTCATGGCTTATCGTACTGTTCAACTATAAACTTGCCATTTTGGGGTACCCCTATGCACAGCATACAATATATGGTGTATCTATGGTGTATATTCATGAAACCCTACATGCGAGTTGACGTGTTGCTGCTACCCTGCGCTTCTGAGCAGCACACTCCGGCTGCCCACCCAGATCCTGCACACCGACATATGATGTGCCCCAGCCGGGAGCTGAACCAACGATATCCCAGTTGGGTTGTGACTGCTCCGAGCATCCCATTTACCCTCTGGTAAACTAACATAACTATGGAAAATCACCATTTTGTAGCTGGGTAAATCCACTATAAATGGCCATTTTCAATAGCTTTTTGTATGTTTACCAGAGGGTAGGTGTGGAATATCTGGCCTTTGACTGGCGATCACTTTCTTGCTTCTGCCGGCGCAAAGACACCCATCCTGAACGCCGAGTCATGACGAATCTGGATCTATCGATGGCCCTTGAACGAATTCACCAGCCTGAAGAGTTGGGCCAGTTGAGGATGATTCCGCTTTCATGGGCAGTTCATGGGCCATCATTCCAGGGACTCGCAGTGTCGCAAGATCATTTCTCCAAATTGCTCCCATTACATTGCCATTGTACCACCATTTTTGTTGGTTAAGTCACCATGTTTGTTGGTTAAGTCACCATGACATAACCATTCAAAAGGGGCAGTTGGTGGAGTCGCGGGTTCTTAGTCAATTCCCATTCATATCCAGTTTTGGGTGGATGTCAAATCTCCTAAGTCCGTTGGTTTATCATGTTCCCAGGTGCCGAGCGATCGGAGTAGCTCCGGGAGTAAGCCAGTCGATTGATGAAGTCCTGCTGAGGCCAGGCTCCATAAATCGGGGTACCCCAATAGCTGGATGGTTTAGTTCGTGGAAAACCCTCTTCAAATGGATAATTTGGGGCTACCCCCATTTTAGGAAATCCTCATATAAATGGTCCCATATCTGTTAATATTCCATGGTTAATGGTTAGTGGTTAATATCCCCATAGTTGAATGGTTAATAATTGTTAATATCCCCATATTCAATGGCTAACATGCGTTAATATCCCCATAGTCAATGGCTAACATGTGTTAAACCCCCCAGATTCACTGGTTGATATCCCCATGCTCAATGGTGAATATATCCATATTCAATGGTTAATATCCCCATATTCAATGGTTGATATCCCCATATTCAAATGGTAATATCCACATGTTAGTGTTGATGCATGTTGATATAATGGTTGTTATAGTATTTAGTTAATATCATGTTAATATTAATGTTTCTGTTTCTTTGACAGGTGATACAAATAATTGTGCTTAATAGTGGTTATTCATCATTGTTGGTAAATATAACTACATACAATAGAGTGGTGATATAAGGGTTCTCATTCCCATGGTCAATGGTTAATGCCAAAAAAAAGTCCGACCATTTGTTGACCGTTTCACCTATCGTTAACCCCTGTATGTTTTGATCGTTAAATCACCATTCATAATGCTTATAACATGATCCATGGATATAATGATCCATTATAATGCTTATAAATTCCATTAATCACCATATATCACCACTACAACCTCGATAAAAAGATATGAATCCACAACTTTTTCCAGGCCTCTTTGGTCTCCATAGAGGCCTTGCTCGGGTCCTGGCTGTGGATGTTTAAGGATGATTTTGAAGTTTCGGGGAAGTGGCTACCAGAAAATTGGGGTGGATCTAACTATCAAAGTAGCCGATTTAAGGATCGAACATGGAGATTCATACTGGTTCATATATAGAATACCCAAAAACGTTGGCAAGGTGATGGAACTCCAGTATTGGACAAGATCTATCAATATCTAACAATCGGATCTAACCATCAACAGTTGGGATTTGGGCGGCAATCATAGATTCTCCCTACAAACGTAAACTCTTCCATTGGACTTTGAGATGCAGGCTAGCTTATGTACTGTGAAAGCTGTGCCTGTCCATCACGGGTTGAAGGGATACACTGATACATCTTAAGGCACACCCACATCACAACTAGGCCCCAGTCCATGCCAATATCCGGCTGGAAGGTTACTCCAGGCGGGAGCGCCTTACGGTTAAACTGACAGGAGAATCGACCGGAGATCTGCTGGGAAATCGTGGGAATCATGTCATATCATGTCTCATGGTAATCTGTTGTAAGCACCTTGGGATATCTTGGGAAAGCTGAACTGCTCAGAACCCACTGGTGAATCCAGGATACAAAAGTTGACCCCGTGGTTGAGTTTCCTTCATGGAATAAACCAGGGCTTGTTAATAGAGATATCAAGGGGTTGGTTGACATCAACTGGGTAACCCTCTGGATCCCTCAGGTAATTGCAAATGTAGCAACCTCTCCGGAATATTCTGGAATTGGGACAGCCAAGAGATTAATTAATTATATACCAAGTTTGGTGATGCTTACCACCCTAAAATGAGGGAAAACTCCAACATCTCACTGTGACACGTGGGGGAATGGCATTATTACATTGGTTGCATCTGAAAATCTATAGGAAACCCGCAAAATCGAGTACTTAATCATCATATAATCATGTATCATCATTTCCTTTCATAAGATGGCCATAGATGGCCATAAATTGATGGTACACCCATGTATACCCCCTTACTCCAGGCGGAGAAGAGTTCAGAAAAAGCGGCTCGAACCGACTCCAGATGTCTCTCCCGTCGCCGAACAGCGTCTTCATACAGGGAATCGTACCTGTTACCAAGTCCTAACGGCTTGGATGGGGTGGTTTAACCAAACAGAATAGCTATTCTGTTAACCGGGGATGACCCACAGCCGGGCTGGGTCATGCTGTCTCTGTCAAATTAGAATCACAAAAAATTGGTGTTGAAAGTGTCAACGCAACCCAGCCATGGTTAATAGTGTGAGGTGACCACGAATCTTGACCCACCCACCGGGTAAGCCACAAACACTGCCGAGGTCCCAGGGCACAAGGTCCCCGTAATCTTTAGCCGAGCGAGTCTTTGGGAGATCATCTCTGCAGACTTCTGATCAATGTCAGGCTTGAAAGTGCAACCTCGGCTGTCCATGATCGCCCGGGTGATAAGGGGACCACCAAGTTCTTGGCCACACCTTAAACTGGTGTATAGAACATTATAGAATGCCCTTGCAGTTGGCCTTGTGCCCTTTTTAGAACCAACCCTTACCGACCACTTAGAACCGAGCGGTCACCCATGCTGAGGGCGCCGCCATCCATTTCCGCCTGCTCTTTTATGTTCCGCAGCCTTTCCATCTTCATCCTGGTCTTCAGTCCAGCCGGGTCTTGCAGCGACCTGCGGCTGTAGACTGTAGACACACCCTTCGCACAAGAAACATGAAAAGAACAAGACCTCTAGGGTTCAACTGCCAGAAGGTGACGTGCCAAAATGCTTCAAACACTTCAAGAATCCTTAGAGATTTCTGCAACATCCTACGGTTTCAAGACCCTCCAAAGCGACTTTCTTGGTCCCCGCCCCACAGGGGGCCAGCACCAGGCGTCCGGCCTCGAAGTGCCTTGAATCCTTCGTTGCGACACCTGCGGCCAGCACCAACTTGATTCGATCGGGAAAATCCATGATCCAAGTAATATACAGCACATATATAGAGAGAGAGAGAGGTATGCAATGTGTGTCTACATATACATAATGATATACATATATGTATTATATGGATTTATAATGATTTATATAGATTGTATAGTTGATGTTGTCGGCCAGATGCACACATCCCATTCGCAAGGGCCAGTACCGCAGGCTCATCAAGTTTCGCACTCACCAACATTCACCACCCACAACGGGGATACGACATGAAACCAGTCACGATGGATTGATCGCAGCCTCAATCACCGGCTTGAACCTTGGTCAAAGGCAAGTTGCAGAAGTTTGGCCGTGCTGAAGTTTATGCCAACATTGTGGAGAGCCAGGCATTATGAAGCTGCAATTGCCAAAAGTTTGGATATGCAGATATTTGTAGATAGGCATATCCATATGCAGATATTTGTTCCAGATAAATATCAAACTGACCGTATATATGCCTATCATTATGTAGATATTTATCTTATTTGTCTACATAAAATGACCCGTATATCAACCGCAAATCTGGTGATTTGATGTATTTCTTTGGAGCAGTGGGGAGCGAAGCTCTCAAGACAGTTGAGGACTGTCATCACCCATCATGAAGTGGTTCTACACTTGTGCTGCACTGGGCTGCATACCCAATAGTAGGGGAGGACCAGTCAGCTAGATTGGGGTTTAGGAGTTTAGGCCTTACCCTCGCGTGGAAAAGCATCTGAACTTTAGGAGTGGGCATATTCCCTGAGCAAGTACTTCCATCAGGCTCAGCAATAAGTGGATACTGAAATAGCCAAACCTCGTGGCCATTTCAACTCTTGACTCCATTGTGAAGCTGCCGCGCCGAGACACGTGGCTTCCTGTTCTTCCTGCTGACGCTGAAGCTCGTCGCGCATCTCCTGAAGCACAAATGCCGAACTCACCAAGAATACGCTGTTGGCAACATCTAGCAATGGTCAAAAGTGTTTTTGCTATATTTCTATAGATCTAGGCGCATCAGTATATATATATATATATACAGGTGTGTGTGTGTGCGTGTGTGTAAATATATATAGTTATACAATAGTATAAATATGTAACATATATATATAATTATACATTAAAAGAATGTGCATCACCCATCTTTCAGGGGCTGATATACCCCAATTCATGCACTTTCTCTCTCCATAATTTCTGTGCAACCAGTCACTTGCAAACCACTTGCGATTCTTGACCAGGAAAACCGTTGGCTGCACTTCACGTCACTTCCCAACCATCAGTTATTCTTGACTCCATCCCAAGTTGTCTGGGTCAAACCCTATTCTCTCTAGTTGATTTCTAAAAACTAAATGATTTAAGTCTATCAAAATCCCTTACCCTCTGGTAATTTAACATAACTATGTAAAATCACCATTTTTAATGGGAAAATCCACTATAAATGGCCATTTTCAATAGCTATGTTAGTTTACCAGAGGGTATGGGAAAAAATTGAGGCATGGAGCCAACCTTGCCCACGCCGCTCCTGCAGGTGTCGCATCTTCAAGGCTCTTCTGGCCGCGTCGTTGTGGAGCCTCCGTGGCCACCAATTGGCGGTTGAATTTTTACCCTCTGGTAATTTAACGTAGCTATTGAAAATCACCATTTTTAATAGGAAAATCCACTATAAATGGCCATTTTCAATAGCTATGTTAAATTACCAGAGGGTAACCCATCCCCCAGTTCATGACTTTCATGATTGAAATGACTCAATGTGATTCATCAAGAGATGGACATGAGACGGACGGCAGCTCATGAATCAGTTGGACATTCATTACAAGTTTGGTGTTGCCACGTGTTGGTCATACACCCACTGTGTCAAATCATCTCCGAAAGTATGCCCCCAAAGCATGGTAAATCAATATTTTCTACTATTTTTGTTTTAACCAGTATTGATAGGTTATATCCCAATTATATCCAACTATCCCCATAATTTTGTTTTGCTTTACAAGGATATCCAAACCCCAGGAGAAAAAAACATAAACCCGCATGTATCATCATGTATCTGAATTTACTGTATGTACCAATGTGATCCCTAATAAGGGAAATGTTTATAATTATTTATACCCACAATATTTCCATGATACCACCATTTTTGTTGCGTAAACCCACCATTTCCATAAATCAATTTAATTCATCCAGCTTATTGGATGTTATTGGATGACAATTCCATACAAATCACAATTTTTGGATGGTTAAATTTAAATTCCAATCTTAGATTACAACTTTTGCTGGTTAAACCAGCATTTCTGCTGGTTAAACCACCATTTCCGATGGTTAAACCACCATGTTTGCTGGTTCAATCCCCGGTCAGACCGCGCTCCACCGAGATTTTAGGAGACAAAATCGAGCCTCTCCCCTGGCGCTGCGCCGAGATCCGTGGATCGCCGTTGCCACGCGGCATAGCGGGCTGTGCCCGGCCTTTTTGGGGCACGGCCGGAAGTGCAGTTCCAGCTCTGAATGGATAATAATGGATATATGTATGTATTGATTTATTCATTTTTTAAAATACATGTAGATAGATGGCTACCCAATAGATCAGGTTAGACAATTTTCTGCCTAATAGTTAATATAGTTAATTTGTTGTCTTAGAGAAACAAATAACTATTAGACGACTATAATTTTCATTTTAACTAAATAGTTGTTTTTCAAAAATTTAGGAACTCTTTTTAAACTATGTTTAAACCATGTTTGAACTTGTTTAAACTTGTTTTAACTGTTTTAAAACGATGTATATATATATTGAAAATTGTTTAACTTGTTTTTTTGAGCTTAACCATTTTCAAACTATATATATTGTCACTAGGTTTCAACATTTTGTTATTTTACTTCGAATATTTGTTTTTTTTAAGAAAAGGCAAGACTAGGAACATCATGATTTACACACAATAATCCTACAAAAGCACAAGTAATCCTATGAGCGCCCTGTGCGTTCTTTTGTCAAAAGCAAGCATTCAACACACATTCTCTTGGACAAGGGCCATGACTGCCATTCTTTCACACATTCGAAAATGTGCTGCTCACACAATGTTTCATAGTAATCCTGTACACAATGCTACAAAGTAATCCTAGAAACTTATGTTTTTTTTAGTACATGCATCACATGTTTGAAAAGAAAAATATAATATATATATATACATATATTCGAATCTAAAGATAAAAGCTCTTTAAAAAAAAAAAAACTTAACTATAACTAATAGTTAACTTTAAATTACCTAAATAGTTAATTTTGAAAGTGGCAAAAATAACTTGAAATAGTTAGGAAATTAACTATTAACTAGGCAGAAAATTGCCTAACCTGATCTATTGGGTAGATAGATATAAATAGATATAGATACAAATGTCCAAAGTTCTTCCGGGGACATGTGGTGAACTATATATATATACTATAGTTGTTGGGCCATATAGTGAATAGTGAACTAAGTCGACACATACACACGCATACATGTGTATATATGGTCCCGTGTCCCGTGTTCCCACCCCCCCCCCCATGGGAGGGGGGGGGGGAGGAGGCCCCTGGGGGGGGGATGATACATAGACGACATACATACCTACAGACCGACCTACCCGACTTACATACCTACGGACAGACAGACACACAGACAGACCAAGGACAGGACCGGACGGGACAGGACGGACGGACAGATCCGGACCGGACAGGCGCAGACAGACAGACCAGGCACATACATACATACCTACGTACGTACATGACTACCAGTACATTACCTTACGTACAGTACCGGACCACCTGACATTACCTGACCGTACCTACATGACCTTCCGGGACATTCCATACATACATACATACATACATACCTACATACATACATACATACATACCTACATACCAACATACCAACATACCAACATACCAACATACCAACATACCAACATACCAACATACCAACATACCAACATACCAACATACCACCACCACAGGCCACAGGGGGGGGGACCAGAAGAACCATACCACCACCACAGGCCACAGGGGGGGGGGGGACCAGAAGAACCATACCACCACCACAGGCCACAGGGGGGGGGGGGCCAGAAAAACCAGACGATACTGTCCACCCATACCCATTGGGGGGGGGGGGGGGGGGGGGGGGAGGGGGGGTGGCCAACGCTGCACCATATATACCCAAAGATCAAGAGTTCAAGGGTTTTTAACCTATGGCTATAGCCAACTTATCGTTATAGATTTTATAAGTATATAATATCCAGTCATAAAATCCAGTTTATGAGTTGGAAGGATGAAGGTAGCCAACTGTAACTGAAATTATCAAAGATGGGGATATTGTAACAATATCTTCCATGGGAATGGAATCTCCAATCTTTTGCGACCATGCACCGTGGCTCTATTGGGGAAAATGATGGAAAATGCCTTAGGCCTCAAAGTCCAGGGACAAGGGTACCCCGTCCAGAGCAAAGCTCAACTGAGGACCTTACGCTACCTGCATGGAACTTTGCAAGCGTTGTGCTTCATCTTTCTCCACCTGGCAAGCCTTCTGAAAATGTCACAAAAACAACCGTTTTTTATGGGAAAATGGTGATAACCGTGGGATTTCGGAGTGGCTGGGCCAAAATCCCGCACTGCTTTCGTAAAACATCTGGCATCATGACATGGCTCCTAAATATCGGCAAAAAAATGCCCCCATCTGTTGCTAAAAAGTACCGTAACATACCGTAACTGATTGACCCAATTCATCCTGGGAATTCTGCGCCTGGTTCTTGAGCCGCTGCATGCGGAATTTTCGCTGCACGGAATCCTGGCGCAGTGGGCTGTGGGCCAAATTCACCACCTACCCTCTGGTAAACTAACATAGCTATTGAAAATTGCCATTTATAGTAGATTTTCCCATTAAAAATGGTGATTTTCCATAGTTATGTTAAATTACCAGAGGGCAACACCTGGGCATGGCTCGAAAAATGTGGCTGCAGCGGACTCACGGATTAGGACACGTTACGGTATATATTTCGCCAATTTTGACAATCACATTCTGCAAATTGGCAGTCATGTCCCATTCATCTGTTCAATATTGTTCAATACTCACGCCCCAAAAAATTGACTTTTAGACATGTACCCAAAAACCCAGCTGTCCTCAAAGAGGCGAAGAAAGCGAGGGCTACTGGCACCTGAAACAAGTGGTGGCCAGGCCCATCAACCCAACAAGGCAAAGGGGGTGGCGGGTGGTGACTTGGAAAGGGCCATTTTTCGCGTGTCACCCAGAAATCTCCATTTTCAAGTTAAAGTTAAAGTTGGATTAATCGGAATATATACAATACGATGTATATATAATTATATATGTGTGTGTTTGTGCGTGTTTTTAAAAATGTATATCATCAAATCAAAAGCACAGATCACCCGGTTCAGTTCCTGCTGAGTATCGCAGAAGGCGGCCTAGGGATCACTGGAGCATCGAACATCCTGCGTCCCACACCTTGTTTGGCACCGTTGGCACGAGGGGTGCCTCGGCTTGCGATGCTTGCAGGCGCCGAAAATCGCCCTCAACCCGATGCCATTGGCTGGCTGGATGGCGTTCCCGCTGGCTGGCTATGCTGGAAAATCCCCGGTTGATATCCACTGATGGATGGTTTTCCATAGTTTTCCCGCCCAAATTATTATCTCTCACCCAGTATGGCTTGAAATGCAAACTAATGATGGGCCTATAACAGTTCTCCGCAAATGGAAGTGGGGCTATAACTGCCCATTACTGGGGGTAGCTGAGATTGAACTGATAAAGCCATTATTCGCACGCAATGCCGACTCCGGGTTCCAAGTCCATAAACCCATGGGTTGTCTACACCCAACGTTGCCATTTCAATTTGATCAACATGCATCGCTTTTGCTGACATTGCTCCAAGGATCGTTCCATTTAGTGGTTCCTAACCAAACTCCAAGTGCTATAAGTAGTTGCTACAGTTCTAAACCAAACTAACCAAACTAACCACACTTCTTTAGTGATAACTAATGATAACCAACCACATTTAGTGGTTACTTTCCACTTTCGAGGTGGGATCCTCCCACCAGACCCAAGTTGCGGGACTCCGTGGAGGTCATACTCTGTCGCTTTGGCGTACTATCCGTGGAGACCTGGGAATTTGATCCAAAATCATCGGCAGATACCGTGCGCGGGCATTGGCACTTACATACATATGCATAATATATATATAATGATAATATGATGTGTGTGTGTATGTATGTATGTATGTATGTATGTATGTATGTATGTATGTATGTATGTCTGTATGTCTGTATGTCTGTATGTCTGTATGTCTGTATGTCTGTATGTCTGTATGTCTGTATGTCTGTATGTCTGTCTGTCTGTCTGTCTGTATGTCTGTATGTCTGTATGTCTGTATGTATGTATGTATGTATGTATGCATGCATGCATGCATGCATGCATGTATGTATGTATGTATGTTTGTATGTATCTATGTATGTATGTATGTATGTATCTATGTATCTATGTATCTATGTATGTATGTATGCATGGATGTATGCATGTATGCATGTATGCATGTATGCATGTATGCATGTATGCATGTATGCATGTATGCATGTATGTATGTATGTATGTCTGTATGTCTGTATGTCTGTATGTATGTATGTATGTATCTATCTATCTATGTATGTATCTATCTATGTATGTATCTATGCATGCATGTATGCATGGATGTATGCATGGATGTATGTATATATATATATGTGTGTGTGTGTGTATGTATGTATGTCTGTCTGTCTGTCTGCCTGCCTGCCTGCCGGTCTGTCTGTCTGTCTGTATGTATCTATGTATGTATGTATGTATGTATGTATGTATCTATGTATCTATGTATCTATGTATCTATGTATCTATGTATCTATGTATGTATGTATGTATGCATGTATGTATGCATGCATGCATGGATGCATGCATGCATGCATGGATGTATGCATGGATGTATGCATGGATGTATGTATGTATATATGTATGTATGTATGTCTGTCTGTCTGCCTACCTGCCTGCCTGCCTGTATGTATGTATGTATGCATGTGCAGAGAGAGAGAGAGAGGGAGAGGGAGAGGGAGAGGGAGAGGGAGAGGGAGAGGGAGAGGGAGAAGGAGGAAGGGGGGGGGGGGGGAGAGAGAGAGGCGCAGAGGAGAAAGGGAGAGGGAGAGGAGAGCGTATGAGGGAGAGGGAGAGGAGAGGAAGAGAGAGAGAGAGAGGGAGAGGGAGAGGGAGAGGGAGAGGGAGAGGGAGATAGATAGGATAGGATAGGATAGGATAGGATAGGATAGGATAGGACAGGACAGGATAGGATAGGATAGGATAGGATAGGGTAGGGTAGGGTAGGGTAGGGTAGGGTAGGGTAGGGTAGGGTAGGGTAGGATAGGACAGGATAGGATAGGATAGGATAGGTAGATAGATAGATATCAAGTGCATTCAAGGGCAACACTTACTGCAACATTCTAAGGTTCACACACCCGCACTCTGCGATGTGGCAATCGTCCCCTCCGAGCACAAAGCGTTCAGCCACGAGGAGGCGAACATAAGATCAATGAGAAAGAGAAGAACTCTCCACGGGGTTTTCGTTGTAGTCACTGGATTGGTTTAAGGGAAATTGAACAGGACACCCCTATATTTTATATGTGATGGGGAAACCATAGTGTCCCGTAGATTTTCCCTTCAACCAATCCAGCGATGTAGTAATTCAAAAAAAATAGAAGAGTAATTCACTAGAATTATATATACTGTATACATATATATATATATTGTCGCAGGCTTCTAGTAAAATATAGTAAAATCTATCTTCTTGGGGTTGCCAAAAAAGTGATGGCCTCCTATACAAATGGGGTTGCGGTCGCCACAACTCCGATGAAGTCCTAGGAAAACACCCAGTTATGAGTCACGGTAGCAGGCTGGACGGTGGTTTGGCTCAAAAGTTGGGTCAAGCAGTTAATCCACCCACAACTTCCGTCATCCTAAGCAACAAACCATCCAAGTTTGGAGGTTATATATGTGTATACACATAGCGAATTGGTTCTCCCATGTGTTGCTAACATTTGCTAACCCAGTAATTGGTGCACTTCTTGGAGGTGAGCCATCACCTTGCGAGGCTTCGGCGTCCCCAGCCTGCGGCCAGGCGCGTCGGGTGCCACAGCGCCGGCAAAACTGCACGTCGCGGCTGAAGGGGTTGCCACAGGACCAGCACACCTGGAGACGAAGGCGTCTGGAAAAGCCACCTGGAGGGGTTTTGTTGTGTTTGGTCGATATCAATATGGGGTGTGCCATCTGCTTCGCAGCAATTTTCGTGGAAAATGAGGTTCAAAACCCATGGATTGTGGGGTGCAAGGAGCAGATTGACTTCATGAGACATGGGATATCCGTTAATCTCCAGTACGAAACACGCATGGAGCCCAGTTGCGCCCCCACATCTTCTGAGGTTTAGTATCGCCCATTTGGGGCAACAATGGTCTTGATAACCACTGAAGGAAGAGTCACAACTGGGTTTGAGGTAAGACATGGTCCCAACATGTTCCAATTCATCTTCACGACAAAATCGCCCCTGGGCCACAATCATCCCCAAGAAACTATCTACCACACAATCCCCTAGAATGACATGTAGGAAACCCAATGATAAACCATCCCAAAATTAGAAGTTTAGCATAATAGTTGGATTTGTATGGATTTGTTGGGTTGGGGTTTTGCATGGTTTTAGCAGATTACAGTAACCATGATTGATCCACCTGTGGTTTTTTCACCTGCTCGGTGACCTTGGGATCCTTTGCTTTCTGCTTCGCAGGCACAACAGGCTTGGCCCGGGCCAGTTTCATCTTCCTCGGTGCATTTCTGGGACGGGATGAGGCTCCCCAACTCCAGTGATGGGCGGGAGCTGGGTAACTACCCAGTCGACATGTCCGGTAACTTGGAGTTCACTTAGGTTGGCTGACAATCACATTTACAAAGTAGTAGGGGCCATTATGGTTGGCTGACAATATGTTACGATATGAACCCGGTGGACCAACAGTTATATATGGAGGCTATACCCGATCAGCCTTTTCCAGTTCACCCAGGGGTTCCCGTTGTATACCTCTCTCGGAGTTTCCTGAAATTTTCCCCACCGGTACTTCTGGGATGGCAAGAATGATGAGGGCGCAACTGTGTAACCAGTCAAAACGAGTGGAAACGCATACTCAAGAAGCCAAGCTCTGACTCATTGGAGTATCAATCATGCTATGTAGATGATAGATGTATGTAACCAACAAGAATCGATATTGGCTTTCGTGGAAACGGGAAACCAGTGTGTCAGTGACGGTGTGATGGTTCCACATTCACATCTGGGATCATCTGGAAATGGGCGGATAGTTGGAGAAGGCTCCTAAGGAAAAAAGGACGTGTCACAAACCAGGATTCTGGATAGTAATTCAATGTAAGTCACCATGCTGCAATCAGACATAATCACCAGATCCCAATGGTGTCGCGGGGTGAATCTTCCCACTGCGCCACAGCGTCTCTGCGATATGAGAAGCCAAAGGTGGCACCTGAGCCGCGCTTTGCATGCATAGCGGCTTTGATGGGGATCTCCAACGTGGGTATTGGTACTGGGGTACTCAAAAAAAGGTGCTTATATTACTCAAAATATTACTCAAAATATTTTTATGTATAATAATACTCAAATATGGTCAAAACTGGGGTACTCAAGGTAATATCATGTGCACATGACTGCCCTCTAGTTCTTACTGTAACAGAGCCATATAGAGCCATACAAAATCACGAATGTTCATGAGAATCACCCTATCTATCATCTATAAATGGGCCATGGCTCCCATAGCAACGTTTTCCCGGAAAAAAAGAGGCTAAATCCCAGCGGGTCTTAAGGTTTGACCCATGGTGGGTCTATTTCCCATAACTGGTGTGATGGAAATGTTACAGGAGATCCCTATATTATATATATATGGGGTTGATGTTATGGGACCCAAGGGGATTAACTAGTAAATTTATCTTCTGGTTATTTGGGCTCAAACCTATGGTTTCCGTTTTGTTTCCAGCTTCAATCAATCCATTGAGTATTATTTGTTTGGTTTAGTGTGTGAACTTCTTCGCTATCTCAAATTTAGCCGGATAAATGGCTATAATTCACAAACCTGAAATAGGCAATGTTGGGACAATTCCCCCTATAAAGCCGTCAGAAGTTGCGCAGCTTAATCCCTCAATTCCTGTGGCTAAATCCATGTTTTTGCTGGGTTGGCAGTTTGATCTACATCTTTGATGGTTGGAAAATCTGAATCATGTTAAATCTAGATTGTACATGATTGATGGCTAAATCACTTGAATCATATTACAATGTTACCCTCTGAAAAAAGTAACATGGCTATGGAAAATCACAAACAAAAAACACTAAATCCTCAAGAAACGGGTCATCGTCATTCATTAGCCATCGCGCGTACTTTGAGTATAAATCCCCTATGGTTTTCGTCATTTCCCCTGAAAATGCCACCGTCCTCAGGGGCCAGGCCAGTTCATCCTGCAAGCCATGCTCTGCACAAAATTGCACCGCCAAGGAATGCGCCTCGCTGGCAAGGCCAGCCATGGCCGGCAGCGGGCCGGAAAATCCAACGAAGAAACGGTTGAGAAAAACTACCGGAGTCCATGGCTCTTACCTGTTGTAATTTTTTGTGGGCGTTCCTGCGACATGACGACTTCATCCAAATTTGTTCAAAAAAAACTCTGTTTTGTTTTTTGGCGGGGTATGGATTTCAATCAGATTCCCCAAAGTTGGCAAAATGTTGGTCATCGTGGTGTGTTTTTCATTGGGTTTACCACCTTTATACAATACCGAAATGGGGGGTGTACAAAACCAACCATTGGGAATATGTTCTGCGTATAATGGGATCTGTGCCCTACAATATGATATTGTGTTTTTTTGTTGGCAGAAATGGGCCAGTGCGCCGGCATACCCAAAGTTATGGCAATTTTAATGGGGAAACTGATGATCAATCATGAGCTTTTGGGACACCCTGCTAGTTTCATACACAACCCCACTAATAACATCAAATAACAGATAACAATTGGGGGTTGTTATTTGAATAAGTGGTTATTTGATTTCATACCATGATGTAAATGATCATCAAATAACATCAAATAACCACTTTCCCGGTCACTTGCGTCCCAACTTGGATTGAACGAATCGCAGCAGTTGGATCGTCACCAACAACCCACCGCTCTGACGGCTCCAACCCTGTGGTTTCATCAGCGACTTTGTTGGAGATGAGGTGTACCTTTCAAGGTTATAAAAAAGACTATTCCATACTATTCCATCTATTAACATTCCCATCAATATCCCTTTGTCCCATTAATTGTGCATTAAATTCAGTTTATCTACTGGGTTTAACCCATATCAACCGGTTCTTAACCCATATTAAGCCATACTTTCAGCCATGCTAAGCCACCATTTTTCATGTCCGCTAATCACCGAGAACCGTGGTTTTTTTCGAGTCACGTCATCGCCCTCGTGCACCAGGATCACGGGCGCTTCACCTGGGATCGGGGGGGTTATGATGGTTAATGATGGTTACTATTTTTTGTAGATGATTAATGATGATTAATGATGATTAATGATGGTTTATGATGGTTAATGATGGTTACCCTCTGGTTATGACTAACATAGCCATGGTATAGATGGCCCATTTATAGATGATTTTCCCAGCTAGAAACCTCCATTTATTTTTGGGATTTTCCATGGCTATGTTAAATAACCAGATGGTTACTATTTTTTGTGGTTAGTAATGGTTGAAAAATGGTAGAAAATAGCCGCTTTAATGATGGTAGTGATGATGGTTAATATAGTTTATGATGGTTTTTGTGGTTAACAATTTTTGCATTTAATGATAGTTACCACATTCATGGTAACCATTGTAATGGTCATTTTTAACAATATGATCGGTAATGATGGTTAATGATGGCTATTGAAAATGACCATTTATAGTTGATGTACCCAGCTAGAAAATGGTGGTTAAATGGTAAGAAATACCCATTAACATAGTGACTATTTGTGTGGTTAATGGTGATGAATGTCTCATATTTTTTCATGATAGTGTTTTTGAAATTATGTTTAATAATGGTGATGGAAATTGTTGATGTTCATGGAACATATTATGTAATAAGTTAATAATATAATAGTATGTAAAATCACTATATTTTACATAGCTATGGAAATATATATTTAATAGGAACGTAAAATAATTGTTGATGGAATATATCCTCTGTAAATGTGCCATTTTCTGTAGCTATGTTAGATTATCAGAGGGTATCATCTATTCAAATCAGATTCCAATATAAGTGATAATAGATGAATAGATGCGGAATGGGGCTTGTTGGCGGAATGTTGATGGAATGTCGCTTTTCTGATTTGAATTATCAATGCGATAATCACTATTTATTGTTGGATATCTTAACTGGCTGATCTGGTTGGCTGAATATCCCACTAATCATTGCTGGCAGCCAAAGTCGACATGAGAAGTCTTGGTGGCGGGTATTGCTGTGATTGCTGGTTCGTACTCTGAATTGCCGGCTGGCATTGGCTAACATCCCGTTATTGTAGTCAATAAACATCCATTAACCAGCTATTTTGCGGTACCTAGAGTCCCGGCGTTTTGACTCATAGGCAAATCATCATCAGAAGTCCCGGTTTTCTCGGGGGATACCGAAACTCGGAGTTGAACTACCACATGTTCGCCCCACAATGCCCGATGGCCTTTGGACATGGAGATTGCACGTTGCTAAACTCCCAAGAAAGGTGGGTCAATGGGTCTGAAATTCTTCGAAGCTGGGGGAATATTTTTGAAACGATAAACATCGATAAACCACCATTTTCCACTGTCTTTGATGAGCAAATATGAGGGAAAAAAACCTTTTCATCGAGGGCAGGGGGCCACCCAGGCGGCGAAGATGTGACTCCACGACTCCACAAGGCCGAAAGTTCCCAAGTCCAAAAGCTAGAGCACCCAAACTTGTGCAACTTTGGTGGAAGAACTCAGCTGACTCTATCTTCTTCTCCAAAAAAAATAACTTTTGCCAAGCGACTCTGAGATTTCTTCGGCCGACTTCCGACGGACTGAGCCTACCGAGGGCCATCCCTGGCGCCATGACCTCTTATGCTATGTACAAACCCATTCAGTGTTTTACACGTTGCACATAGCTGCTGCACGTCTTAGGTGTCTCACACTCGGCCAAACGTAGCGCAGCACTGAGCTATGCCATTCTGACCAAAATATATTGTCATATTAGAAATGAGGAGTCTGACGGTGGCACAAAGATCGAAACCCCCGAGAATAATTTTTCATGAAAGGAAAATGTCCAAGAAACAAGACAAGGATCAACCTGTCTGATCAACTATTTAAAAAATCACCACAATGCCTTAGCGGATCTCAAGGTGTTGGATGCATTCAGCGCCCCGTCCCGATGCAGCCATGCCTTCCCTCAAAGATTATTATGATGATATCCATATGCATATATATATATTATATATATGTGTGTGTGTGTGTACCGGTGATTCATTCAAGGATTACCATGATTATTTGTATATGCCCACTAATACCGGTGATGTTGCATAGTTATGTTAAATTTCCTCAGGGTATCATTCAGCATCTGTTCATCAGCGCTGGCGCTCGCCTCTGCATCCGAGGAGCTCTCCGCATTTCCCTGGGTGAAACGCAAAGGGCTGCAGGTAGGGTCGGGAAGCTGCTGAAGGTCGGTGAAGATGGATACCCTATAGGCCCTATAGGGGAAAAAAATGGTAAACTAACATAGATCTGAAAACTTGCCCATTTATGGATGAACTACCTATTAAAATGCGGATCTTCCACATCTATGTTAGTTTGTCCCAGGGTAAAACTCGTTTTCCCTCTTGAAAGGAATCGTGCAATGGAAAGTCACCTGTTCGATGACATATTTGTCGATCACTTTCCCATGCAAATGATGGTTCTACGTTCTGGCCGGGCCGGGGGATTCTGATGCTGAAAGAGCATCAGGGGTGACCTATGATCCATTTCGCGAAAAGGCACAGATAGGCAACATCCCTATGTTTGATTATCTTTGAATATGTTTGATCTTGATTTTCCCAGTGGTCTGCTGGTGACATCTCTCCCCATGGCCTGATAGGGCCTGATGACCTTCTGATGGCGTCTGCATCTATTGTTCTGCTGAAAAATCACCATGGTAACCTCCCCATCTTTTCTGCTTAAATCACCATATTTCATAGGTGTTTGATAGTGTTTGATGATGATTTCACGATTGTTTTACTGCTGCTCATGAAAAATCAATGGTGCTCTCACTCTGAGCTGAACGCTGGAGTCTCAAGGTCAACAGTGACCTTCAAGATCCTCAGGTTGCCGTTGCATCTTGGGAGCCTGAAATGGACGAGTCCACACATGTTGAAATTACATACCGTACTGCAACAAGACACCCAATATCACCCAATATATTTATATTGATCTCCTAATGCTAGTATGTAAATAGGCAAAAACGATGCTTTGAACGATTCTAAAGAATTAGTGCAAAACGGAATCCATATCCCGAAATTGCAGTTTGTGGGATAAAGCATGATGAATATATAATATGATGGTAGACAAGTGGATTTTGGGGGACAAACCCAAACTTCTGCAGCGTTCAAACCACTGGGGTCTTGAGGATGATAGAAGAGGAAAAACCGCCCAGGAATATCTGGGAACCACCTCAAGGCTAGATAGCTCGAGTTTTTGAAGATGACATTTAGCACAACATGCACCTCATTTCGGTGGTGAGTAGCGTCGGCTTTGCTATCTACTTTTCAGATGTGGTGTTATCAAAACAGCAGCTTAAGGGCAGGTCTATCTCTCCATCACCATCGAGCTCCGATCCTATTAATACCCTATCCAGTAAGATCTCCTGGGCGTTGATAGTTTACCTCTTAAGAATCATCCATGCCCGTGTCATTCTCCATTGCCACATATGTCTACTGCCAATGGTTCGGAACATCTTCGTCCCAATTCACAGAGCCATTTTGGGGCACCCATTCTTGGATTAACCATGATTAACCCAAATTTCATATCAAGTTGGTTTATAGATGCAAAATAAATAAATATATATATATATCTATCTATAAAAATATAATATCCCCATAAACTCCCCACATAGTTTGGATGGAATAGCGACTAGAAGGCCATTTCTTCATGACCAAAGCCTTTTTTAAGCTGCGTGAATCATGTCCACAGGTCAGCCACAGGTCAGCCAGGATGCAAGCGGCGCGGCAGGGTGCCACCATCGCCTTGGTCGTAAAGGGATGATGTCCTCCGGAAATGTAGGGATTGGAAGTTGGGGGAGAAAAATCAATGTGTCATGGTGTGGCTGAGCTCCAGACCCATTCCGGCCCGGCGCCAGGGGCTGTTGATTAAAAGCAATTCTTCTTTTTGAGCAATGCAGGCGATAGGTACCCGTCAGCTGCAGAAATTGCACCACAAGACAAGCTTCAAGCGGCACCTACTCAAACCTGAAAACTGCCACGACATACTACAATATATATATAACCCTTCCTCTACTATTATTAAACACCCACCAGAAACCATAGTTTAGTAGGGGATTTGCACATATTTTGGACCATTGAGGGGGTGTTTAATACTAGAGGATGGGTGAGTATGATCATTCATCTTGGCTAGATCCCCATTGAACAGTGATGAAATATGCACATTTTTTGCGGGAAAGCCCCTATGGTGACATTCTGAATCATGGGCATCTTTTTCTTCCCACAGCCATCCGAAGCAGCACGAGTCTCGTGGGGCCAAAGCATCTCGAACTCTTTGTGGCTCGACCCTGGCACAAGTCAAAGAAATTCAAAGAAGACGTCTCAAGTAGTACGAGGCTATGCCAAATTGGCATAGATGGCGGTTGGAAATCTCTTCCTTCCCTCTTCCCAGCTTTTCAAACGACTGAAAAAGTAGCTTTTAAAATGTGCTGTGTCATCGAAGGCCGCTCACAACCAACGCTTCAGCAAAAGTCTTCAAACCTCTCAAACCTACCCAACTTTGTCCCTGACTTTGCAAGAATTAAGCGTCCATGCTGAGCCAGTCACCCAGTGATACGCAGGAATCATGACTTGTGTGTCCATTTTTATGCAGGCCCACTGGCCCACCATTCGAAATGCTCTTGCAGCAGTGTTGGCGCCACAGATTGGGTCCCAACCATGGCATGCATCATGGGATTCAACCAGCCTCCAAAGATGACTCCCCAACACTAGATGCAAGCAAGATTCGCCCTTATGAATGCTGATTAATGAGCCCCCAGAAAGTCATGATTTGGGACCTGGAAGGGTGGGCTCAATGCCCATGACACCATGACATCATCCATGCCGGGATAAAGAATCCATGGTACGACCCCTTCGCCGCGGCAGTCCTCGCTGCGAAGGTCTGTGACTTCCGTGTCTCGAAGACGATGTCCTTCAGACGTTTCACGTGGGACTGGAAGCAGAAAATGGAGGAGCCGAAGCAGCTCCAAATGATGGATCAATATGGATAAATGGATGAAAATGGATGGACATTGATGAAAATACATGCTAATGCAACATTATAAAATTAAAAATTGACATGGATTTACAACAATAAACATGGGAGACTACACAATGGAGGTGAACCTACAAGAATATGGAAGACTTACTAAGCATGCTTGGTATTTAAAATGGGTATGGCTCCCCAGTTTGCGGCCACTGGACAGTGGAAAATGGGATTTGAAACCACGGGATCCAATGGGATTCCAAATTAAGACGAAATAAGGCATAATATAATCTAACAACCCACTGTATTATTGATTACCTTGCCAAAAATTGGGAAATGATAACATAATATAACCATCCAACAACTAGAAACGATGCTTTGAGGCCTGAGTTGGACATCTGGCGACGCCCCTCATCCTGATTGAGAAAAAACTTCAGAAACGAATCCTGGCATTCCAAACCGCCCCCCAACCACCAGGTACGCATTGGTTGGTGACGTTGATCACTTTAAAATCAGCTGGTGGGACATGAGGTTCTCAGCTTTGATGGCTTACTTGATGGTTCCTGCTTGGTAAGATTACAGACCCGGTTACACATTTGGCAAGCACTGCAAGTAGCTTTTAGCTGCCGCTTACCAAGCAGGATGAACAGAGATGATTGGCTTGGATCTGGAGATCAGAGATTGCTGAAAAATCCCCGCACCAGCGATGGAGGTTTCAGTGGAAAAATATGGAAAAATCATCTACAAATGGTTGATGAAATCCGGCTATCCACGAGCAGAGGGAAACTGGAACAGCCCTGGTTCTGGTTTTCCAAGAAGAAGATTGTAACCACACCAGACCGCATCCAACGGCTACACAGCACACGTCATCCATTTTCCATTGAAAGCGTGATTCATCCCAGAGACTAGCGCAACAGACATTGCCTACCATTGCACCCCAAAGAACGTGTCTACAAAAAGGCACGTTCAACGTGCAATCGGCCGCCGCTTCTGCACTTCCCCAATTCCGGGATAACATGGGACCTGCCCGAGATTGCGCACCTAGCGCGCGCTGAATCTGCTGAATCTCAGCGATCTCAGGAAGCCCGGTGGGATCTCAGGCACCCAAGATGGCTCTCTTGGCCGGGTGCAGGCGTCCACGATTCTCCTCCAAGGCCTTCAACAAATCGCCTTGGCTCTTCCCAGTGGCAATCACTTCAGGACGAGCCGCCAACTTTACCAAGGAGTCCTGGAAATTTCCACAAGGCAGGTAAGTAAGATAGATCTCTTAGAGAGATTTAGTAATTTAGTATTGACTAACTCTCTCTCTCTATATATATATATATATACCTGCATACATACATGCATAGACAGAGAGAGAGAGAGAGGGAGAGAGAGAGATATATATATATGTATATATATATACATATGCAATATCTATCTATCTATCTATCTATCTATCTATCTATCTATCTATCTATCTATCTATATATATATATATACACGTAGATATCACCTTTTTTGTGGAAGTGCACTGTCCTTGTAGCCCAACTTCTCGGCCTTGGCCTTGATGGCAGCCTCCAACTTCACATTCTCCGGGTTGCCCTTGGGACTGGCCTTCGGCGTGGCCTCGGCCTTGCCGGCCTTCTTCGCCTCCGCCTGACATGAATTAACGCTTGAGAAACACCGGCAGATGGACATGGTAAATCCCGATGAATCAATCAATGCGTTGTATGTAATCAAATGTTTTGAACAAATATGAAACTATATATATATGTTATATATATATTGTGATAATTTATTGTATATATGTACCTGGATGACCATTCGCACTACAAAAAAGTAATCTCCCCCGTTTTCGTACTAGACTTCTTGAAAACGACTCAAAAATAGCAAATGGTACAGGTTTTTGGGCAATCGTATCTGCTTTTGAAATTCGTACTGCTTTTGCAGTTGCCAAAAAGAAGCTAACGCAACGGGCAATTCGTGCGCAACTGGAGCGCAATTTCTATCAAGCAGTACAATCAAATACAGGCCCGCAAATCAAAACATCATTTTTTCTTGATGGTTCGGCTACTTTTCGGCAAAGGTAATGGAATGTCCTCAACCGCCTCAACCACACACTTTTCAAACCACATAATTTTTTCTAGTACATTTCGATGTCTAGAACTGATTATAATATGCGGGATTTTATGGATTAATATGTCATACATATATATATAATTGTATATATATATATATATGTGTGTGTATACAAATAATTATGTGTATATATATATATACATATATACACAGCATATGGACACTCCATGTACAAATATTACAGATGTATGGAGCCCTCTGGCCTTGGCCTCTGCCTCCGCCGCCTTAGCTGCCTCCTTCTGCTCCTTGACCTTGCGTCGCTTGGTCGCGGGTTCCTCTGCGTCATCGCGGACCGGCGGCACATAGGACTTCTTGGCCTACCGGCGGAGAGTTTGGGTCGAAGCTGGGGAGTTCATGGGAATGATGATGCAAGATATAGTTATAGTTTGATATCGTGATGAAAATCATGCTTTTAAATGGGATACAACACCACTTGGAGTATGCTAATATGAACCCCAGATCAAGATCTATCGTGGTTGATGAAAAATAGGTGGTTCCGCCCTGGTAGTGATGTCATCTACTAAATTCACACACACCCGCAGTTCAGACCAGGGGCTGATTCCAGGGTTTTCACCAGCACTGGGATGATGTTTTTTGCGAGCGAACCAGGATCCAATGGGATCCCCGGTAGAAGGGGGTTTGCAATGAACCATGAATCTGGCGATATGTATATATATATAATATGCATATGTTTATTTGTATTTATTTAGGATTATAGCTATAGATCAGATAACCCATGAATATCATTAATCTAAATATATCTAACATTATCTAACTGGTTTGCCAGATGATCATTCACCGTTTCACCAACGACCTGTGAGGAACCAACAAGAATTATCGCTGAAGATATCAAGATAAAATAAACCAGTCGGGAAAACGTGGATGCCAAAAAAATGTCGCCCAGTCATCTGTGCGATGTCTTCGGTATTTTGCCTCTTGGTATTCTTCCAGCTTCTTCTTGTACTCATCTTCATAGACTGCCTTCCTTGGATTTGCTCCAATAGAATCAAACATATTCCCACTAATTCCTTACATTAATGGTGGGTTGACAGTTGGAAAATACGCTGCCTCTTGGTGTGTCTGAAGAGAATGTACCTGAAATTCCGGATCATCAGTCCAAGAAAATTGGCTGCTTGTGGTATATCCCATGTCTGGCTTACCAGAAATAATCAGAGCCAGTGGCGAACTATATCCCCAGAAAGTATCCTTACAAATATCCTCATAAGTATATACCCTCTGGTAAACTAACATAACTATGGAAAATCACCATTTTGTAGCTGGGAAAATCCACTATAAATGGCTATTTTCAATAGCTATGTTAAATTACCGGAGGGTAACTTATACATATAATATCCATCTTCAATAGCCGCGGGTTGGTTTAACCATGGGGAAATAATCCCGTGGCTTCAGGTGGCCGATTCAGGGTGTCTCCATTGTCATCCATGCCATGAATCATGGGAATCCAAACATGAGTCCGTGCATTCAGAAATGCCTATTTTATCTATTTTCAAATGGATTTTTCTGATCCACCCAGCTCACCCGGATCAATTCCAATCATTCTAATCCAACTATATAATCAAATCCAACTAACCCAACTAATCCAACGCCAACTAACCCAACTAATCCAACGAATTCCAAAGACCATCCCCCTGTGAATCGCATGTTTATCCAGTGCGAGTCCAGTTAAACCCGCATGGAGGCGGCCCGACTTAACATTAGACCAAGTCTCTCTTTCTCACCTTGGATTTGCCAACAGTTGGGGCCCCAAAAAAGTTAAACATCTCCCCTATAGATTCCCCAAATGGATCCAAATGGTGGATGTTCCATTCAACAAAAATTTAAAAAAATAAAAATCACCTTGAACAAAGCTAGATTTCCAGGTCACTCAATTCCTTCCACTTGGCGCTGCCCAGCTTGGAAACTGCCGTCGCTGGCTGACCCTTGCACTGCTCTTGGAAGCTTGGGCGATTCCTTGCGAGGTGCCATCAAAATTGGGACTTATATCACGTAGGAAAAACATGTATTGATATCATAGGAAATTTTGGGATAAAATAAGATATATCATATATATATATATATCTCTCTCTCTCTCTCACGGGATATACAATCAACCATATGAATTGCTCATTTGTGATATGCATCCATATAACTTAGGAAAATGGATATGTCATGAGGATGTTCCATGGGATATATAATCAACCATGAGAAAGGGAAAACATGTATTTCTGAAAAATATAAATTGGAAAAAATAAATGCCAACCTGGTTCGGCACAATATGGAAAAAGAAAAGTCAGCTCCGAACTCAATTCCAGGACACTTGGCCATGAAACAGCCATAAGCACCTCCGGCTGGCTTCTTGGGAGCGTCGGGATCCTTCTTCTTCTTGACGGCCTGGAGGCGAGGGTGGAGAGCAATTCTGATGACAATCTGAGGTAACAATAAGAAATCAGTCGGGCTAATAGTGGCGGGTTAAACCTGATATCTTAAGCCAATAAACTAACCTTGGTTTAGAATAGGGGCTCACAGTTCATGGCTAATCGTGGATACCTTGCCGAAGTAGCTGGATACTATATACAGTAGATCCCAAAATAATCCATCCAAATCCCATCCATGGCAAACAAATGACACCCCTGAAAAACTATCATGGAACAAAACAACTGCAATTTCCACCAGGAAACTCATGTTCCACAATTCCACAATTCAAAAAAATTATAAACTAACATTAAACCCCGTTCACATCCCATTCAACCACAAAAGGATGGATAAAGTGCCCAGATTTTCCAGACTTTGGCCCAGATCCGCCTCCTTACGGCTCTTCCTGGCTTTCTTCTCACCGCCGTTCGCAAGGAAGGCCTCCATCTTTTCGTCGTACTTGGCCTTGGCCGCCTCGAACTTCTCCTGGAGAAGTTTGGAGAATTTGAGGCACTTTTCAGCCACAGAAGCCCGCATGTTGCCAGGGCTCATCCCAAACTTCCATGTTCGCGTCGTTTTCGGCACTTGACACGGAAAATCTGGAAACTCAGATTTTAACGGATTTGAAGATCCTAGTTTTTTGTTTACAACTTCCAAAGGTAAATGTGACATTTGGACGTTTTTGGGTTCACTCTGGCCTTTCGATGCCTTTCGGCCCTTACACCATGGAGATTCAGCTGTTCAAAATGCAGTCTGGGTTCAAGCAGGGTGCCATGTTTGCCAATTAAGATTTCACATGACCACGATATACTTATATACGTATGCTCCTCCGGGTTGTTCCTATTGTGCTACCCTGATTCATACCCAAAATGCATGAAAAAGAACCATTAAATTAAACATGGAAACATTGAAGCCAACATGGAACCCAGCACGGAACCCAACATGGTCACCCTCCGGTTTTAGTGCCTGGTGTAGTTCCCGTTGAACCCAACACGAGAACCAACATGGAAACCAACACGGCCTTTTTCTTGTTCGGGCCTGACCCACAAACATCCAAGAGACGCAGAAACCTTTCAAAAAAGGAGCTGGGTCCTGTCTGGTGATTTTTGGGGGAATGATTTGTGTAGGTTCAGTGTGGGGTAGGCCCAACTTCCGTCATAAGATATTCATTTCAGCAGTTTAAGCATTTCACCGAGAAACCGTTTTTTGATGATACAAAAGTCATGGAATAAAGCAAGAAACAACATGCGAATCCATAAATAAATGCATGAATAACACACACAAAAAAAAATAGAGACTGTTCCAAACCATTTTGTCAACGCATCGCCAGTTTTTGACATTTCTTCGCCTTGTTGCTTCCTCATCCCGCATTGCGTGCTCCCCACCGCGTTGGAATCAATTTCATCGGTGCAGGCCCCACGCCTGCCAGTGAATTATTGAAACAAATTCGTCCAGATTGGTTTTGAAAGTATTGTTGGGGTCTGTTGCATGTAATTATTTGCTATAAGAAATATTTTTTGGTTTCCTTTTTTATTTTTTTTGTGTTTTGGCATGGGTCATGAATATATTATTGTTTTTGGTATGTTTTTGTTTTTCTTTTTGACTAAAAATGTGATTTGCAGCATTTGTGTTCCCGTTGTGTTATTAAGCCAAAGACAAAACACGCAAAACGCAAAGAATCACAAAGGACGTAACTCAATAGAAAAAAACGCATCCCGCAGATTCCAAAGGTGCGCACATGGTCGAAGAGCCGCAAGCACACGCTGATCACCTACAGCTAAAGGTATGCGCAAAGAACAAACATCACAAAAACGAATCCCACCGGGCTTGGCTTGCGCAACAGCAAACCAAAAAGCCACAGCGGTGCTGCTTGACCACGACAACCAGGGCGAATCCTTGGCACGAACCCAAACCAAAATAAAAACACGACGTGAAAGAAACGCGCAATCTAATGGACGCACGCACGGGTTGTGGGCGATATGTTCCCACACATAGGTAGCTCGCGTGCCTTTTGGCTTCAGGCAGAAGTCAAGGCACGCGGCAGCGCGAAAAACCGGAGGTTGAGGTGATTTCTTACGTCTTACTAGGCTTGACCCCCCTACCAACACAAAAATGCAGCCTTCTTCCAAAGTACCAACCCTGGAGCATCATGTCCAATCGTGCCACCGTGGTACCACCCCTTGTGCCCTTGTGGCTCCCGACAAACCCAACGCGGAAACCAACATGGAACTTGGCATGGCCCCCCCAGTTCTAGTAAGTTCATGTATGTTCTAGTACCCGAAGGTGAGCCCAACACGGCAACCAACATGGAACCCAACCAGCTTTGGGACACCAGCTCCAGCAAGTTCACTATAAATTGTTACTTGATGTTACTTGCGTCTTTGCTACTCTCGTCTTTTCTTGGTTTGCTGATTGTTTATTGCCGATTACTGTTTCTCGCTTCGCTGTCACGCTTTCTGCCCGTATGCGACGAAAATATGGAACCCAACACGTATCGAAAGAAGTGCCAACAGAACCTTTTTTTGGAGGTGTTGCAGATATAAGAAATAACACCGCCGGTCCTGGTAGACGGCTTTCTCCTCTTCACTGAGAGCCTTGAATCTCTCAGAAGCCAACCTCACTGATGCGCAAAAGCAAAGCGCAAAATCGGAATCGTATCCTTCCAAAGGTCACCCCACCCCACCCCACACTCTAAGGCCTTTTAACACCCCCATTTTTTGGTGTCCCCAATATGATTGTTTTATCCCCTGCTAGACCATGGTTTATGGGGCGTGTTTAATATCAGCGGGAAGGGATTCAGGGGCGTTTAACCACCATCGACTAACCCTTCTTAGGAGCTTGTTCAACCGGGGATTCAACATAAGACCCGTTAAACCCGCCACCAGATAAATACCCATAGTCTATAGCATATCCACATGAAACTGGTGCTTTCATCCACATGTTGTGCTGGGGGCAAACCTTCTACTTCCTCTGCTCATCTGGCTTCCCAAATTTGTTTCTTGTCAAATTTCTCCATGTTGGGGATGGGTCAAAATATGTCAATATTATCAACCCAACAAAAAAGTCCAGTGGGACACCAACTTTGACCCAACCCCATTTCTGGATATTTCTCAATATTTCTGGATCCATCTTCACCCCGAAAAATTGGGATTGAGAGATGTTTATATAGTTTCTATTCATTTTAGGAACTGGATGTGCCAATTTAGTGGATAATAACCATATCCAGTTGTATAGCGCATACCCCACTCATATCTCTGTCCTACAAGTTACCCAATTAGTATATGGAATGCAGCCACAAGTCCCCAACATCCAGATTTCTTTCTGGTTTTCATCCCAGCTACTTGGTGATGGCTGTGATGGGCTGACCCTTGCACTCGGCCTGTAGCTCCGGGCGCTTCTCAGCTAAGAACTGACCGTAAGCGCCACCTGCCACCTTCTTGGGCTGCTCCATGGCCATTTCACGAGGAAAATGCTCGAAAAGTGAGTGAGATCGCTGAAGGCTCGTACTTGGAGGCGTTTTTTTCGGGCTTGAGCAAAAGCAGGACAGAGAAAAAAAAACATGCGGGATTTGTTGCTTTTGGCATCCCAACAGTTGCAAGAAATGAATGGAAGACAGGTTGAATTAAAACCCGTATTGGTGGTTGAATCCATAAGTTGCTGTGCAAACTTCTCTGCCTTGAAAAAGGCCCAAAAATCTTAGAGGGTCGAAATCACTCGAATCTACCAAACGAGCATCCAGCATCATATCATATGCAAATTACTGGCTGCAGAAATCTAAAGCAGGATGAGCCTCGCAGGGGGCGGCTGCAATTTCAGTCATCGGCATCGGCATCGGCATCAGCTAGCTGTTACGTATTTCCTCTCCCCAATATTCCTCAATATTGTTTCAACAAAATGTGACCGTGAGGTAACTTCACTGTTCTGGGATTGGAAATCGAATATGTACACCTTGCAGACCTCATTTCCTTGTCGCTGATTTCATCTGCATCGTTCCAAACCATGAAAATCATAAGCGGCTCTTGCTCTGAACAATGTACAAGATGTGCCATCGAATATCTAGTCAACCCCCGGATACCCCTGGTGATAGCGGATCAGCTTCACGGCATAACTTTCATGTGTTTTCCATGCTTGCTGTGGTTGGAATAGCGGAAGAAGTGAAACCCGAACACTTTGGATAATGTCAACAGGATTTCTCAGCAATATCAGCAATGATTGGGAATGCAAAAAAACACACGAAGACTGCATGAGATTACTATATATACTATGTTTTGTTTGTTGAAACTTTTGAAACACGCTCTTGGGCTTCATTCTGCAGTGCAAAACCATGGATCCGACCTCCGACATATCATGGGCGCCGAGGTTCAAGCGGCACCTGAAACCTGAAAACCATCACGACCTGCTATTCCCTTGCCCCTAGTTTCGTAGGGGATTTGCACATATTTGGCAATCATTGAGATCATCATTCTTGGGGGATTGGATTGTTATCACTCATCTTGGCTAGATCCCCCTTGGACAGTGGTGAAATATGCCCGATGTTTGCAGGAAAGCCCCATGGTGGCATTCTTCATGATGGGCATCTTTTTCTTCCCACAGCCATCCGAAGCAGCACGAGTCTCGTGGGGCCAAAGCATCTCGAACTCTTTGTGGCTCGACCCTGGCACAAGTCAAAAAAATTCAAAGAAGACGTCTCAAGTAGTAAGAGGCTATGCCAAATTGGCGTAGATGGCGGTTGGAAATCTCTTCAAATGACTGAAAAAGTAGTTTTGAAAATGTGCTGTGCCATCGAAGGCCGCTCACAACCAACGCTTCAGCAAAAGTCCTCAAACCTCTCAAACCTACCCAACTTTGTCCCTGAATTTGCAAGAATTAAGCGTCCATGCTGAGCCAGTCATCCAGTGATACGCAGGAATCATGAATTCTGTGCCCATTTTTATGCAGGCCCACTGGCCCACCATTCGAAATGCTCTTGCAGTGGCGCCACAGATTGGGTCCCAACCATGGCATTCGTGGGAGATCTCCTGGCCGGGTGAATCCCCAGAACCCCGCCGGGCAGACAACCAGCTGCTCCGCCATAGAGGCCACACCACGGCCACAGCCACGGCCTGAACATCGAAACCGGAAAACCTTGGTTTTTACCATTGTTTTTACCATGAAAATCCATGAAATATAGGGTGTTCCTGTAAATGGTCCCTTCGAAAAATTCAATGACTCCTTGTGGCCCTGGGTCGCTTAAGGGGCCTGGAGTGACCAAGATTTCGCAGGACCTTTTTGGCCTTTTTGCCTGTCGACTCCCTCGTAATAATTCGATTATGATTGTGAGTTATAGTAATGAATAATCGATGTTCTGGTCTATGAATCATCATCATCATCATCATTATTACTCAATCACAATCTATTATGATGGTTTATCATAATCAATCATATTCATAATTTTCATTCTGAAGGGTGCGAGACAAACATAAGCATTGTTGTAAGCAGGATCATAGGAATACGAATAAGAATCATAGCAATAATCAGAACAATGGTCAGGGGTTGCCCTCCAGTAAACTAACATACCGTAGCTATAGAAGCTTACTATTTTAATAGGTAAATCCACTATATATATATAAATGGGCAATTTTCAATAGCAAACTATAAAATTACCGGAGGGTACGGGTACTTCAATTCTTTGATTCGCAGATCCAGGCCTCTAGTCTGTGAGAGGGCAACCATCCAAACATCCGTGAGTCCTGCTGAGCGCGGCCGGCAACAGGACGAGTCTAAACAAAAACTTTCGAGAATGCCGGGATGCGAAAAAAAAATACTGTAGATCTCCAAAAAATGTGGTTGAAACAGTTACAACCGTTGCAACCTGTTAGTATATATTAGTAACTAGTATCAATCAGCATCAACATTGACGGCTGAACGGTTCTATCATCGGGGTGTCCTCAGAGAGCAAGGCGTTGTCTCCTTCCACCCAGCACCTTGGCGGTTTTGCACGAGGTCCCAAGTACCCTCCGATGTCATCAAACATGGCCATGGAAAATCGACCATTTATAGATGATTATTCCATTAAAGCATATTAAAACCTCCATTTAGGTGGCTGTTCAGTTGCCATGCTTGATCGGAGGATAAATCCCCTACCGAAGCTAGTGAATCCATCTGATTCGGCATCAGTGGCATCAATGGTTCCAACCCATCCTGTAACAGTTGGAATTCGGAATCATCATCCCAGGCAATTATGAGAAATATTTGAAACTACCAGTCGGCCTGCTGTCCTACTTAACCCCCCCATCACCCTGGTTTTCACACCAAATTGGCTCATGTTTATGCCTATGGTAAGTGATCCCCCGCAAGAGAAAAGAAACAATAAAACATAAATATGCATATTATATATATATACATATATATATAGTGATCGGAGATCAACATACCAAATAAATCCAAATAAGATGAAACATGAAAAATATCCACTATCATATTCCCATTGTATCCCATTATATCCCCGTGACACCACCATGTTTGATGCTGCTTGATGTTTCATGGTCATTCACCAGTCACTACGTTTAGTCGATTCGGGCGCTGCAAGCCGCGGTGAAGCTCACTACGTTTAATCTATAGACAGTACCCTCTGGTTATTTATATAACATAGCCATGGTATAGATGGCCCATAGAAATAGATGGTTTACCTAGCTATAAAATGCTGATTTTCCATGGCTATGTTAAATAACCAGATGGTAATCCCCATTCTATGGTCCCAAATGCACAAGTACACGTCGTGATCCCTACTAAACCATGCGGTCTAGCATGTTTAAGGGCTGAATGGTTCATCAAAAATTCCCAGTAGACCCTACATCCCATGAAATGCCACTGTTTGTTGATGATGAAATCAAAATTGCTGATGGTTTATCCACCAGCATCAGCCCTTCTGAAAGGAGCTTATTCACCCCTTCTTGGGGCTATGGGCTATGGGGAAGTAACCCATGGTACAGCAACCCCAGGGCACCATCGCCACGGCGCCATCCACGAAGATGTGACCTGCTGCTCCGATGCCAAGTTCCATCCTCGCTGCGCAGGTCCGTGAGTTCCGTGGTCTCGAAGACGATGTCCTTCAAGCGCTTCACCTCGGACGAAGAAAATGGAGGAGCTTAAGCAGCAAAAATTGGGTGAGTTGCTATGATTAATGGATGAAAATGGTGAGAATGGATGAAAGTGGATGAAAATTGATGAACACACACACAAAACTAATATGGATTATATAACATGGATTAACATGGGAGATGAATGGAGATTTTTTGCTGCAGAAATGTGGAGTCAATAAAAACCAAGCACGCTTGGAATTTGGGTTTGTCTCAGAATGGGGATGCCTCCCTGCAAGTTGATGGCCATTTCAAAACTTGGAAAATTACCCTCTGGTAATTTAACATAGCTATTGAAAATGGCCATTTATAGTGGATTTTCCTATTAAAAATGGTGATTTTCCATAGTTATGTTAGTTTACCAGAGGGTAAGGTTGAAACCATGAGATGGAATGGGATAACCAATCAATAGTTTCGTTTTGATGATTACCTGACCCAAAAAGAGGGGAGATCATATAACATGATATCACCACCCATGATGCTTTGAGCCCCAAGTCTAGTTGAACATCTGGCGTCGCCCCTCATCCTGATTGAGACAAAACTTCAGAAACGAATCCTGCCCCCCCCCAACCACCAGGTACAACCCCCTGAAAAATCCCTTCACTAAATGGAGGCGTTAAATAGGAAAATCATCTGCAAATGGGGAATTCTCCAGCTAGCCATAATTTCCAAAGGGCAACTGGAACAACCCGCGCTTGGGGAGCTTGCCAAGAAGAAGATTGTAACCACACCAGGCACCATCCAACGGCTACACAGCACACGTCATCCATTTTCCATTGAAAGCGTGATTGATCCCAGAGACTTCTAGCGCAACAGACATTGCCTACCATTGCACCCCAAAGAACGTGTCTACATGTGTCTACAAAAAGGCGCGTTCAACGTGCAATCGGCCGCTGCACTTCCCCAATTCCGGGATAACATGGGAACTGTCCGAGAACGCGCACGCTGAATCTGCAGCTCAGCGAGGAATAGGATCTCAGGCACCCGAGATGGCTCTCTTGGCCTTCGCCTTCTCCTTGCCCTTGGGACTGGCTGCCTTCGGCGCAGCCTTCGGCGTGGGGCGTATACATATGCGTGCGTGAGCTTATCCAAATATATATATATATATGCAATATACATATATATATATATATATATGTATATACATATATATATATATATACACACGCACATACATATATATATATATATATATACATATTTATAATTATATATATATGCATATAATATATATATATATATGTATGTATATATATATATGTATGTATGTATATATATATATATGGACACGATATGTACAATGTATTAAGCCCCCTGGCCTTGGCCTTGGCCTTGGGCTCTGCCTTCGCCTCATCCTCCTTAGCCGCCTTACGTCGCTTGGGCGAGGGTTCCTCCGCGTCGTCATCGGCGGCCGGCGGCACATAGGACTTCTTTGCCTACTGGCGGCACGGGTCCCTGAATCTGGATCTACTACTGAAATCACACACACACACACACCCGACCTCAAACAGCCCTGGCATTAATCTCAGGTTGGCATTCACCAGCAATATAGGGATGAATAGTGTCTTTCAATGGAAGATAACGGGGATTTACAGCAACGGGATCCGAACTTATGGAGGTTGCATTGAGCCATCAATCTGGGGCTATATTATATATGTATGCGCAATCAAATGTATAATTAAATATTCTATATATATATATATAAACAAAAATATATTAATATATTTTGTAATATGTATATATATATATATGTGTGTGTGTGTTATATAATATGTATGTATATATAATGTAATATGCATATATGTATATTATGTAATATGTAATATGTATATATATATATAACGTAATCTGTGCATATATAATGTAACATACATACATATATATATATATTATGTAATATGTGTATATATATATATTATATATTATATACATACATTTAACAATATAGAACGAACTATGTAATATAACCCATCAACCTAATGGGCTTGCAACATTATTATTACCCACAGGCCAAGTTGGATGCATCTCCACGGCAAGGGGGCCTGTTTTGGGGAGGAAAAGAAACGAGTGTCATAATGAATTGGAAAAAAAACATGGTGGGTTTAAGTTTGAACCAATTAAAAGATCTCCTGTTTCACTGTTTCACAAACAACCCACGCGGTCGTAACCAGTTGAATTCAGGAAAACGTGCATGCAAAAATAATCGCCAGTCTGTGGGACGCTTTCGGTATTTTGCCTCCTGGTATTCTTCCAACTTCTTCTTGTACTCATCTTCAAAGACTGCCTTCCTTGGATTTGCTCCAATAGAATCAAAAATATGTCCACTACCCTCTCTTCACCATTTCTAAATGTCCCTATTAAAATGCCTCTGGTAAACTAACATAGCTGTTGAAAATCACCATTTTTAATAGGTAAATCAACTATAAGTGGGCCATTTTCGATGGCTATTTTAGTTTACCAGAGGGTATGCCCCATGTCTGGTCAAACTAAAAAAAAAAACTGATGCTTGGTTCTACACATGTATCTCCATAAAATATCCCCATGATTATCCATCTTCAATAGCCTCTTAGTTTGGTCTGCCCATGTGGCAGATCCCATGGCTTCAGCAGCCAGACAGGGTCAAGACATGGTATTGGATTGATGACCATCAGGAGCTGGCTTAATCTAAGCCGACTGACTTCACCATGTCACATCTTACCCTCGGGTAATTTAACATAGCTATTGAAAATGGCCATTTATAGTGGATTTTCCCATTCAAAATGGTGGATCTTTCCATAGTTATGGAAACGTTTACCAGAGGGTAATATCTTTTCGCGAGTCAATTCCCGGAGGCGGTCGCCAAGTCTCTCTTTCGCACTCAATTCCTTCCATTTGGCCGAGGCCAGCTTCGTAATCGCCGTCACCGGCTGACCCTTGCACTGCGCTTGGAAGCTTGGGCGATTCCTGGGGTCGATGCCCTGTGCACCAATGCTGACCATCAAACTTGGGACTTATATATCTTATATCACTTAGGAAAATGGAGATAGTTCATATATTTCATGGGATCTACAATCAACATCAATCAACCATATGAATTCAGAATGGGGAAAAACGGAAAACAGTTCTTCTAGGATTAGGCAATAACAAATCATTCTATGGGGATATAAGCTGAGATATTTCATGTGATATATTTCACCAACTTGATATGATACGTTACATGGTATCTCCGAGAGTTGGTGTGCCGTACTTTTAGACACCCCGCACCCGTCCCCCCGCAAAACAAAAAAAAACACCTGTAGATTCCCTTCCAGCTGGTGGAATCATGTTTTACTGCCTCCTTGGCAGTATACTCGTCCTGGAAACCTCCAGGTGTTTCTCCGGTGAAAATTAGGACCTCCCAGCCATGTTTGCCCAAGACTGGGCTACCCCAAAAAAACAATGTTTTAGAGGATCATTTTCCCATCACCATTGCCATGTTGGGGTATACCCGATTATTTGGACAAACCCATATGAAAACAGAAAAAAAAAAAAAGAGAGAAACACATTCTGAAAAAAATAAATAAATATTGGTTAAATAACCCAATATTTTATAAATAAATAACCCAATGTTTGGGAAAAATATTGGGGGGAAAAAAGTCAGCTCCGAACTTGGCCTTCCAGGACACTTGGCCAACCAACAGCCATAAGCGCCTCCGGCTGGCTTCTTGGGAGCGTCGGGATCCTTCTTCTTCTTCTTGTCTGCCTGAAGGCGGGGGTCGAATTTTTTGATAATTTCGAGGGGTCTTTACTTGCTGGAGAGCAACAATCTGTTGTTAAGAATTTGAAATGGGTCTGGAATTGTGTTGGTTTGTTTTGTTCCGTTTTTTTGGGGGGGGATTTCCTGTTCTGTCCATTTTCCTTACACTTGCAGCATTTTGAACCTGGAAGCTGCTATTTCCCTGGTATTTGCAGCATTTTTGACTTCGAGCCTTTTTTTATTCATAGTTTTTGCATCATTTTCATGGAATCTGCACATTTTTGGCGCTGGAAGCTGTCATTTCAACGGTTTTGTGGCACTGTTCCATCGAATTTGCAGCATTTTGCAGTGTGATGTTTTCCATACATACTGTTGTTGTTTCCCTTGCTGGTCGTGTTGGTCTTGGTGTTGATTTTTACCTGTCATTGTCATTGTCATTGTTGTTTTGTTGTTGTCATTGTCATTGTCCTTGTCGTTGTTTGTTGTTTGTTTTGTTGTGTTTGTTGTTGTTCTTGTTCTTGGTTTTGTTCTTTTTACTGTTATTGTTAGTGTTATTGTCCTTGTTCATGTTGTTCTTGTTCTTGTTCTTGCTCTTGTTGTTATTGTTATTGGTGTTCTTGTTGTTCTTGCTGTTCTTCTTGTTCTTGTTGTTCTTCTTGTTCTTCTTGTTCTTCTTGTTGTTCTTGTTGTTCTTCTTGTTGTTCTTCTTCTTGTTGGTGGTGGTGGTGTTGGTGTTGGTGTGGGTGTTGGTGTTGGTGTTGGTGTTGGTGTTGGTGTGGGTGTTGGTGTTGGTGTTGGTGTTGGTGTGCTGCTGGTGGTGGTGCTGCTGGTGGTGGTGGTGGTGGCGGCGGCGGTGGTGGTGGTTAGTTGGTGTTGGTGTTGGTGTTGGTGTTTGGGTGGTTTGTTGGTGTTGTGGTTAGTTGGTGTTGGTGTTGGTGTTGGTGTCGGTGTCGGTGTCGGTGTCGGTGTCGGTGTCGGTGTCGGTGTCGGTGTCGGTGTTTGTTGTTGTTGTTGTTGTTGTTGTTGTTGTTGCTGTTGCTGTTGCTGTTGTTGCTGTTGCTGTTGCTGTTGCTGTTGTTGTTCTTGTTCTTGTTCTTGTTGTTGTTGTTCTTGTTTTTGTTTTTGTTCGTGTTCTTGTTCTTGTTCTTTCGTTGCTGGCAAAACAGAAAAAACATAAAAGCAAAAGAGGAAAAACAAAGCAAAAAAGCAGAGAAGCAGGAAAAGCAAACAAGCAAAAAAAACGAAGAAGCAAGAAAAACAAAAATGTAGAAAAAGCAGAAAATCAGAGAAGCAAAGAAGCAGAAAAGCAGACAAGCAAGGAAGCTGGAAAAAGCAGAAAAGCAGAGAAGCAAAAAGCGCAAAAGCAGAGAAGCAGAAAAGCAAAGAAGCAGAAAAGCAGAAAAACAAGGAAGCAGGGAAAAGCAGAAAAGCAAAAGCAGAGAAGCAAAAAGCTGAAAAGCAGAGAAGCAGAAAAGCAAAGAAGCAGAAAAGCAGAGAAGCAAAACGCAGAAAAGCAGAAAAGCAAAGGAGCAGAGAAAAGCAAGGAACCAGGAATCCAAAAAAAACAAAACGGAAAAAAAAATAACCCTCCATTGGAAATTGGCGATAGTGATAGTGATGGATTGTAATGAGCCTGCTTAAACCTGATATCTTAAGCCAATGAAATAACCTTGGCCATAATAGGGGTTCATATTTCATGGCCAATCTTGGATACCTCGCCCAGAATAGCTGGATACTATATCCAAATACCCATGTATAGCAAACAAACTGGACCATCACACCCCTGAAAAACCAACGTGTAATAACGTGTAGCAAAACAACTGCAATTTCCAACTGGAAATATAAACTGGTGAAGTCGAATTGGGTTTGTTCTAGGGTTTTTGCATCTTGAATGCAAACAAAATGGAACTGAATCATGCAATTCTGAGAGGCAAAAATGAGAAATGGAGAAAAAATGCGAAAAGAGTGCGAAACTGACCAGGGACGAACTGGACAAACATGAATCGGGAAAAAAGTTGCAAAACCTACTGTAGGTAAAATGAAAAAAATGCTCACAGTCACAGGGTTTCGTTTTTGCACCTGCATTTTTTTGCATTTTTGGTGTCCATCTTTTGCATTATGTTTTTGCACTGTTGCTGTCCATTTGTTTCCGCATTAAAGGTCCATTTGTTCAAGATTTCAGTTTTCAATGATAAGCGCACAAGGCGCCATCATAATTGTGTTAAACTAAAATTCAACCGCATTTGAACCCTATTCAAACCCCAATGAAAATCAGGAATCTCATCGCTACAAAAGGATGGGTTGTCCATTCCCAGATTTTCCCAGATCTTTAGACTTCAGCAGTCCCATTTGGGCCCTGGGGCCGTTGATTTCCGCCTTGTCCTCGCGGCTCTTTCTGGCTTTCTTCTCGCCACCGTTCGCCAGGAAGGTCTTCATGTCTTCGTCGTACTTGGCCTTGGCCGCCAGGTACTTCTCCTCGTGACTGAGACGCAAGGTTTTGCCAAGCTGTGGTTACAATATATGTATCTATCTATCTATCTATCTATCTATCTATCTATCTATCTATCTATCTATCTATATCTATATGAATATCTATATAAATATCTATATCTATATCTATCTATCGATCTATCTCTATCTATCTATATCTATATCTATATATCTCTATCTCTATCATGCCAATCTATCTATCTATCTATCTATCTATCTATCTATCTATCTATCTATCTATCTATATCTTTATCTCTATCTCTATCTTTATCTCTATCTCTATCTCTATCTCTATCTCTTCTATCTATTTATCTACCTACCTACCTACCTATCTATCTATCTCTATCTCTATCTCTATCTCTATCCTATCGCTATCTCTATCTCTATCTCTATCTCTATCTCTATCTACCTACCTACCTACCTATCTATCTATCTATCTATCTATCGATCTATCTACACATTTGTATATGTATGTGAATGTTTTTACGGACCACACCCTAGCTCATTTGTATATGTCAGTCAGCGCGTGAAGTATTTATAATATTATATATATATGTGTGTGTGTGTATGTGTGTGTACATGAAAATGATGGATATATGTAGATGAAGAGAAATAGATATAGAGAGAGGGAGATGTAACCCCTGTGTGAAGAGAGACATATACACAAATAAATAGTTGTTTCGCGTATATACGAACATATAGGGAAAATAATTTCCATTGTATGGTTTGATGCGGATCATTCCGTTTCAGGAGGTGGTTCAAATTGCAAATATCTTCGAAATTGGAATTAATATGAATAGGTATGTGTATATAATATACATATTTATATGCATATGTATACGTATACGTATGCATGTATATAATATATATATATATGTATGTATACGTATACGTATATGTGTGCGTATTTGTAGATGTGCGTACAAATGTATAATTGTGTGTATAAATATATGTTTATATATATGTGTGTGTATGTATATGTGTAAATGTATATATATATATGTATATATGCATCATATATGTAAATGTATATGCATATGTATATGCATATGCATATGTATATGCATATGCATGTGTATATGTATATGAATATGAATATAATGTGTATGTGTACGGTATATGTAGATGTACATGCAGATGCACATGTACATGTATATGTAGATGTATATTCGGTAAATTGTACATTGTCACTTTGGGAATACTATATAATACTATATATATATGGAAACCTGTATTTCGCAGATATGAAATTTAAATCCATATTTAGTTTGCAAATGTTAGCAATTTGTTCATCACTCTTTTAGTGATGTTCAAAATAGTGCAAACTGAGACATATCTGATTTTTAAACCATCAGTCCTGGTAGACGGCTCTCTCCTTCTCACTGAGAGCCTTGAACTTCTTAGAAGCCAACCTCACTGATGCAAAAGCGAAGCGCAAAATCCAAGGAATCGTATCCTTCCAAAGGTCACGCCCCCCCCCCCACACACACCCGACACACCACACACAGACCATGCAAAACACTCCCATTTTTTAATGACCCAAATTTATTTATTTCTATCCCCTACTAAGCCATCCGAAAGGAATTCAGGGGGTGTTAACCACAAACACCATCAACTAACCCTTCTGAGAAGCTTATTCAACCCCTGTTGTTGGGGTGGCTTTGGAAAGACTACCCCACGATTTCAATGCATCATTCTGTCGGGATAAAGACCTAAAACATGAATAAAACCAGTTAAACCCGCCACCGGAGAATACCAATAGTCTCTATAGCATATCCACATGAAACTGGTGCTTTCATCCACATGTTTTGCTTGGCAAACCTGCTGCTGTACTTTTCCAGCTCAGTTGGTAATGGGTCAAAATTAATATCAACCCAACAAAAAGGTCCATTGGGCCTCCACTTTGAGCTAACCCCATGCCTATATCCATGTTCACCCCCTGAAACTGGAGGTGAAATCAGTGAAATCGTTCCTTTTTATTCATTTTTAACCATATCCAGTTGTATATTGTATACCCCACGCATATCTCTGTTCTACAAGTTACCCAATTAGTACATGGAATGCAGCCACAAGTCCCCAACATCCAGATTTCTTTCTGGTTTCCATCCCAGCTGCTTGGTGACGGCTGTGATGGGCTGACCCTTGCACTCGGCCTGTAGCTCCGGGCGCTTCTCAGCTAAGAACTGACCGTAAGCGCCACCTGCCACCTTCTTGGGCTCCTTCATGGCCATTTCACGAGGAAAATGCTCGAAAAGGGAGTGAAATCGCTGAAGGCTCGCACTTGGAGGCGTTTTTTTCGGGCTTGAGCAAAAGCAGGACAGGACAAAAAAACATTTGGGATATGTTGCTTTTGGTATGCCAACGGGTGCAAGAAATGCATGTAAAACTGGTTGAGTCAAAGTATTGGCCCGTATTAGCCAATAGTCCAATAGTTCAAAAATCGATTGGCGGTTGAATCCCAAAAATAGGATCATCATCTCAAATGTGATTTTTATAGTTTAGGAGTTTAGGAGTTTAGAATTAAAAATTGGCAGTCGGTCTTAGAAAATCTTCCCCCCACATAAAAAAATCATCCAATCAGATTTGTATGTGTTTACTGTATATTTTTTATATTGGTCACATTGCCTATATGTTTGATCCCCATTTTTGTTGCTTAATTGATAGTTAAATCACCATGTTTCGATGTGATCCAGCCGTCCCATTTGATCTTCAGACTGCCCAAGGTTTGGCTTTTAAGGCAGGGACCATGCGCCCATTCTCATCCACCAAAAGCACAACGTCTCCAGCTTTGGGCACCATTCGAACCTCAGTCAATGGGGTCATGCCCCAAATCACACACGAAACCATGGCATTGAAAGAATCTCGAAATCGTAGCAAATAGTAGTCAACTCACAAATCAATCATGGTTGATTTATGTACGTATTAAATTGATCATAGTAAATTCATAGTAAATTCTATAGTCATTCTCCCCGTTCATCATTTTCCAAGGTCAATTTTCGCGCTGGGGACGAGGCCGAAGAGCCTGGCCGCAGACCAACCACCAGATCGCTATCCTCGGTCCACTCGGTCGCATGTGGCGTGTGATGCTGGGCATCTATGTAACGCAATGTAAATGCAAATGTAAATGTTGCATGTATGTATGTGTGATGGATGGATGGATGGATGGATGGATGGATGGATGGACGGATGGATGGATGGGTGGGTGGATGGATGGGTGCATGTGCGTGTGCATGTGCGTGTGCATGTGCGTGTGCATGTGCGTGTGCGTGTGCGTGTGCATGTGCGCGTGCATGTATACAACGTCATGTAATGTAATGTAGTGTAATGTCATGTAACGTGACGCAACGTAACGTAACGTAATATATGCCTGTGACAATGGACAATGGAATTTGTATGTAATCATGTATGTCACTAGCATTCGTCTCATTATGTATGTATTTGTCGAATCTATATAATTCCGTACGGAATTGTGTATACGTGTTATGTGCAGGAATCATGCAATTGTGTGTCCAATTATTTATATGAATGAATGCATGCATGCATTCATGTATGTATGTATGTACGTGCCTGTAATAAATGTAAACATAGGCTACAATCCCATGCCCCCAAACTTAGATACCCCCCTAGTATCCCCTAGTGAGGGCCGGGAAAATGAATAGATTCAATACTAAACCTACTAAACAAGGATTTCGTTTAGCAGATTTAGCAGTATTAAATTCCTCATCTTGGATACTTTTTGAAAAGCGTAAAGTATTCGCTTGTTATAACATGTTGTAATGTATAGCATATATATATATATTAAAAACCCATTTGCAGCAACAGATTCAAACACTAAATTACCTAACGACCTAACGTTTCTCCAGCATCTTGTTGGTCATATCCCCATGACATGGTTGATGTTAACCACCCCCATCTTTTGATATCGCCCCAACACGTTCCCAAAGTCATCATGTTGTAATCCCGTCCCCATGGGTGAATTCCCATGGTGACTTCACAACTGGATATTTAATATGGTGAATTACCATGGGATATAATTCTACATGGGATATAATTCACCACTTAAATATGTGGTATACACTTGGTTTTTAAGCGGTGAATTATATCAATTATATCCCATGTAGACCCCATGTTGCAACCCCGTCCCCATGAAAAAAGCCTCCTGGAGTTGACTTGGTGACTCCGACTGGTGCTGCCAAGCAACACAGAGTCCTGGACCTCCTCTTAGCGTCCTGCCACGGCTGCCATGTTTGGAGTTTCATGGGATTCTGGGAATATCTGGCATATAGTCTAACTCCAATAAACCAACTCATAAAATCTAGAGTTAGTTGGGGTTAGATATTATAACCAACTCATAACCAACTAACTTTATCTGGGAAAAATCTAGAGTTAGTTGGGGTTATAAACCAACTCATAAATTACCTCAGTGGACGTTCCAGGAACCGATTTATTGGACCTACCATATATCAGACCTATGGGCTATGTAAGGGGAGATACCCCCAAAATGTATCAAAATATGGCTTTATAGTGGGGATATAATGATTAACGAAAGATATAACTAATTATATACTATAGATGATATGGATTGGTCTTATGCATATTTCTTTAGTTGGAAGCCCACGGGATTTTGCCCGAATATATTGGGAGTTCCAAGATTTTCTCGGAAAACAATTGTGGGACAGTCGGCGCCGTCTTCCTGAATTGGAATGTTTACAGTCTCGAAATGCACGGTGCGTGGTTCGATGGATCCGCACACCGAATAAAGAAAGTATGGTGCCAGTGCCAAGGCATGCACATTGATCAATGATTATTACTATCAATATCATTATTATTGTCATGATTATTATTGATCTCCACATTAGGTATCCCAAACTAATGAGATACAAATCTGCATGTCTCTCAATGCGTGTCACTTCTTGCTGCCTCACCAACATTCTAAGATGTTGTTCACGTGCTTAGAACAGTTGCCCTAAGAACAACTCACTATTTGCCCCAGCTCGCGCAAATGCAAATAAATGCAAATCCATTTTCAATTCTGACCGAAGCAGCAACAAACCCAAACCAATCCACTCCGAACTCAATCGTAGAGTGGTATATCCTGTCCCCGTTTCCCCACGCAAACCGTCCACTTTTCCCAGAGTTTTCCATGGTTTTCCAATGGTTTTCGCAGTTTTTGCCCAAGGTTAGAAGCTTTTGCGCACAGCAACATGCCAGGGCGACGGCATCATACTTCGACCTTGAAGGTGAAAACACTCCAAGGTGCACGGCAACCTGTGGCAAAATGTTGCTGCAAACTTTGGGGGAAGCGGGTCATGTGATGATTCTGAGGTAAATAGAATGTGGAATGGTCAAAGATCTTCCCGTTTTTGTGAGGATGTTCGGAAATGTTCAGCATGCGTACTCTAATGTGGTGTAATGTAACGAAATGAAATAAAGTGCAATGAAATGCACTGCACGTGTGTGATGTGTATGTGTGTATGTATGTGTGTATGCAGTATGCATGTGAAGGATATATATATATATATACATGTAATATATATATATAATATATATATATACATATACTTATGTGGGTGGGTGGATGGGTCTGTTGATATATGTATGTGCATATGCATATGTGTATATATTTATAGGTATATGCGAAGGATTGCGAAGATCTACGCTAATCCCCTAGCCCCGTATTGCACCTCTACAAGTCCTCCACGGCTCAACGGACGGCATGGAAAACCAGCGCAAAAAAATAGACATATCGAATCCCTACCAAAAACCAAATATATCTATTTTGAAAAACCCATCCATCCATCAATCCACCTCTCTATTCTCACATAATCAAATCCATAGACATATACAGTATATATTATATATATATCACTATTTATATATATATATATCACTATATATATATATATCACTATATATATATATACGTATACCCTTATTTTATTTAGGGTGATGTAACATGAACCCGAAATGACTGGTTGTGGGGTGGATTATTATTGATAGTGGGCTCATCACATCCCAAAAAATACGCTCTATATGAATCAAATCCATATAGGTATATACAGTGTGTTGGGATAGTTTATTGTTGTGTTTACCGCAATATCACCAACGACAATTCCAACAATGACAATGTACCATTGCATTGGTAATGAAACTATATAAAATCCAACATCACCGGTTAAATAGTCATATTTGATTGATTTGAATTGTTTATACCTCCATCAAATACTATACAAATACTAAGGTGTTTATTCTATACCCCCAGAAAAATCCACCATTTTCTTGGAGATCTCTGCATGAAGCTCCATCTCCCGGCTGACAATTCAGCCTGAGGGTCGCGATGCCAACGCGAAGCAGCTCAAAGGCCCTCCAGTTGAGTTGGGATCTGGCTGAACATTTACAGATACATATATATAATATACGTACATATATATATATGTGTATATATATGTATGTTTATATGTATATATATATATATGTATAGATATGTATATATATATGTGTGTGTGCGTATAGATATATATATATATATATGTGGAAATATGTGCATATAATATATTATAATATTCTATAGATTTAGATGTTGATGTTGATATTAGACATCGGATATATCAGTTACTAGATATGCGATATTGGATATTAGTAGATTTGATCATCTGGGTAAATGATCATAGCTCACATGAAAAGTTCGGCCATTTGGGGATGATACCCCAAATCCCAGCCATAATCTTACCGTGACGTCTTGGGTGAAGTCGTTATAATTCAGCCAAATGATTTATAATAGTACGCCAAATGACAATGAACATGTGGTAAAATTATGGCTGAATTCGTTGTACATCATTGTCCCCAGTGGAATTGCAATTTTGTGGCCACTTTTGGACCCTCGTACCATCTAGATACGCGAAACCCATGCCTGTTCCTATCTCAAAAAATGACAAAAGTGAATCCTGCATCCTTTCCCTTAGATCAATCATGATCCATAGAATGCTCAAGAGGTGGTCTGTAAACTGAAAAAACGATCCAATAAACCAACCTGGGCCAGGAGAGTTCACTGTTTCCTCTAAACGCTGGGGGGTTCACCAAATTTCTCCAAGTCTTTGTGTGCTGAGGCTATCCGCGGAAGATGGGTATAGGATGGAATAGGGTCTCCTGCACACTATCCACTAGACTCACTAGACAGGGTTGCTCCCAACACCCCAGATACAAGGGGGGGGTTCACTTTTGTTATGGGTTGTGCTCCAGCCCTGCTAGAACCGTCAGAGGGATCCTGCTTTTACGCAGCCTTGTTGCCCAAGTTGAAGCATGGCTCATCTTTCGGCTTCACCAAGCTGTACCAGCTATGAAGCTGAAGGAACTACATGGGGGCATCCCATTTAAGCGGGGCAAAAGCTGGGATATAACTTATAACCTACAAATAACAAGGTTACATTACATTGTAGCATTTCAATCACGTAATACTAACTGCGATGCACATCCAAGTACTGTGATCATGTCTCCCACCTCTTTTCCTCTGATGTAGAACGATGTCCGCTTAATGCATCCGTTTTTTCCTATTTCTTTGTGGATGCTGTGAACTGTTGTATCTTTTCATGGCTCAAGTCTTCATTAAAGTTTGTCCAAAATTGTGCATCCCAGTATCCAGCGTTTCCTGATCATATGACAAACTACTGTATGTAACTATATTGAACTGGTCACGGGAATGGGGGTATACTTCACTCTTGGGACAAAGCAACAAATTGTCATCTACCTTCACAAGCCTTCCAGATGTCAAAATGGCGGCACTTCATGCTGGATTGGTTGGTTGGATTTTACGACAAACACCGATCCGGATCAGATGAAAAACATGACCCATATTGGCCCATAATCTATCAAAGAGTTTCCTGAAATCAAGCAGAGCATGCAGTCACTGCATGTCACTGTCACTGCCATTTTTACTGCTTCCGGTATGTGCACGCTTGAAGTAACGCATCTTGACCTCACCAGGGTCAGTTGGATGAATCTTGCCACAGGGTCGCAACTGTCCCCTTTCAAAAGAGCCAACCCCAACCATTCCAAAAATCACTGCCAAGAACCATCACTACCAAGATTCAATGACCATCTTGGAATGTTCAAATTTTGTAGGATTGGGCATGTGCCAACCCCTTGTATATCAGGGATTGGGATGAACATCAACGGAAGAAGTACCAACAAAACATGGTTGTCTGCCTTGTGGCAAGTTGGAATGACGTGGTGCATAAATCCACTGATACAGCCATGACTTGGGGATGAATTTCCAACCCTTGATAGTACTATTGGGGATAGTTTATCATTGGGCTTACCACGATAAGATATCTACAAATCAGAAATAGTCCATTGCCATACCCTCAAAGTCAAATGACTCATTTTACCCACCGTAAGATAATCTGCAAAACATGAGTCAACGGGAATTTCTGGGATACGCTACCATGTTTGCTGACGAATTTCGGCGTCCCTTCTTTGTGGGGTCCCCATTTCTGTGGATTATGCTTGGTCGATTTCTCACATGGCTATGGAAAAGGGACGATTTATAGATGAATTACTTACTAAAAATTGTGATTTTTGATGGCAAACTGTGAAATTACCATTAGATTACCATTCTTGATGGTTTAATTCTCAGTTTTACGATTGAACCTCTATTTTTTCAGAGAAATCCTCAATTCTGAATGATTGGATCTCCATGTTTGATGGCGATCTGCCCCAAAAAACATGTTGGTCAAGTCCCCATGTTTGCTGGTTGACTCAGTTGACTCCCCACACCGGGCGCATCCCCGTGCAATTCAGCCACCGGACCCTTCGACTTGCGGCCTTGGGCATCCTGAAAATGGGACAAACATGTTTTTGGGGTGGCAATTTTTGTCATGTGTCCCAGAAAAATAATTTGTTTTTCGATGTGCGCTACCTACACTACACTTCTAACAACCCTCAACATAAACATAGAACCGTTCTACCGAAATTGCCAGTAATTTCCCAGGTGCCGTATGTAGGTGTTTGAAAAATGATGCAACCAGGGCCATCGATCGCCACCACGAGAAAGCTGCAAAACGATCAACTGAGCCTTTTTGGTGGCGCGGAAGCGCATTTCCACAAAGAAGCCTTGGAGCGCTTAACACCATGATCCCCTAGCAGAATCGCAGCCAATCTTGGAAACTCATGTCAATGGATTGGAAAGCCCCATATTTAATGGGAAAACGATGGAAAAGGTAGATTTTCCCTTAAAGCAATCCCTTCTATAGCGGATTTGTTCTATGTCTCGGGCCAAGCCATCTTGGTGCGTAGCCTCTGGTTATTTGAGCCATGGAAGACTGGTGGGTACAGTTGGTCTACATGGAAGACGTTATAGATATATATATATATATATATGTGTGTGTGTAATTATATTTTTAAAAATTCTAGTGCTGGTTTTCCACATAGATATGTTATGCAATAGACATGGAAAATTGTCCAGGTGCAGATGACTTGCCAGAAAAATATTGCCATGTTCCATGGCAAAGATTTCCGTTTCCAAAAGTAATACCTTCAGCCTATCAACACCTCAATGGAAGCATTGGTTCTATACCTCTATATACAGAGAGAAAGAGAGAATGTAAATGGAGTTGATGGGTTGATATTGGTTGATATTATATTGGATTACATGTCCTTAGGTTACGTCAATATACCTTACATTACCTTAAATTACATGGTAGTACGTTACTGTGCATTAAGCGTGCGCCCGCGTGTAGCCACACCGAAAAACGGGGGTCACCTTGGATCGCGGCTGCCGGGTTTCACCATCAGCTGTTGAAAACCCAGAGATTCAACGGTCCTGAGGCAGGGTGGAATTTGTTTACATAATTTGTACATTGTTTGTTCCGGCTATAGCTTTGGATCTGTACGCGTATGGGAATCATGTATTTATATATGTATATATAATTATGTGTATATAATATATATGTGTGTGTGCGTGTGTGCATGTGTGTATGCACGTGTGTATATATATATATATATGTGTGTGTGTACTGTATATATCATTGTATTGTGTGTGTGCGCACCTTTTTTGTTGATGATATTGGGCCTGTCTGAAAATAGAGGATACCTCGCCAATGATAAAGAAATAATGGGGAGAAGGATAATTAGCCATCATTTTTTGGAGGCGTCCCTTAATTCTTCAGACACACCTATCTTGCTGGTTGATTGTGTCCTCAGTATCGTTGGATATACCCCGACTTGGCCCCCCCGACTATGGCTACGCATAAAAGTTACAGTATAGCAACCCCAGGACAGATAGAACAGTTGAAAACCTGGGGGAAAATATCTGGAGAAAACATAATCTATACAGGGGTTGGTAACTGTCCCATTTTGGGAATATTGGACATCACCTAAAAAAGTAGCCATTATAGACCATATACCATTCATGGTTGGGTGATGTGAAAAATGGGGACATTTAATGACCCATGTTATATCATTGCTGGAAGCACTCGTTTATCTGCTTGGGGGTTACCTTCCTGGTAATTTACTACAGTTTGCTATTGAAAATGGGCCATTGATGGATGATTTTTTCCTCTATTGATCTATTTAAGTGTAGTGATTTTCCATAGCTATGTTAAATCACCATATGGTAAATCCCATGATATTCCCATTAAATCTATATATCCCCTAGGATTTCCCAATGAAATCACCATTTTCAATGGCACTACACATAGCCATCGCCACACCCGGTCCTGACCACCGCCTCCACGTCCGCAAAGCGGGACTCCACCTCCACGATGTGGCAAAGTCCTCGGTAATCTCAATAAACCAATACCATTACCAAGGGGGTTATATAGTATATGGTACCATTGGATTAATATACCAATAATCTCAATAAACCCTGGTAATTGGTATATAAACCCAGTGGTATTAACCCTCGGGAATATACCAATGGGGTTATTGGGTTAATATACCCTGGTACTATATGGTAATCTCATATTACTACTGTAGGTACCATGGGGTTAATATACCAATTACCAAATGATGTCTGGTTGGTGATTTCAACCTACGCCTCTGAAAAATGATGGAGTTCGTCAGTTGGGATGATGACATTCCCAAGATATGGAAAAATAATCTAAATGTTCCAAACCACCCACCAGATTTATGAAGGATGATTAATAGTGGTTACTAATGGTAGTTTATGGACTAATGACGGTTAATGATGATAAATTATGATGATGAATAATGATGGTACCCTCTGGTGAACTAGTGGTTAAAACATGGTTGATGATGGTTAATAGGGGTCAATGAGAGTTCATGATGGTTTATCATGGCTAAAAAATGGTAGAACATAGCCAGTCAATGATGGTTCATGATGGTAATTACCATAAACTAACATAGCTATTTATCCTGGTAATGTAACATTGAATTGGTAGCTATTTATACATTACCTCCTGGTAATTACCATATATTTAATATAGCATTAGCCTCATAGCTATTGTACCCATTAAAAATTGTGGTTAAATGGTCAGAAATATCCATGAACATGGTGACTATATATATATATGATGGTTACAGTAATGATGGTTGATAGTGGTTAATGATGGTTTATGATGGTTGAAAAATGGTAGAAAATAGCCAGTTTATGATGGTTAGTGATGGTTAAGAGTGGTTAATAATGATGATGAATGAGGATTCATGAAAAAAACTTTCAGTCTGGCTAAATTATAGTGACCTCACATCGTGACCTGGAACCATGGTGAATGTGGGGAATCATCCCCGAGAGTGACCGAAGGGTTCAGGTTTGTGAAATATTACGATTTACCCAGAAATGTTGGTTGTATATGATAGATCATAGGGTATATAGAAATATAGGTTACATATTCATGGGATATTTTAAAGGTTGGATGATAGGGTATATAGAAATAGCATCATTCACCCAAATGGCGAACCAGTGGGCAGGGCCGATGCTGAGATCCACACCACCCAGCTTCAAGCAGCGGCGAGCCTGGTTGCGCAGCTAATTCGCTACGGTTTACCCACATGTCCTGTTAATGATGATTGGCGTAGAGATGGATCAGAACCGGCATGACAGTAATAATCATATACATACATACACATACATATACATACCTTATATATACATTGAAAAAAACTATATATATATATATTGATTTATTATGATTTATTCATTAAATAAAAGACATTATATTGCAGTCAGATTGTTCTTCCCGTTCGATCCTCGGCCACGAACTTGGTCCAGTCCGTGCCCATCAACGCCAGGCAGAAGACGGCCACGTTCAACGACGCCTTCGGCAACGGCACCGCGGCCAGGTTACAGGCCGTCACCCTGGGCACGGAGGACATATCCCATGGTGATATATGGATAGGTTTTAGACTGGGTGCAGAATGGGAGAATATGGATTAAGAATGGGTTAAGAGTGGAGTTATAGTGGTGATTTTTTTTGGGGAAA